GTTTCAGAGTTATGACAAATTATGTGTAGAACGATTCAGAAAAAAAGATATTCTATAATTTGAATGGTAAAAAGTCTTCAAAATGGCATCCACAACAGGGAAAAGGTCATGTGATAAAACCCCTGAATAGCTCCATCACTTTTTTATGCTTCTGCCTTTACCACAGTCACCAAAGTGCTGCTAAGCGACCGAGATCGTGAGAAGAATTTTGGACTAAAAAGTTGAATTTCACCTCACACTGTGTCACAATAAAAGCGACTCCAATGTCAAATCTTTTACTGGAAAAAAATTGGACAAGCAGACGGATTCCACTGCTCTGAGCTTTGCACCCACTCAGTAATAAGTGTTTTTCCATTGTCAAGCTCAGACTGAGGGAGAGTAGGCTGGCATTAAAAGTGAGGGCGCAAGAGGCACACGATTACTATGTAAATGTACCTGCAAAAAAAAACGTAGCCCTTGATTGACAGCTGGCCACTGACTCTGAAGCACATGTTGTCACAGCGATAGGGATGAAAACCTTAAACTATGGAGATAGCCGTTTGAGAGAGAAAATGTACATGGAGTGCTTTCATGCTGTGTTTTAAAAGTAAGTGCTCAAAATATGATGTTAAACTGACATTTAGATTTTAATGAGTCTTTGTGTCTTGCATTATAATGATACATTTTGGACACCCTCACCTCAGCATTTCTATTTCATGTTTTATGACATATGTGAGGTGTATGTATGTTGCCAGCAGATTCATGAACTGTTGTGAGGCTGTTAAAATGTGGCTAAAAACAACAACCTCTGACTATTTAGATACAATTTACTAAGAGCACTTAAGATCAGAGAAGGTGAATGGACTTTGTTTTGAACTCTGAAGAGGGTAATGAGGGATGTTAGTTCAGGATGCAAGAATGAAACAAAACAACAAACAACGTTAAGTATATTTTTGATGAGGAAATAATGTTGAAACACTAATAAAAGCTCAAAAAAGAATTCAGTTGCAGCTTGGAGTGGATGTATGAGCCCTTTTCATGCTGCTGCCTGCTGGTTCCGGTTCTCTCAAAAGTGCGGATCCTTACTTACTGGGCCATTCATTCTCATTTATTAGAAATTAGTCATGCTAAAATAAATCAACTTTTAAAGCAGTCCTATTACACAAAATTGACTTTTCAAACCTTTTAACCATGTTATAGTTGCTTCCCCTTCTCATTTACCCTCTCAAAGCTGTATTTGGAGTGATTCATTCATGTTTGAGCAAACTTATTTTCAAGATGCCATATTGCTCTCTAATTTTATTTTCTTAATCAGTGCTAACCGTACGATTCATTCATTTTTGTACAAATTAAAATAATATACGTATAATACTTCCTACTTGCTAGCGTGATCTGCAGCTCTTCACCTGAGTTGCCTTCTCTTTGTTGTGATGACGTTTGCGATGACGTCAGCTCCCATTGGACACCACAGTTTTCCAGCACTGAAGTCAGCGGAGGAATATTGCAATTTATGTTATGCTGTGTGTTCAAACCTATACTATGATATAAATGCTTCACCAGGGGAAGCGTCTGTGTTCATAAAAGTAGATATGTCAGTTGTGATTGTGTCAGTTGTTTTATTCTTTCAATAAGCCAATGTTTGCTTATGAGATCTTCTCATAGACAGTCATGACAGCGTAACTTATCCGCAAACAAAGTAGACCACACAGTCATCCCGTGGTGTCTCAGAGCAGCACACTTCATTACAGTGAGTATTCTGTATGATGTAAACTCCAATAGGGGGTGACTCTGTATGTTTAGAGGTATGGGGGAGGGGAACAGCAGCCATTTGATTTAAGAGGCTGAGGCTGCGTCTTTGTCCAATAAATTATTTAAATCCTGTAACAATTAAAGCTGAAATGTGTTATCAGGGCAGCCCATTAGAGAAGAGCGCAGAGATCACAGGCCTCACACACCCACAGGACCAGGCGCTGCTGCAGACGCAAGACGCCGTTTGATGTGAGACTTTGAAGCTGAAATATTACGCTAAATCAACTTTGAACTTCCATGTTAAAATTAGAAATACTACAGTAGTATTTTGATTCATTCAGATTTGTTATATGAGTAGGACTGAGTAAGCTCTTTGGATCAATTTAAAAATAATTGCTTTATCTGAAAACAAGTGCTCCATTGCATTTCTCAACTTAGGTATGAAAATTGTCTTCAGCATACAGTTTCTATATGTTAACTTGTGTGATGTTTTTCTATAGCTGCTCTTAAAGAATGCCAACAACTCCACGAGGGCAAAAGAGTAGAGTAGAGGGCGAAAACACACCGAACCCAAACAGGACCAGCAAAATAAGTCATTTTCCATGTACTAAATTAAAGACAAAGAGTTACATACTTTTGCAGAATGATCCAAAAGCATAAAAAAAATATCATACCTGATTATCTCTGTGGTGATGTTATTACCTAGCCAGGCTGGCGCCACCTAGTGCCTCCACTCAATTTCATTTCTCTTCAGTGACTAGGTCAGGAATCGGAATACACTAGACGGTTTGCAAGAACCCTGGAAGTTGTAGACCACTCACCGGCCAATCAGCGAAGAGCTGTGAAGCCATGACTGGGTCCATTTTTGTGGTAGAGCACAAAAGTAAACAAAGCGGTCGAGATGAATGTAGACGAAGACATACATTCTGTGTTGGCAACGATTCCCGAGATTGAAGATTTAAAGCTGGAACAAAGAGAATGTTTGGTGAATTTTATCAAAGGGAAAGATGTTATTGCCCTTCTTCCTACGGGATTTGATGCATTACTTACGTCACGGCCAAAAGCAGCGAATGGTTAAATAAAAAAAGTACCCACCTACCCTCGAGCAAAACGAACGCTGTGAGGACAAACGGTTTCCACGAAGTAAAACAGCCTGATGAATCAGGCTAGTTATTACCTGGAATGTTACCTGATAGTTACATAGTATGACATTTACCTATCCCTCATCCTGCTATAGTACGACTAAAAACAAATGGGAATACATGCAGTACTGTGAACGAGGTCATCTCTGCATAGATATTGCCTGTAACATTCTGGCATCACTTGCTTGTCTCCCCGGAGATGGATAGGTTCAGTGCAGTTCTGTGGAACATTCTAGGCAAAACTGTAACATCTCTGTTGCAACCAGGTGACAGACCCTCCGCTAGAAAAGTGGCATAGTTACATAAGTACAGATTTTAACATGCACGGCAGCACTTTGAGGGTTGTCTTTCATGCTGTTGTTATGTTGTTATGATGTTGTTCCTTAGCCACTGAAATGGTTTTGATCAAAGGCTGCGTTTTGGCTGCCTCATGTTTTCCTGTCACCTTAAACGCTCTGTATAAATCACAGCTCTCTAGTGGTGCATTGTTTTTGTAAGTACATTATAATCCACTGACTCAGCAGAGGTAGACATAAAAATACACACTGTGCTGATGGTACTATTCACAGTGCAGTATTATTGTAGTACATCATTTCTGCATGCATGAGCTAAAGAAAGATTCAAGATTAAGGCATTTAAAAGTCCAGTTACACAAGATTTAAGACATTTTTCTATGTTGTTACCTCATGAAAAACATACCTGGAGTTCTGTTTTGTTTCATTCACACATGTTTGAGAAATGCTGCATTATTAGGCTGTCTATATCTCCCAAGCTGATGTCATGAAGCGGTAGTTTTCAAGTTAACAGCGACCTTTTTGTTCAGTAGAGATTGACCTAAATATACAGGATTTATATATGTTAAACATGTGGGAATGAAACAAAACACAACTCCAGGTCTGTTTTTGATGAGGAAACATTAATACCAGAACATAGCGTAATATGGGCCCTTTAATGTAATCTTATTTTTGTTCTGCTGCTTACCCATTCACTTTCCCTGTATGTGGCCGCAGTCCCATACATCTCTGTCTGTGATTAGGCCTGCACTGTGGGTCTCCATTGGGATCTATAGCTCTGCTGAGAAAGCATGCACTCTCATTCGCCTTATTTATGTCCATCCTTCCATTCTCTTCCGTTGCTGTATTCATGCCTCCACCTTGAAGCTCACAATATATTTTATTTTTATAAGCAGTGGATTCAGGGTTTAAGTTGTTCCCCTGTTTGCTGTAATGTCTTCTGTTTGCTCACTTTATGGGGGCAATGGATGGGAATATATTTGGAATAAATATCAGCAACATTATCATAGTGTGGAGTCATTGTCATGTTCCGGTAAGTGTCTTGGCCTTGCCTGAGCAGCCAATCCATCTTAAATCCTGCTCCAATACAAAAGGGCCTGGAACCAGACCATAAAGTGAGACAAACAACCGTTCTAACCTAGGATGGTCAGCTCCTCCCAAAAATCCCTTTATCATTCAGAACAAAATATATAACTCCTTTTACCTGAAATGAATAAGAATTTTGTGCTTTGATTGTTGATTCTGAAAAATTCTGTGTTGTTTCTTAGTCCTCTGTGTATTTTTAATTTATTTTTTATTGCAATTCTCTCATTGGTTAATCCACCTGTCAATCACGTCCACTGAAATCTTGGAGACAGGATACGGTTTCAGATCCACTCATCTTTATGAAGTGTTGTCAAAACATGTATATTTGGCTGTCTGTCACACCTCTCCAAAGGTGCTCCAGTTTCCAAATGTTGCCAAAAATTCTGATTAATAATCAATAGGAGTAGATGTCAAAAAAAGTGTAGTTCAAGTAAGCCTACCAGTATCGAAAACCAAATATTGTTAAAGAACCAGTACACACAAAAAATGGAAAGGTCATAGCTCCACACGGGTCCCCTCTTCTGTCTACACTCTGGACATTTGGTGGGCTGGTGGGCTGTGTGATAATTGTATTTGTGCTGGAAATAGCCCAGTCTCTTGTGCACTGCTCTCAATTAGTCAGAATGTGATGTGCTGCGCTTTTATGTCACCACATCAATACTACGACACTACTACAATCTTATTTCACTGACAATGAACGAGATATGAATCCACCAATATCTGAACATGTTTTTTCTCTTTTCTTTCACAGTGATCTCCTATCATCTGACTACGTGGAGAGGCATTTATCCGAAAAGGGGACTGCTGTTTCCACAAATGTAAGTTACATTTTAATTGCTATAATAAAATGTGTAACTTATATTATAATATTAACAGGTGAATTGTGTACATATTTTTGCAAGAATCATTTTCACATGTTCAAATTATCCTCAAATATTTATTTTATTTCAGAACATTATTTAGAAGGTTTTCACATTTTTGATGAAGAGCTTTATAAAATTTTACTTGAAAACCTTTGAGAAATACAAGAGATATTAAGATTTTCAATTATAATGTCTCTGAATTGAATTGAAAATCAGTTTATTTATATTATTTATCAAATTCACCAGATATTTTCACTGATGGTATATGTATAAGGATGATGGAAATGAAAAGAAAATGTGCTTATTTATTCAGCAGAAATCCACAATGTTTTTCAGCCCCTGTGATATTTTTTTATGTTATATTTTCCTCATAAACAGCCATATTTGTTTTGATACGGACAGACCATGCATGTCCCTGATTGACTAATCCATCTTCCATCTAAACTTGGGGAAATTCACCTGAGACTTCCATCTTTGTAAAGTATTGAAAAAGTGTGTATTCTGGATCCTGGGCAATCAGTAAATACAAAGGTCCAACATAAAATAATCTGTACAGATTAAAACAATATAATCAATCCTCCACGCTGCTGTGTGCTGCCTTTGCAAAATATACAACAGCTATTTCCTCTCAGACATCCCCTCATACACTTTTATTACCTAATCAATGCTATGGTTTTCACAAGGGGAAACATTACAGACCCCCCTCATTCAGCCAACTCAGGTAAAATGAAAATGGGTGAGTTTAAGTGCTGTAATCCTGCCCACGATGGTCCATCACATACAAGCAGAGGGGGGATTATCCTGCGTTAATAAGAAGATTATGCAGATATTAGATCCTTTAAGAGAATGATCTTATTGCTACTCACTGGAACATCTAATGAGATTAAGAACCAGAGGCGTCCCTGGTTAACTCAGAGCCGGATAAAGTGCTGATCAATTGACATGTTGTTCCACTCTTAATTGAAGAGAGTTTAAACATGCTCTGGTGATTTGTATTTGAAGTTTATATTCAGCAATATAATATGTGGTAGTGTATTTCTTATTTGCCAGTAGTGTGTAGTCGCTCAGTCATCTAAGTAGAATCCAAGGCAAACCAAGAAGTTCAATTTGTCAACTGGAAAGAAGTTTATTTAGGTTGAAAACGTAGCTCATCCAAGCTGCTTCTTCAGTTCTGGTCAAAATGCTGGTAGACACTTCTTTATATCTGCCTGAAGGGAGGAGCTAACTACACTGAAAGCACTCTGAAACTAATGCACCTACTTGTTTAAATTTTTTGTTAATTAGTTAAGCCTATTGAACTTGCACTTGCACTGAATGTGGGGTCATATTAGCACAAGCATTCAGGGTCATAATGGGTGCTTTCACATCTCTGGGTCCGACCTGGCTATTTCTATTGTTTTATTTACTTAACTAGTCCTTCACTCTGTTTCCAAGGTCACATGAAAAAAGCTTTTGTAAATGCTTTTGAAAACAAAACAAAAGAATAATAGGTTAATATACTGAAGATCTGCATCATAAAGTGGTATCTGAATGGTTGATAGTTTGCTCCCCTCATTGTGTTCTTGAGCAAGACATTTGCTTTTAGTGTACATTGTTTTATGATGATATTTGTGATGAGCTTCATTCATTCATGCTAGTTGAATAACAACAAAAGATTTCAAGAAGTAGCCATCTGGACATGGTTTTAGTTGTGAAAAGTAACTGTATATGGCATATGAATAGATAATACCCCAATAGAAAGGATTTTTAGTGCTCTGTAGTGGGAAAAGTGCTCCATTTGGTGAAGAGTTACCTTACATAGCACTGTCAAACCAATCACAATGTAAAGAAACATTGTAGAAGACTAAAACTTGCTAGAAAAGTTGTAAACACACTTTGAGAGGTTAGAGTGTCCTTGTTTTCATTTTGCACAGTGTCTTTTTTTCTTAATCTGATCATTAATTACCATCAGAGCAGAGATAAGTGGTCTGACAAGATTACAACACACAGGCAGTGAAGCTAGGACAACGATAAGGCGAGCACGAGTTGACAGAGGCAACAGAGGAGGCAGGGGAGATGGCTGCTTAATATCTGCCGACTTTGATATTGCTCAATGACAGGCAATTTGTCCTATCTATAATACTTAAAGTCTTGTGCCATTTTATGTCATTCAAAGTGATATATAGACAACGATTTAGTTCAACAAATAGCCTTGTCCAAATGCTTGCAAGTTGGTCTCATGTGGCATAACTAAAGGGAACTGTGCAACAAAAATGATGAAAACTTCAATAGTAGTGAAGCCATTTTGTGTCAGTCAGTAAATACTAAAACGATCAAGCATGTTATCAATAATTATAATTGTGTGTCAGTTCTAATTAATTTTCTGCAAAGTCAGAACTATTATAAGACAACCTGCTAATATCATACTAAACTATTAAAGGTCCAATATTACACAAAATTATTCTTGGCTTAAAGCTCACACATGTTTGAGTAATCTTTTATTATTAGTCTGTCAGCATCTCCAAAACTCAAAATGTGCTGTCCCACCTACTGATGTCATGGTGGGGTTAGTTTTCAAATTAACAGCGACCTTTTACTTTTAATTCAGTAAAAATAGGCAATCAAAACAAAACACAACACCAGATATGTTTTTGAAGAGGAAACAACAGTATAACAGATCAGAAAAGGGTATAATATGGGTGCTTTAAGTGTTTTTATAATCTTTGTGGTATCGAGCATTTTAGTTAGAAATTGTTGTATTTTGACATCTCTTATCAAATGTACGTGTTATTAAGATGATCATTTTCCAAGCCCCCCCCCCACCACCACACACACACACACACACACACACACACACACACACACACACACACACACACACACACACACACACACACACACACACACACACACACACACTATAACAAGTGATAATATATTTTTTTAATATTGTATTTTCATATTTGTTTTAAAAGTGCATTCATAAATGTTTTTTCAAGAGCAAATAATTTCCAACTTAATGCAGGCCTAATTGAGGCTACTTAGCATTACTGAACATCAGTAGGACACAATACTAAACCAGAACTAAACCAGGACTAAACCAGAGCTAAACCAGGACTAAACCAGAAATAAACCAGGTCTAAACCAGGACTAAACCAGAATTAAACCAGGACTAAACCAGAAATAAACCAGAAAACCAGGACTAAACCAGAAATAAACCAGAAATAAACCAGGACTAAACCAGGACTAAACCAGAAATAAACCAGAAATAAACCAGAACTAAACCAGGACTAAGCCAGGACTAAACCAGGACTTGAGAGAGAGGGAGAACCCCGAGCTAGAGGAGGACAGAATTTTCATTCCCTCTCCTGCCCGTATTTGATATATTTTGTCCCGCTCCCACCCGCAAGTCCCGCAAGATGGGGACGTTCGCTATCAAACACGGAGAAGGGAACGGAATTGTGTAAAATGTGCACAAGACCACCTCTGCAAGTTTAGGCTGATTAAAATGTTTTTAAAATATCCAGCAGAAGAAAATTGTGCGAACTTGGAATGTATTTTTATATATTATCCTAAAGGCAAGAACTAGCCAGAGGTTGTGTTAGTATCAAAGCGAAGTGCAGAAATTGATCCAGTGATAAAAGCCACAGTTCTCAGGGGGCCGGGCTTCCTGCTTAATGGATGTTAGGCAGCGCGAGATGGAGCAGGGGAAGAGACGGAGGAGCACTCAGACATACACAGGTCTATAGGAAATAACTGTGTGCACGGAGGGAGTGGGGGAAGTACATACCAATAATATTTTCAGCAGGAAGAAACTATTCAAAAATCAGGTCGAAATCTGTTCTAATTTCTTCACACACTGGTACACTAGTAAAGGTGTTAAAAGCGCAACACCCAAAGTATTGCATTAAATATCTGATCTTCCAAGCTCCACCAGGGCTAGTTTAACTCTAAAAGATTTAAAATAGTGTTCAAATTGACCTAAAACTGAATTAAACCATGCTTGAACTGAGTATAAACAAGATCTAAACCAGCAAAAGGCAAACATTTAATGCATTATTAAACATATTTACAGACACAGAAAAAGCGTGTAGAGTGTTGCTCAATGACATTTGAAAGTACCAGAGATTAATGCATTAAGGTAGTAGTAAAACTGCATTCTTATTTGTTCTAGGGTGGTCCTGGTTTGGCCCGGTTCAGTCCTGATGTAGACTAATTTGGTACTGTTCTAGTTCAGGGTTAGTTCTCGGCTTTGTCACAATTTCGAAGTGATGTGTACAAGTGGGAACACACAATATATGTTGGATTTGCTACTCTCTCTTGGTCAGGACTCCTGTTAAAAAGAGGATCTTCAATAAGATTTTTATATGATTATTTTAAAAAGTTTTCATTGGTCAAAGTAGGGACTGAACCTTCAACCTTGTATGTGAACTCTCTTAGCATTTAACCAGTGCAGCCCCCAAGTAATAGTCAAGAACTGTTTCTTCAATATATATATTATTACAAATCATACCCATTACTAGGGCTGGGTATCATTAAGAAGTTACCGATACGATACATACCTCTATACATAAGCCAAGATATTTTACATATCTCGATACAGTGAGCTTACGACTCGATACACTATATATTTCAAATCCATTTGATACGGTTCAGTAAAAAATAATCATTAAATCATGGCTGTGATACTAAAAGTCTTTGTTAAACCACTTCTTGTACAAAGTTAATATGAAACACAAACATGTTAATCCTCAAAACAGTGAAACTGTCAAATGTGTTGCATAAATGAGTTTCCTTCCTCTAAACAAACAACAAAACTGTGGTGCTGTAACAAAATACTTTTGTAAAATGTACCAAAAATACTCTTGGCGATATATTGATACAGCAGTCTCCGATACTGATACTGTATCATCACATTAAACGATATGATATATCTATATTTTGATATTTTTGCACACCCCTCCCCATTACATAATATGATATCAGTTTTGCTAATAAAGAGACTTCAAATATTAGTGCTAAAGGGTTGAATCAGTTTACATCCACTTCAAAAACTGTACTAAAGAGAATAAGAAAATACATGTGAAAACTGTCCTGGTCTCTGCAGTGAATTGCCTCTGCTGCTTGTGTCTATATTCTCAGACCGGGCGTTTACGTGTTAGCAAATGAATTCTGTGTGATTGATCGCGTCAGGCGCATTTCCTGATGGGCCATGTGGCAATGAACACTGCTCAGAGAATATTTCACTGCAGTAAGTGTGCACAGCACTTCAGGAGGCACGCAGCCAACAGGAAAAGCTCTAGGGTGGGATGAAACGATTTGAAAATACTGTAACTTTTCGGGTAGAGAGACTGCCACCTGCTTGTCTGTGTGGAGATGTTATTGCTTTGCCTGGCATATTCCACAGTATAGCATTAAAATTGTTTATCTATTAAACAAAATGTGTGTTCAAAGTGTTCAAAATTTGTATTGCTTAAAAGATAAAGGCATGCATTCTTACAGTGAGCGGGGTTGCCTCGCCACAGATCTAACTTGGCCTAGGTGGCAGCAAATGCTTGATTCTGTGAAAATAAGTTTAGTTAAGTTTAATGTCACACTCTGGGACATTCCAGGCAAAGATATTACTTCTCCATGGAGACAAGCAGGGAAGGTTACACATTGCCCTTTTGAATCCAGAATATTAGTTTGATTAGACGTGTATGAATATGGATTTCATAGATTATATGGTTTCGAGATGCTTTTAACATTAATACATTTTGTTGTCGTTTCATCCTAAATTTATGCCATTAGGTGAATTACTTTTTAAATAAGATGCATTTTTGGCTCATTTTCTATATTCAAACTAAATTATCATGAAAAGTAGATAGATTGGCCATGGCAATACATACACCAGTACTCAAAACTACTGACATTAGGATTATAAAAGTATTTAAAACCGTAGTGTTGTGCAGTTGTGCTTGTGATATTAAACCATGTTCTTGTTTTTGTTGCAGGGAGGAGAGCACTGCTACTATCAGGGGAAGATCAGGGACATCCCTCAGTCCTTTGTGGCTCTATCCACCTGCCATGGGTTACAGTAAGTATCAACACTAAACTGCTCTGTGCCCATTGGAAAGATGTAACACTATCAACTAAACGAGTCTGTAATACAGTTTTGATGAAAAAATCCCCAAACCAAAATCTACAGTATGCCAGATTTTTAAAAGGTGTTCTTTATTGTTTTGTCTAATTTATATCACCTTACAAACAAACTTGCTTGAAAAGATGACATAATATGAAATTGAATGATTGTAATCTGAAGCTTTATCTGTTAGCTCCCGTGATGAGTAAAGTAATGGACCAGTGCATTTATAGGCAGAGTCACGTCAGAGGAGACATAAGAGCTGAGTATTTCCCTTCTGCTGAATCAGCTCTTTAATGTAATATATATTGAAACCTACTCCACAAATGCACTAGCAGGGCTTATAATGTCCATGTATAAAACTGGACTGGACTGGACTGGAGATAAAAAAAAAAAGGCTTCATACCAGTAACAATCATATCAAAAACAAAAACCTGAAATATTGATAAATGTAGTCAAACATATTTAAATTTGGACCAGAAAGAGTGGACAAGAAAGCAAATATGTGTGTACACAACTAACTGTAAGTCTGGTGCAAAGAGGATATATTCTTTAATTTTTACACATGACCAATATTGTCGTTTCCATGGTTATTGGTGAATTCGTCAACATGCAAAGATGTTTATGAAAAGTCAGTCTTGCCTTGTCACTTAGGGCCTGTTTACACAAAAACACTTGTGGATAGAAATATAGACAAAATATTTTATCGTTTAGATGGTGATGGCATTTTTGGATCTTAAAAACACAAAAATCTGATACCACCCACCAGAGTGGAAAAGTTGAATATACTCCGCCGTAGCGTTTCTGTCTACACTGCCCAAATCTCTGGTCAGATCTGCTCACGTCGCGTACGCATTTAGGTCACATGCATCACCATCTAGCGTCACAACCTAGCCATCTGGTATGCATACCCAATCTAATTCCACACACTTTTGCATCACTGTTATGCACACAGATTTCCTCCCAAAAACGCTTGTCTAAACACGGAATAGAAAGTGAAGATTCGATGCCACTTTTACGTCTTCTGTTTAGACCTTCGTCATATAAACGTAGCCTTAGGGTCAGTAAACACATAAGTTATTCATTTGAATGCGTATAACTTCTTCTTCCCAGCCTTCTTTTCCTGAAGTTGCCTCTATAGAGATGCTATTGTTTTGCCTGGAATGTTCCACAGAATTGCATTAGACATATCTTGAATTTATACAATTCCTGGTGTCTTTATTGCTCAAAATACCTTGAAAAACATGTTTTTTCACTGTGTGCGGGTCACCTCTCAACAGATCTGACCTGTAACTTGACTTACTGGTGTCACCTTCTTGTTTCCATGGTGATATCTAAAGTTTCATGCCATACTGGAATAACATCTCCATGCACTTTATTGTCTGCATAGATAAATCTGTCCTCTGTGTTTGACCCATCCTTCACAGCTGCTCAGACAACCTGCCGTTGCAATAGAAAACCATTAGACACGACCTGGAGACCCACCTCCACATCTTAAGCTACAGTTTCATGGTCAGGACCTAGCTGGAAAATTATATTCTTAAAATCTGTATCTTTATCATTTATTCTTGACTGTAAGCTTTTAACAGGCTGACCAGAAGCAATCTTTAGTCCATAATTGCCTCCTCCAGACAATTCAAAAGCATTACTCAGTGAAACCATGACGACGCAGACTGCTCTTGAGTCAGAATCTGATGAAAAAAGGGTAATATTTCATAATAATTATACCTCTGCTAATGTCTGTCTCCTTTTCTTTTAGTGGGCTGTTTTTTGATGGCAATCACACTTACAAGATTGAACCCAGAGAACAAGAAAGCAAAGATGTGAGTACACAACTAACTGTAAGTCTGGTGCAAAGAGGATATATTCTTTAATTTAAATTTTCACGTGGTTATTGGTGAATTTGTTTACATGCAAGGATGTTTATGAAAAGTGACTCTTGCCTTGTCACGTAGGGTCTGTAAACACATGAAGTTTTTACTCATTTGTATGCATATAACTTCTTTAACATACAAAATGCTGACAAATTTTAGAAATGCTATTATTGTGAAGCAGTTGAGTTTGATAATTCTGGCAATAATTGAAGTAAAAGTAGAAAAAAGTCAAATCTTTCTTTGATGCTGTAAGATCAGCACATCCCTATAATATGACTTAACCAACTTTTTTCATATAAAAAAATTAATTAAGGTTTCTAACTTTTTAGTACATTGAGGTCATATTTAGAATTAGGAAATGAGCAATAATGTTAAAACCTGATATAATGCACTGTCCTGTTTCATTACAATTATCTTTCAGAATTTCTGTGTTTATGTTGCATTGTAAAAGTTGAACGGTACAACAGTTATTACACATCTGACATTGACACTCATGTGAGGGTTAAAACATGTAGTGATTATACATTAACAGCGTGTAAAGGACAAAGATAAAGAGAGATCAACCAATGACGCCTCTAGGAAAATGAGAGGAATAAAGCATTAGTCTGTGCGTGATAATATCTGTATAATTAAACTGTCCAGGTGAATTATGGCCAAGTGTTCATTGGGGAGGGTTAAAGGAACTGAGATAACAGAGGTCATACATGTACACTGTAATAATATAAAACTTTACTGAATAGTACTTTGAGTAAGCTTTAAATAATATTAGTTCAGTAGGCCCTACAGCATTATTTCACTATAAATAATGCAATGTTACTGGTAGATTATCAAGAGAAAGGTTGACTATTCTATTTCGAATTAAGAAGTTTCACTATCCAAACGATATATTTTGTTTTAAATTGTTACTCTCTAATTTGGTCGCAGTTTAGTCCAGATGTAGACTTGGTTTGGTCCCGTTCCAGTTCTGGTTCAGTCTTGATCTAGTCCAGATTTAGATTTGTATGGTCTGTGTGCAAGTGTGAGTGCAATTTTCACTTTTTAAATAGATTAGATAGATAGATAGTCCTTTTAGTGTGCTTTGACTTGTGCGATTATTTCTGATATAAGTATAAGTCGTACTGAAGCCTCTTCTGTACCTCCATGACCTCTCTATCTCTGTGACTCCTCTTCTGTGTTTTTAAACCTGAATTATTTAAGTGAAACGGCAAAACAAGATTTGAACTCTTCAGCTAAAAATATATCCTCTGGTCATTTGGAGATGCTGTGACGTCAATTATACATGAACCTTACATAAGATGGGGTTTTCTTCATACAAGCAAATACAGCAAGTTTTGATTTATCTATTGACAAATATTTGGCCATTTGCAAAATGGATTACAGAACGGAGTTGAAATGAATGAAAGAAAATATAATGGCATTTCAAACAGGGTAGTGAAATGAATCAACTTTAATTAAATCTTGATTCAGTTCTTTTAAATATTTAGCAGTCTATTGCAATTCTCTGTCAGTAAAAGCTTGTGGTTTGGAGTAGATTTCAAGAGGAAAAGGTTTTTTTTATTGTTATGTTAAATAGCACTGATTCAAAGTGTTGTTCATGTTCATAAAATTGAGATTGAAAGCCATTTTGTTTTTGTTTACCCAGCTTTAGTATGTAGCCTATGATAACAGTAAATTACAGAGTTAGTTGTGCTCTGACTCTCATGTGAAACAAATAGTTAAACATTTCCTCAAAAACACAATGTTGTGAGTAGAAGTTCCTCTGTTTCTGTGGTGAAATTCGTGTTGAATATCAATGGGATTGTGCTTTGTGGCTGTGCTGTCAAACTGAGCCAAGGATATCTGCTCCCTGAAGCCCTCAGCTGTCTGCTCCTCTCTCTCTTCTCTTCTGGATTTGTATCTGGGGCCAAAACGATTAATATGGTGTATTTTCTAGAGATTTTTTACTTGATTAAAATATTAGCTGTTGTGAATAGGAATAAGAGGTGGGCCATATGTAGAAAAACTCACAATTTAGATCTGTAATTGGTGATTACTGTGATTAGGTATATTCACCTATTCTGTTTACATTAGATATTTTTAGCAATACAAGCGCCATTAAATAAAAGCAAGAAGTTTAATCCTATACTGTGAAACATTCTAGGCAAAGTAATAACATCTCCGTGGAGACAAGCAAGAATAGTTTAAGACAATATTGTACACTTTTAAGACAATATTGCCAAAATATCATATCTCCACAGGCATCAGATCGTGATGAGATTTTTGTTATTGCCCAGCCTTAATAGTTAGTTGTTGTTTGTTTTGTTTTAATTACAGTTTAGCTGTGTCCTTCTAAATGTTTGGTACCATGTTTGCACACATCAGGTTAAATTTATTTCAGTATTTAAATGTCCCGTAATTGAACTTGTTTCATGCTAAAAGGGCTTACAGTATATTATGCTATTTTCTGATATTTCCTCATCAAAAACACAGCTGGAGTTGTGTTTTGTTTCACTCACAGATGTTGAACACACAAACTCTGCATATTTAGGGGAGTTCTTCTCTGAAACAGAAAATGCTTTGATCCACCTTGTGATGTCATGTGGTAATACAGGAAGTGATCAACTGTGTTTTTAAACTCAGTACATACAACAACTCAACTCATACAACTTCACTAGAATCATTTATATTATTTCCTGACATGGTAGTGCCAATCTCTACTGATCAAAACATAAGACATATGCATATACTTTGAAAGCTACCACTTCACGACAAAATGAACAGAGCATTTTGAGCTTTGAAAATATAGACAGACTAATAATAAAGGTTTACTCAAACATGTGTGAATGAAACAAAGCACAACTCCAAGTATGTTTTGCTGAGGCAACAACACTCCAACTTGGCAAAAAGCTCACAAGAGCCAATTTTGTGTAATATAGGACCTTCAAATGAATAGAGATTTGCCTGAGGAATGATCCTATGCCAAAAATAAGTACCACCACTGCTTCCGACCTTTAAAAATAAGGAAATTGCTTGCTAATATCAGATAAATCTTGTTGACATTTCCAGCTTGTTAAGTGCATGCTGCTGATGTATTGGGATGAGGATTTGTCATAGTGGCTTACATATGCTCCAAAACACCATATGGCTGGACACCTTTTCACCTCCATCTGCACTTTGAGACTCCTGTGGTGATCTCTCAGTAGTCTCCCGTTTTAGTTGTTGACAGTATTGTACTATGGCACAAACCAGTCATAGTCTTGTGTAGTCTTGCCAATTAACGCAGCAGTAGACACAAAGCTGACAAGTCAAAATAAGTTGCTCATATAACAGGAATTTGAAACCCATGAATTTACAGTTTTTGAAAGAAATTATACTCCGCAATTATTTGTTTTGGATTGACTACACAGACTTCAAGTCCTTTCAATGGACAACGAGCACATCTTTGGGGTTGAATAATGTTACCACTTGAAATTATTGTGAGAAAAATATGTATAATTTCACTTTTGTTGTTCAACACTGGCAGAGGAGACATTGAACTTTGTGCCAGTTTTTATTTCATGTGGATAGGCCCAGTAATTACAGGCATATTAGCTATAAACCAAGTCCACTAATCTGCAACCTGACGGTTAAACAGCAAATCTGACCTGTCCTCCAGCTCAGTTTTAACTATAGGGATTCAAGAATACTGTTGTTACGTGAAACTCAACCTACAGACATGATGAAGGAGGGGGAGGGGAGGTTATGATGGAGTGATGCTGAGGTTATGGGTGATTTTGGGGGAGGGCAGCTTTAATGCATGGAAGGATCTACGGTACGGAGATTTTGCCAAAGGGGAACATCTTTTATACTCTGGGCTTGGCAAGAAGCTGATTGGACGAGACCAGGGCAGTGCTGGTGGAACTGAAAGATTCATTTGAATGGTTGTAATTAGCAAATTGCAGAGACTAGTTATTTAGGCAATATGATGTCCTCTGTAGAGAACATAGTGGCCTGATTTTATGTGCTTCTGTTATGTTTAAAAGCTGCTGAAACAGTAGTTTACACCTTTGTAAACATGGTCTATTGTTTCTGGGTGCATGTGATTCTTACATTATTTCCTTTTTCTCTTACCTTTGAAGACATACTGTATGTATTTTGTGAGTATTTAAAACAAACCTATTGACTTCTTGTTCCAAACTACAGAACTGATAGGCCCTGCCACTTAATAGATATTAACCTATGTATTTTAATTTGTTGGAAAGACTGTTGGAAAGATTGACGTATTGAACATAAGCTACTGAACCTTTTTTGTTTTGAAGACATTGCAGGATTACTCAGATATAGATGAATCAACTGAAAAAGAACACTGAGTAAGCTAGTTATGAAGGAACGCCATTGTAACATGTTTAAAAGCTCATAAATGTCAAATTTACATAATACATCCACTTTAAAAAGATTCATCATGAACTCAATCTTGAAAAAAAAAGCAGATCTAATTACAAGCTCAAAATGCGTGAGAAAAAAAAACACCATTCAATATTTTTTTTCCCTCCCAAATCGCTTAGCTTTCTAACGAGGGGTCTTGTGGCCTGGACCATGTTGTTACTTAACAGGGGAGCAGTCTATTCACTCACACAGAAACCCCTCCCTCACGCTTTATATTCATGGGCCAGGGGGGTACATGTCTGAGGCCGTCTCCCATGGCAACCTTGTCTCTTTGTAACGTGACATATGAAAGCCATCTGTGAGCATGGACCCTAATCCTGAACTCGACACAGCCCCCGTCGAGAGGAGAGGCAGGGAGCGCGATTCAGACCAGTGCGTTCAGATGATTGGACAAACAAAGACAAAATTGGAATTATTGTGAAGTCAACCATAACTGCCCAAGTGTACAATCTTTGATTAAATACAAAATATACATAATTAGTGCCCTGCAAAATGAATCTCAATCAGATTAAATCACACTGTCAATGGTTGCTAATTTTCCTGCAAACCTCCAAACAAAATATTATGTTTCCTCTGTCTCTTAACATATGAATATACTGAAACTTTAATTAATTAATTTAATAATAATAATAATAATAATAATAATAATAACAATACATCAGACTTATATAGCGCTTTTTTGAACACTCAAAGACGCTTTGTTTAAATTTGTGGTGTTACCTGCCAAGGGACTACAGATGGAAATTAGCAGTCTTGCTATATTTTGGCATATTTACACTGCAATGTTGTAGATGTTCATTAATATGCACTGTCCCTATTAAATAAATAAATAAATAAAAAAAATAAACTTAATCTGTCATCTACATGCAATATTATGACACAGAGTAAAACTGAAGCATTTTTAACAGCCAAAATGTGAAGCAGCAGATGGCAACTTGTTCTGCACAACTTCAAAGATGATGATAAATAATTAAATATAAATGAAGGATTAGGTGCAAAAAGCTAAAACTTTAATTATCCGCCTGTTTCTTGGCTTAATGTACATACTTAATATACTTAACAGATCAGAAATTTTACAGAAATTAATATAGTTGACCATTTTATATTTTATTTAAAGAAAAACATTACAAATAATACCTTCATTGACCTGTAACAAATTTAGTCATTGGTGAATATCATTACAAGGCAACACGAAGACGCAAATGTTATGCATATTAGACACTTGACGCACAATAACAATACAGTTTCTTCATTTACTTTTACTTTACACACAAATATCCACAGACATCAACAGCTATTTAATTGTAAACGTTTTAAACTTTTAAGGTGTCACCATATTTTAGTTAGACTAGCAGAAGAGACTGGCCCGTAAGACAGCAATAAACATTACAGGTAGAAAAAAAGCACACATTTTGACACATGCTTAAAATGAACAGTGTTATTTCAGTAGACATATTAGGCCACCTTCATTAATCTTAAGTCATAAACTGTAACATGTATAAAAATAAGTGAAGAAGGCAGGAATTCAAACAACAGTGGTCCCATTCTGACAAAAAAAGTGTAATAATTAAGTGATTTACATAACTATTGCTATATTTAGTGTTTCAGTGCTTCAGTCTTAAGTAAAACAGTGATCCTATGTACAGTACCTCAATTTACAGTTCAAATCAAAGTTAGGCAGATAAGATAAAATACTGAAAAAAGTTCTGCATGCATGTTAAGACATCTCAGCTACTAGCTCCACCACATGTCAAGAATAGTGTAACTTAGTTGGCACTTACAGGGCTTACAATAGGTTTTTAGTTGCCTTTTCACTAGGACTGCACACATTACATGAAGGCAAGTACATTTCTGTTTTAATTCAACAGAACTTATTGTGCTAAAAACTATATTAAAATATCAAAATAAAATTGTAATCGCAATGCAAAAAACATAGTCACTGAATATCACATAGTTTTTTTAAATTTCATGCAGCTTTACTTTTCACTGTGTCAGAACTGGAATGTCGATTTCTATGGCGGACATCCGGGAGCGCGTAGAGTAGCGGTGCCCTGCGTAGCTCTGCGCGTAGCCCTGAGATGGAGCGTAGGATTGCGAGGGAGCGTAACTTTGTGAGGGGGCGTAACTTTGAGAAGGGGCGTAGCTATACGTTTGTGTCCCGCCCACTTCAGACCCGTACCCATCTGGAACTGACATTTGAGGCATGTAGACTTGAGCGGGGGCAGGGGCAACGCTTTGGGCATAGGTCTGAGCGGGTACATAAGGATGGGTGTCGATTACAGTCGGAGGGAAGGTTTGAGGAGGGAATGGTTGTGGACCGTAGACAGGAGAAGGGGGGAACCCATTGGCTGTGAGGGGCTGAGTGGACACAGAGTTAGACATCGAAGGCAAAGGCAACCAAAATGGAGATGGCAACTTCTTACACATACAGTACCACATCAACATAAGTAGTGAAGCCAGCATGAGTCCACCAGAGCAGCCGATAGCAATGTACACAGCGAAACCATCGGAGAATATATTGTCGTATTTAGCGTTCATTTGTTTAGTACGGAATAAGAACCACACTGAAGGCGCCATGGCGATAGCTCCGCCCAGAAATAAAAACATGGCGGCGACGAGATGACAACCTGCGCTGTTTACCAAGAACCGAGTGGTCTTGAGATCCGGCTCTGGTTTGTCAGAGCAGCAGCAGGTTTTGCACATTCCCGTCATACAAAGCAGTAAAGCCAGGGACCCCAACAGCAGGCCAGTGGGCAGGCAGAACTGCAAGAGACGCAGGTCCAGCTGGTCCACTTTGGAGTACCACTGGAAAACAAACAGAATTTGAGTGTACCGAGTTAACACTGATGGGTAAGAAGCAGAAAGGTATGCAAAGTTATCAGTCTTTGAAAAACAAAATAACAAAATAAGAAGAAATACCTCTGAATCATAGTAGTAGCATCCTGAGTATCCATCCTGTTTGACACATTTTGCCCAGAGCCCATCGTACACGCTGATGTTCTTGGCATTTCGATTAAAGGTGACGAGCCTGGTCACTCTCCACTGCGGGATGAGAGCTGCCACCACGATGCCCCCCACAGACACAAAGGCAATGATGAAGGAGAAGGCATTAGTAGCATGGATGTCCCGGCACGTCATGGCTCCAGCTGCAGCTAAATCAGACAATATTCTGTGAACACAAAACACAAAGGGATATTAACAATAGAGTTGCAACTAATGAGAGGTTCAGGAGTCAACTAGTCACTGTTTTACTTCAAGTGAACTAGTCAAGCTATTTTTTGTACCTATGATTGTTTTTTTTAATGTAGATTAAGAAGGGCTGTGCAATTCATCGAATTTCAATCAAGACTGAGATTCAGTACTTCTCGTCAATTATCAGCCTAGGTCTTTTTTTAATGGTGTGGCTTACAGCTAATCCTCTAACAGTAAAAGCATGTGGTTTGGAGCAGACTTAAGACAGACTTTGGAGGAATAAATGTGGCTTTGTTTTTCCATGAACTTTTAATTAATTCAGTTTAATTAAAAGCGTTCTTGATCATGTTGAGAAAAATGTATTTAGTTTTTAATGAGACAAAATAAATTAAATTGTGATCTAGGGGAAAAAGTGATTCATTTGTTTCTCACATCGTCCAACCCTAAGATTGGGATAAAACTATAAAGACTAAAGCTCTCTTGATGGACACTATTTTTTCATGATAACACATTTAATTAGGCATATACTCCTTCATCATTATGATATGTTCAATTTTACAGTAAAAAAGCAGCTTGGAAACTCACTATTTCCATCCATCTCTACAGTGTTGACCTAGCTATGGGCATCCCTCTGCCTGTGTAGCTGACCTAATATTCAAAGTCCCTGAGAAACAATGCACCAGTTTCATCTGCACACAGAGGATGACAATGTGGCTAAGGTTGTAAAGGGGCCTTACTGTGGCGCATTACAAAGTACACAACTAAACAATGAATGTAGGACTACTACTACTGCAGTAGTGATGTGCTACACCAAATGAGGTCAGAGCAGTGAATGGGGCCTTCTACCAAACACTTACAGTCGCTTGTTCATACTAGATTAAGCGATACAGTTGTAGGTACAGATAACTTTAATGTTTTATTAAACTGTATGCCATATACTGTTAGTATCTTTATGAATGTTCACCGTTTTCCATCTGTCGTCTCATAAACTATTATTTTTCTCATCTTTTTATATCCTTTTGTAAGAATATAAGGGCCTGAGAATGTAGTAAAGCAAGCTTAATAACAAGTTAGCTGGCTGTGGTTTATGTCAACAAACCCAGCACAAAATCCCCAACATTAGCCTCCCGAGCACTGCAAACTTAACTTTTAGGCTAACTTTAAACCCTAACCACATTTGCTGTGGATGAGAAACACCTGAAATACATTTACACATGGTCACATAAATAAAAACTAAATCCTTTTGGTACATACAAACTCGATTGTGAGGATTTTTTCTCCTAGCATTAGCCACATCAAATGCTAATTTAGCATCAGAGCAACCTGTTGCGTTCAGGGTCATTTTTGGTTCATGTTTGGTTAAAAAGAAAAGAAGCGGACAACTTTACCGTTTGATTGTGCAGTTTGGCCGCGGTCATGAATTATAGGGGCGCATTTCAGCCCGATTTCTCTTTCACGGCCTCTAATTATCAGTCCTACTGTGACACACACGGGCGTAAACAGGATGTGAAGGAGCGGACGGGGCGGTTTTCCCTGAGTACAGACTCACAGGCGAAGGACGTGACCAGTGACTGTATATGAAGACTTGGATAATGAATAATGACACACAGTTATCTATTTTAGACAATCGCAGTTTTTTATATATGCATGTTTTACATTACATTTTAATTGAAACAAAGTTTTGATAACTATCAGGAAGCGGATGTTCTTTGCCCTAAGTATGAAAAAATAGGACTAGAATATTAAAATGTATAATAATTATTATTATTTTTGCAAAAATAGCTCAGCTACAATATGAAAACAAGTAAAACATTACTCAAGACTAATAAAAAAAAAACTTTCAACAAGATGAGGAAAAAGGCAAGACAAGTTATTTCATATCTGTATCACCTTATAGACTTTAGTCTTTAGACTACACACTAAACAAAAATGGACTAGTAGGCCTACAACAGCATAAAATAATTATGGAAAATGAAAAGAAATATTAATAATAATAATTATAACTTAAAAGAAAAAAGTTTGTTTCAGAATACAAAGAACAGGTTCCTAATATATTACTTTTAAAATCTTTTTCAGGGAGATGACCAAATTCATATCATTTACAAGTCGCCAGGTCAGGAGGGGCTTGGCAGTTTACTAAATGGTGAGAATAATCTGGTTAACAGTCCCGATGTCTTAATCATAGTAAAAATGTGTAATAACCACATGATTATAATATCCTGTTTTAGGTGATCTTCCAGAGCCGCCATTTCCAAGTCCTCCTTTCCCAGGATCTAAAGTTGTACAAAGGAGGAAAAAGAGACAGGTGCCACTTGCGTTTATTTTATTATTGTCACAAAAATTCTCTTGATATTAGATTTTGTTTTAAAACATGAAATCAAACACAATTTTATGTTGTTTCAGGTTTCGCGTATGTCACGTAAAGTTGAAGATGAGACCAAGTACATTGAGTTGATGGTGATAAATGATCATATAATGGTAAGTATTTCAATTAAAATGGATATAATATTTTTTAAATTCTAATAATATGTTATTTACACACTAGCAGCAGCAGCAACAGCAGCAGTAGTAGTAGTAGTTTTATTGTTTTCAGTTATGCATTGCTTCTTTCACTTTTTCCATATGTTGTAGCGAGAGACCTCTTTGTTTATTATAAGTGAGAAATGTTTGTGCTGAGTGCTTAGAACAGGCCTTTGTTCAGACATACAGTATCACTAGACTCAGGTCCACTGGGAGTAAAATAGTTTATATGCAATGCAGTAATAATAAAGACAAATATAATGTTTAAAGGTTTGCTGATTTAATCCAATACTTCCACAGTACAACCCAATTGTTTCTTTCTGTCTCTTTCAGTTCAAGAAGCATCGGCTTTCACCAGGGCACACAAATAACTATGCTAAGTCAGTGGTCAATATGGCTGACATGGTAAGAATTGTATTGATCGTCTTCTGGAGAGGCAGCCACAAGCACTCCATGTATTAAAGCTGAGCACACAATGCCCTAATTTCTCATTTTACCAACCTCAGTCGGTCCATTTAAAACCTCCATAGACTCATAATGTGCTTTGAGCAGCCTTTTACCAGCCAGCTGTGAGTTTCCTGTGTGGCAGTCCTGAGCAGCAGAAGCATGCCCTCATACTACGGCATTAGCTTTAGAGCTTTAGCTTTAGTCTGCTGTTCTGAAACCTGACCCCATACAAGGGCATAGGTGTAAAGAGATCGGATACAGAGACAGAAAACGGACGTATCTTTTGTCCTTCTCAAGAGGTCACAAGTAGCTGGTTTGTTTAGGAAGTGTGCAATGATTTTTCATACAACATGGAAATAATAAATAAAGTCCCTTACGACTACAAAATATCCCGTACGTAACATCACTTTGGTCAAACCCTGCCAACTCTGAAAAACATGTTCTCAAATGCATTGTGTTAGTTATTCATTCATTTATATTTGATTAGCCTCCCATGGACGTGCGCACTGACAAATGAATACGCTTTGATCTAAAACTGAAAATGGCAATTACAATACTACAGAATTTCATATTTGTTCAGACCTATAGGGCTTTTAGGGACAGGGAAAATGCTCTACTGCTACATACTACAAAAGTAATATGTCCATAAATCTCTGAGATCGGTGTCAAAGATGTTTGATGTTTACTTATATTTGTTTGTCATTCTGTTCTGCCCCTGAAATGCCCTCTAGTCTAGACCAGATATCATCCTTGTTCTCCTCTGATATAATTACCACTTTGGGATGATGACAAATACTGTATAATATGAATCCATCAAGCACTGACTCAACAAATTTCTTATCAAATCATTTTTTATTTTCCAGATTTTCAAAGAGCAGCTGAACACGCGAATAGTCCTAGTTGCCATGGAAACCTGGGCGGCCGACAACAAGTTCAACATTGACGACGACCCCATGGAGACGCTGAAGGAGTTTATGAAATATCGAAAAGACTTCATCAAAGAGAAATGTGATTCTGTGCACCTTTTTTCGTAAGTCTGGAGATCTAAAATGGTTTACACGTGGGAATGAGTGTTATATAATGAAACGAGTACTGCATACTTAATTGCAATGAAATCAAAATTATAGTTCCTGCAATTATCGAATCACAAAAGCTAAACTTACAAAACATCCTGTGTAAAATCCTGCTGTACTTGTAGTTTAGACCTCTAGAAGTATGTCATGAAATACCATCATCCGAAAATTATGTTTTATTTTGTCTTTTGTCCCCAGGGCAGCTGTGGCTACATTCTTTGAGCGTATTAATAATGTATTTTAACAAGCTTTGAATATCGTGAAATTTGCTTTATTAATCCCACCTGTTATTATTTATATTATTTGGAGTAAATTACTTATTAAATTACATCTATTGTCCAAATACTGCACTTAAAAACATGACAGAGGCTGATCAAAAGAAAGCATATTACCATTCACTATTCACTGTGTGTTTGCCCTGTTAAATCTTTGTCCTGTTTTTACTTTTGGAAATATGATATGAAATGACCTAATCTTTCTTTTCATACATTGTTTCTTGCTCAGTGCACATTATATATTACTGTACTGTATTTAATGAGTGAATAGAGAATGATAATGTTATTTGTTAATGCTATTTCATTTTGTCTTATCAGAGGGAACCAATTTCACAACCACTGGGGAGGAGCGTCTTACATGGGAGGGGTCTGCTCTCTCACTAAAGGAGTTGGAATTATTGAGGTATTTAAATTTTTTCCTCTTGTATTTGTGATATAGTTTTCTAATTCCCTGATGTTTTCTTAGTTTGGCAAACAGGAGGTAATGGCCATCACGCTGGCTCAGACTCTCGGACAGAACATTGGCATCTTTTCTGACCAGAAACGCATCTTGAATCGTAAACATCACTATTTAATTCTTTAATTATTATTATTTTCTTTTTATCATGATGTATAATTTTAACGGATTTTGTATTTAGGTGAGTGCCAGTGTGATGATCGGTGGGCAGGCTGCATCATGGAAGATATGGGGTAAGTAACAGTGGCTTTATTTGCTCCTGAGGTTTAAGTGTGGTGTGGTTGCATGTGCTCCTACTAATCTGACTCTGGGGCAGGTCTCAGGATTGTGAACAAGGATGATGCTGCTGGGATTTGGATCTTGTTAGTGATTATTTCACAGAGAGGCTTTTTAGATTTAGTACTTTGGTGTGATGGAGTTTGAATATTCTTTTTGTGTCTAGAACTTAATATATGCACAATACGATAAGCCAAATGTAGTCTTACCCAAGCCAAGCTCAATATGTGGAGATGGTTCCCCGGGGCTGCTCTGTGGTGCCCTCTGCTCTTGACAGGCTGTCCATAACAATGAATTTCCCTATGGGGATCAATAAAGTAGTCTATACTGTAACCTTAATGGTTATGGGTTTAGCAGTATGTTCTAGAAAAAAAGTTCAAAAAAAAAGCGAGTCTAATTCATTGTTTGGTTAATGCGCTTGAGAATCAAAACTAAAACTGTCAACTTTTGAAATGGTAAATAAATTAACATTATAATTGTGGTTAATATTTGAAATAGCTTGAACATGTAACTTCATATCTGGGGCTATTAAGGGTAATTTTTATATAGTATACAATTTTATTTGGCATATACACTACACTTTTAGGTTATGTTATTGTAGTTCTATAATCTACCACAAGGTGTCAGAACAGTTTCATGTTATGTTCATTCCTTGTTTACCTGTGTTGTCTCACTCACTAAATTAGTGAGATTTAAGATCATATGAACACTGTGTTATTTCTGTACCTGCATATTGTCAATGTTGTGCCTCTGTGTGAGTTGTGTGTCTGTGCGGTCCTGTTCTTAAATACTTCTCACATGCATTTCCCTCTATCCCGCTAATGGGACAGCAGGTGAGCAGAAGCTTGGCTAACCGTTGCTTTTGTGGCTGCGGAGGGTTGTCAGTCATCACAACTCCTCCACCTTCATCCGACAGGCCTCAGCTTCTATTGGCTCAAATGATAACAACAAATACAGCCAGTTGTGCTCTTTCACTGCAAAAAAGAATCTGCATGAGTCAAAGTGACTTGTAGTGCAAGTTTAGATTTTTTTATTTTTATTTTATTTTATTTTTTTTGGACATGGATTATTTTATTGGTTTGAAAAGACCACATAAATATTAGAACTAAACTTGTAACAGATCTGAAGAACTAGACCAGACTAACCCAGGACTAGAACAGCCAGGACCAAACCTCTTGGATTAAACCAAGACTAAACCAAGTTTGAATGCAGTATTTCTGGCATTATGTCTTATTGAAAGCTTCTTACCATATTGTACTTACCACGTGTCCTTGGGCAAGACACCTCACCCCCCCTTATATGTATGAATTTGATGTGTGCATGAATGATGGGGTGGTGGCGGTCGGCGGGACGGTTTGGTGCTGATTGGCAGCCTCGCTTCCATCAGTTTACCCCAGGGCAGCCACCTGGTATGGTGTAAACAAATAATGCAATGAAAGCCTAAATCAAAAGCATTTTTATTTTTATTAAATCAAAACTGTTGAAAATAACACCCTGAATACAAACCATTTTACTCATGGAGTCATTTGCAGTGTTGATATTCAACCTGTATTTCTATTATCATTTAAAACAGTCTACTGTGTGAGTGGCCTTTTGGTCAAACTTACAAACCAGTGAACACATTTTAAAATGACATTTTTATGATTACATTACATCTTTTGTGTCACACTGGTCTGCAATGTCACTCTTCTATTTAACCCATGTTTGTTCTCTTATTGACTAGTGATTATTAAGTCCTTTTTGTGGAGAGGTGACGGTTTACCTTTACAACTTTACAAATGTCATTAGTGATTTCTGATCTAAGGTGTCAGTATTTCAGGCATTTCAATTAGATCCTCCTTCTTCTACAATTTGCATTTGTTCAATAATTTACCACACATTTACTTAGGGTCCATCTGATTCTGTGTATTTGTGCATAACTGAGCTCATTGTTTTGAATTTTAGGGAGTGTGTGATACTAGTTTGAGGCCTTACATGGATTTTTTTTTTTTTTTTTAATTAAACACCATTCCTCCCCAAAATTGTGTAAAATAAATATATATAGGCTATTGCTTTGTAATTCATTGCATGATGCTAAAAAATATTTAAAGCAACAATTATGGGAATTTCAATAAATTGAAAAACATTTGTTTATTTTACATTTTTATCCTTATAGTTGCATACTTGGAATAATGATTGTGTCTTCTTTCTTTTCGCTCTGCTACATGTGAAAGTGTGACTGCATAATCTTATGAACTCGTAAAATATATAACACTGAGTTTGTTTTCAATGCTCTGACATTCTCAGTTGTTAGCAATACTCAGTGTTGGTCTTACAAACACTTTTTGGAATATGTTTTTGAAATCGTTTTAGGCATAATTCTGGCATTCTTTGAAACCTTTGTGTATTTTGTAGCAATTTCACCGTTCACACATCATCATAATGTACAACACCATCATTTTAACTCAAACGCCTCCATATGACCTTGCCTGTTATTGCATTCTGTGATTCAATTTACTTTCAAATGAATTAGCAGGGACTATATTTCGACAAAAGGCATAATGCAATAACGTTTCCATGTTGTGTTTAGAACAGGTTTTCTAAAATACTTGCAGCTTCCATGTAATTTAAAATATCTGTATATATAGAGTGACATCCATATTCTTGTCTTCATCAGTTACTACCTGCCCAAGAAGTTCTCCAGCTGCAATATTGAGGAGTACCACAACTTCCTGAACAGCGGCGGAGGAGCCTGTCTCTTCAACAAACCAATGAAGGTGCACAAATGCGTCTCTACTAATAACATTAAAGTACTGCTAAATTCACAGACCTTCTCTTTAAGTTTATACCATTTTCTATGCGTTTTTTCAGCTGTTGGACCCTCCTGTGTGTGGAAACGGGTTTGTGGAGCCAGGGGAAGAGTGTGACTGTGGGAGCCCAGCAGTGAGTCAAGCAGCAAATGTCTTTAAGCACTTCAGCACGGTGGTTGGTCTCAGTAAAATTGAAATGATTGTAATTAGCATATTGGCTGTACAGAACTTAATATCCTGTTTCCATGGGGTCTATAAAACATGACCACCACAAAAGTCCTTGTCCTTGTATTAGTTTAGCCATTTTCAGTTCACCTAGATGTCCACACTGAAAATCTACACTGAATTTTACAGCCAAAGCGACTATAACTGTTTAGACTAAAATATATTTCACATTGACATGTTTGGACACCAGTTGTTGGGCTGTATTTTTCACCAGTTAATATATATGACCTTGTGGTTACTAGGAATGTGCTCTTGAAGGGGAGAACTGCTGCAAACAGTGCACCCTGACACAAGGTTCAAAGTGCAGCAATGGACTCTGCTGCAACAACTGCCAGGTATAAACATCTTTTCAAAATCAAAAGAAATATGCATTACTAAAGCAGACATTTAGCTTTTTTGCTCTTTTTGCAGATGGCGTTTATGGGTGCAGTGTGCAGAGAGGCAGTGAATGATTGCGACATACCAGAAAGCTGCACAGGGAATTCTGGAGAGGTGAGTGTGAGGAGACCAGGTGCTATGGCAACAAATAAAAACATGAATATAATACAAGTCTGATGAAATAAGCATTTTAACGGTACTGTGTCTTTTATAGTGTCCAGCAAATGTGCACAAAATGGATGGTTACACCTGTGAAAAGGACCAGGTACAAATGACGACAGTGTATTAAGTATAAAGGCTTACTGTGATAATTCTACATTTACTGAAACTCTCTTTTGTTTCCAGGGGCGCTGCTTCAATGGTCGGTGCAAAACCAAAGACAGACAGTGCAAATACATATGGGGAGAGAGTAAGTGAACCATATTCACCTAGTCATTTATTTAACTTACATCTCTTATATCTCTTTTTTAAATAACTTTTGTGCCATTTTTTTCTCATAGAGGCAACAGCAGCTGATAAATTTTGTTACGAGAAACTCAACATTGAAGGAACAGAAAAAGGAAACTGTGGGAAAGATAAAGACACATGGATCCAGTGCAATAAACAGTAAGACACAGATTTTAGTTTTTACACAAGGTTTTACACAAATGTACTATTAAAAGTGGGTAGAATATAACATTCCACCATTTCCACCACTAATTCCCACTTTTGTTTTGTGACAGAGATGTTCACTGTGGATACCTGCTGTGCTCAAACATCTCCCCTGCACCGCGCCTCGGCGAGCTCCAGGGGGGGCTCACGTCCTTCACAGTGGCCCAGCATAGTGCCTCTTTGGACTGCAGGTACAACTCTCATCTCTGCTAATACAACAAGGGTTGTACATCGACACAAACCAAACACGTACTGTAGTTAGTAGAACATTTCAGTAGTCATTTGGCCTTGTGGATTTTTTATTTATTAAACTTAAAAAGGTGCTCAATGCTTTAATATCTCCTCCAGAAGTAATTTTTCAGTTACATTCATACTGGTTTGACCCTGGCTCTAACTCTAACTAACTAGCTAACTCTGTGTTAGTTAATTTATTTTCTTTTAGTCAGACAATTTTATTAGTGTGATGTATTTGTCTAGACATGTAAATACATCTCATTAATAAAAATGTCTGACTAAAAGAAACTATGACGTTAACTATTGTAACTTGAAGATTGAGATGAATGTTACAAAAGCCTCTCTATTCCCTGCAGTGGCGCTCATGTCCTGATCAATGGAGACACAGACCTGGGTTATGTGGAGGACGGGACGGCCTGTGGGACGGACCACATCTGCTTCAATCACAAATGTCTCCCCATTCAACAGTTTAACTTCAGCACCTGCCCCGGGACCACCGACAAGGCCATCTGCTCTGGACACGGGGTACACAACAATGATAGAGAAATACTTTATTGATCCCCCGAAGGGGAATTTCAGGTCTTTCAGCTATCTCAGGTGCACTTTTAAAAAAAACAATACAGGACAACATGAGGAGAGGAGGAGGAGAAAAAAAAGAAACAACCTCCAAACCCTGCTCCTGTAGGAAGCATAATGTGAGACAAAACAAAACAAATGGCACTCAAATCTAATATGTTTTTGTTTATATGTTTGTTTATTTTATTTATTAATGGCTTTGTAACTTGAAAACAATAACTGTGCATTGGTAATCTGGGTAGATCTGAAGTTCTCTTTATGTAAATTCTGTGTATTACGCTATCAATAATATTGTTACAAATCTGCCAACACCAATGTAATTATTTTGTAGTTATTTTGATTAATTCTAATACATTAAAATGTTATTTTATTTTGATTGTTTTAAAATGTAAAAAAAAAAAATAATAAAAATCTAATAATAATTAAAAATTTAATTCTAAAACTTACACAGTACCACCGTAAGGCATATTTGGCTTTAGAAAAATAGTTTAGACAGGGATTAAAGCAACACTGAACCAAGTCTAAACCTGATCTAAAAATGTCCCAATAAATAAAGGCAAACACATAAACTAGAATATGTGTATCACCAAAGCAACTGGGACCTATGGGATTCAGAATGATGATAATGTAGGACCTTCAAATAATGTAAGATCTTTCAAATGGGAGAAAGTCTTCAGCATGTTGCAGAAACCGAGACCTGTGAATACAATAATGTAAAATCCAATGTTATTGGTGACGTATGGATACAACAATCCTAGTCAAGTCATTGCTTATGAACACAGTCTAATCACTATTTAATGTGTGCTGCAGGTTTGCAGTAGCGATCTAAAGTGTGTGTGTCACTTGGGCTGGGCTGGAGACGACTGTAACTCCACTTCTCCAGTGGGCTACCTCGCTGTGGGACCCACCGCCCCCGTTTCAGGTACAACTTGTAACTGCCTTTAGTGTTTTCTTTATCACAATTTGTCACTGCTCATTCAAATCACTGTGAAGTCACTTTTTATTACTTATTTTCACACACACATTTCTTTGTGTTTTTATATTCACCAAAGTGCATGTCATTTTATTTACCATTATTTTCAGGCTGATGTCTTGACGGATTTTCTTAACCAGGTTCGAGTTTCTCATTGTATTTGACTGACGTGTGTATTTCCTTCCTACTGATTCTTTTCCTTTTTTGCCCCATAACCATTAAGATATCTGGAAAATAACGAATGTTTGGTTGGTTTTAAGTCTTTATAGCTGTGGGTTCCCTGTTTTTCCAATGACACTTGTCCCGCTCGGTGTGGTCTGTTGTTGTGTGCTGCCACAGTCTTTTGTGGTTTGTGATTCCCATGTGAGCGAGTTACTCTGGTAATTGGAGGAACAAAGAGGTTAACACATGTTTTGACTCTCTTCCCCACTCTGCTCCTCTTTGTCTTTATTCTCTCTCTTTCAATCTTCCATTTATCCCTCTATCTCTCCCCCCACTTTCTCTCACCCTCTTTTATTGCCCTCTCCTCCTTTCTCTCACACACTGTCTTCTCCATCTCTCTTCCACTCTTTCCATCTCTCTCCCCCTCACAGGGATCACTAGCACCAACATCATCATTGGGGCCATTGTGGGCTCTATCCTGTTTCTTGCTCTAATCCTGGCGGTCACAGCCTGGTGCTACAAGTGAGTGCCAAAAACACAATTTCTAAAAAATCTAATTATAATATCACTATCACTATCACTCCTCTGTTAATAGAGGAGACTATGCTGCTCCTCCATAGTCTATTTTTGCTCCATGGTCTAAATCAAACTGAGCATTAAACTGGTATTAAAAATAACACTTTTTGCTTATATTATCATAAATATATAAAAGTAACTTTTTTCATCTTTAATTAGTCTGTTATTGATTCATACAGGTAATAAGTGACATATTTACTCCAAAAACTGTAGAAATTTTTTTCCAAATGAGAATAAGATGTGCCACCATAGTCTTGTAAAAACCAGAGGAAACCATAGATTACTGACAATTGTAAATCATAAGATTCATAAGAAGATTTATGAGTTAATAAGTAAATATGCTGTACCTGAAGTGCCCTTTGAATATATGCCCTTTGAATATATCATGAGATAGACTACAATATTTTTGAATCGCCTTTACTCACCTCTGATGATGACTATCAAACTCACATTTATTAGTATCTCACAGTGCGTTTTGTATTCACTTCTTGCTCTCTCATGTGATGCAGGAGCTACAAGCAGAAGCGTTATGAGGAGTCTGAGGTCCATCGAAGATTCTGCCGGTTTGTCAACTTCTTTTGTGATATTCAAAATAGCTTTCCTTCACTTGGACCTGCATTCTTACCGGTCTGTCAGTCCTTTAGTGATAGATGATTGTAATGAAAAATTAGGGCTGCGGTTGTCTAAAGAAATTCTTGGACGGCTAAAGACATGCCCTGCAAATCTAATTAATTGACTAGAAGGGGGAGGTGGTGCTGATTAAACGTCTCAAAATGATTAATCGTGCCAAACCTATGAGTAAACAGCATCTTCAGCAAAAGGCAGATTAAAGTGTCTCATCACTACACAAGTTCCTTTCTCCTTTTTGTTGTTGTGCAAAAACCTCCTCATATTAATCAAATAATAGCCTAAAGAACAACAGCCGTACAGCATAAATCCCAGAAATGGTGTCCATAACAGGAAAAAAAAACAAACAAAAAAACACATCTGTCAGAAAAGGACACTTATAACTTATTTTTTGATCTATGTTATGATGTTGTTATCTCTTCAGAAACATACCTGGAGTTGTGTTTTATTTTACTCACACTTGTTCAACACACAAACCCTGCATATTTAGTCTGAGTTCTTCTCTGTGTTCTGTTTGCCCATAAAAATTTAGATTTTTGATCTAATATTTCTAAAATTACTTGGCATATCCTTTTCCTAGACTTGTCCTACCTCTAACCATGGATCATTTTGTTGAACACTGTAAGATATAATGACAAATAAACCACTTTACCCTACAAATAGCTTACAGAAATGTCAACATTGTGGATGCTTTAGCACATAACACGTGAACACATCTCCAAAATATCCAAACAGACAGATTACAAGGCTAAATATCTGTGTAATTCCTAATCTTTGTTTCAAGGCAAATCCCTCCTGGAGACTATGTGACGAAGCCCAGTGACGCAGACTCGTTCTACAGTGACATGCCTCCGGGCGTCAGCACTAATTCAGGCTGCAGCTCCAAGAAGAGGTCAGCCTGCCTGTCCCACCTGCAGCTCTGCACCCTCTCCTTCACCCCCTCCATCCCATCATTCTCACAGAACCTCTCAGTGTTTGGCTTCAGGTGCGCCATCATCTCCACCTCGCTCATCAGCGCCCTCTAGTGTGTATCTGTGTATGTGTCTGTATGTGTGGGCGTGTGTGTGTGTGTGTCTGTGTGGAGGAGCAGTCATGACGGCTCTGATCACTGCTTTAGACAAGTTCACTAAGCGCTCCATCACGCTTGTAAGTACCATCTTCCCTTTACTTATAGTTGGTGAACATTTTGGGAGCTACAGAATGTTCACAGCTCATGCCAGTGTCTATGGTATACAGAGTATGAATACAGTGTCTGTATTTGAATACTCCACTTTACCACGCCATGCCCCACATTTAGCTGCATAATACTAAGCCATGCTATCTGCTAAAATGGCTTTCTTTCACTGACCTCGTCCTCTCATCACACCTCCAGTCTACAACAGCTCAGCATTTCTAATTGACCTTGACCCTGCTCTGATGTTGTGCACATGTGTAGATCCAATGGGTTGTCCCACTCGTGGAGTGAGAGAATCCCAGATGCCAAACATATCTCTGACATCTGTGAGAACGGCCGGCCAAGGAGCAACTCCTGGCAAGGTAAACACAGCCCAGTGCAACAGCAACACCCCTGTGTTCACACCATAGACTGTATATATATATATATTTATACTATATACTTTTATATATATTTATATATACAGTACGGTTCATACAACTGACTTTGGTGTTTCTCATCAGGAAATCTGAGCGGCAATCGTAAGAAACTGAAAGGGAAGAAGTTTCGTGCTCGCTCAAACTCCACAGAGTAAGTCTGATCTGATCCCCAAAGACATGTATCATTTTATCATATTAAACAGGCTGCACTTACAGCGAGACGGAACAAACTATGCAGAATCACACACCAACCTCCCTGTAGTTTTACTGTCATATGCTACTACTAATAACTAACATGTGCACAGGCCCATTCTAAAATGTATAAATGATTGACCAAAATGGTGTGTTACTAAACTGTCAAACATCCAGGCATGCTCTTTATCCCCATGTTAAAAGACAGTCTCAAGTAACTTGTTCTCTTGAAGCCTCTTGGTGAATGCTCTACCCTCCGTGGGCTGCTCAGTGAAATGCAGACTGCACGAGTGGCTTTGGCCTGGCTCCTTGATGCATTTGGTGCATTTGGAGGTCTTGCTTTAGTGCACAGCTCCTGTAGTGGCATGAGAGTGATGGAGTGGGCTTTGTGCTTTGGGTTTGAGCCTGTCTGAGCCTGTCACTGGACACTGTTGTTTGTGATGTTGCTTCATCTGAATCTCACAGGTCTGATGCCATTTTCTCACCATTTTCTCAATGCATCTTGTGTTTGTTCTGACGATCTTTGCTCTGCTTTCCTAAAATATTTCCTCTCTCCTCCTCCTCTTTTGTGCTTATTCTGTGTTGTTTTCCATTTCCTTTCTCTCTTTTTGTTGTGTCCACCCCCCTCCTACAGGTATTTAACCCCTCCTGTCAAAGAATATTATGATGTAACTAAATGGGTAGAAGACGTGAATAAAAACACTCAAGGACCTTACCTTAGGTATTATCTCCCACCACATACTGTGCCCTCGCGCTTGTCCTCAGACCCACTTTTAGTTTAGTTTCATTATTTTTGTCAGGGCAAGTTCAAATTATTATTTTTATTATTATGTTTTTCTGATGAGTCAAAATGAGTATTTGGCATGTTGTGTCCAGCGGGGGGCTGCTAAAAGTATTAAGGCTGGACAAAACAGAGCTTATACAAACAATCTTTAATTTAGACTTTTATTTGAGCTTAATTTTTCTTGCTTATATAAATTATTATGGCCTCAGTTACAACCTATCCTGTGTATTATAAAATTACATTATAATTTATATATATATAATTTTAATCCTTCCTGACTGCCTCTTTCTTTGGCTCCTCTTTGCTTCCTGTTTTCTGTGATGTTGCATGATATCGGTGATGGCGGCATGTGCCACCTCTTGTGCCTCAGCCTTGTGATGACATCATCACTGTGCTGCCACGGACCAAACTCCCTCAAGGTCTATAGATGATCATCATAATAATGTCCCATGGTCAAAACTGCAAGGACGCAGCCACACTTCACCTTGACTAACCAGCACTAACAAAACACCACATGTTCAGTGTTGACATCTATAGACCTTCAACAATCCCAATAGAGCTTTTATTAAAGGGAGCACATTGTCAAAGAATGGAGAGTTACACTTTCATCTGCAGTTACAGGGCTACAGGGCAAGGCTAACTCTCCTACCTCTGTGGGTTAAATTCCCAGTGTCCCATATTATTTATGAGTGGAGTGCCTGGCTCCACGACTCCTCAATTTCTCAGCTGTCAATCATGTCTGTGGAGAAAAGAGAGTTGGTTGGTAGGATTCTCTATTCCATGGCCGTCTCTCCTTAGTGGACTGGACTTACATCTGTGGAATCTAAGAGGCAGAGAATTGATCTGGAATCTGTGTTCTGGGTAAATGATCCCAATGAATTTCCTCTAGTGTATCTCTTTGGCTCGGACTAACCCGGAACTAAACCAGGACTAGAACAGAATCAAAGGCTTAACCAGGACTAAACCAAGATCATGCAGGACCAAATCAAAACAAGAGAACACATCCTTACTATTGGCATGAGCTAATTGTCCAGGCTTAAGATTCATACTGGTTGTTAACTTGAATCTATCTTACTAATTGATCAGTGTTTCTCAAGTAATAGATGTTGTGGTCTCTCCATTATTTTGACAGTGTGATTATTTCCTGAGACAGTAGCTTCCTATCTGTACCCAGCTCCTGTCTGGTCACAGTCAGTTGTCCCTCAATGAACTCTTTAGGGCTGCAACTAACCATTATTGTAGTTTTTAGTTAGCCATTATTTTTTTGGATTAGTTGACTGGTGAAACAATTATTTCTAGTGTACACTGTGATTTTTAAACTACATTTTTAACGCTTCTAAATGATTTGTTTTATATTACAGTTTTATAATACCACAGCCTGTGTTGGCCTGTATTAGTAGACCAGATACTGATTATGCTTATCAAAATAAAATTACATACATTATCTATTTTAATAGTAGAGTAGCCACAGAGCTTTAAGTGGAAAAAAGTATTGTTAAAATCCTAACAAGACAACGTTTATCCCAGTTAATCATTGCAGCCCTAGTGCTCTCAGATTTATCGAGTGCATTTGAGAGATATTGAAAGTGAACACACGTCTGATGGGTACTGCGTATTACAGAAGAATGTATTTGATGGGTTTTCCCTGAAATATTCGGCTTCTCGGAGCAATCTCCTCTTGTAAAAAAGTGGAGCAGTTCAAGGAGGATGCTGCTGCTCAAATCTATGTTTAGAGCAGTACTTCCTTGAATGAAGCCTAATTTATCCGTGACCTACTCTAGTCTATACCGTACATCTATCCAAAAGACAGGATTTTCACTTATATCTTCTCTAATTTACAGGACCCTATCTCCTGCCAAGTCTCCCACCTCTTCTACGGGGTCTATTGCCTCGAGCAGGAGATACCCCTACCCCATGCCCCCCCTCCCCGATGACCAGAGGAAAGCCAGGCAGAGTGCCAAGGTGAGGTGCTTACCAACATTTACCATTTACCAAACAATGCATATGTTTTTTTTTTATGCCTAAAATGGAGTATAACCAACCAAGAAGGTAACTGTGCATACATTTGACAATCCTTTGAATTGAAAGAACTATTACTTGTATTCAGAAACTACCCATGAAGTGAATTTTCATTTTAATTAAATTTTGATAGTCAATAGCTGGAGTGGTGTTTCATTCACACATATTTGAGTAACCCTGTGTTATTAGTCTGTCCATCTCCAAAGCTCAAAATGCTCTGTTCCACCTTGTGATGTCATGAGATGATAGTTTTCGAGCTACCTTTTACAATTTGTTCTATAATAATTGGCAATTCGAGGGCTCAAACCATCCAAATGATTCTGGTCAAGGTATAAGGAGAAAAACTCAGCGTTAAAGATGCAGGGTTTTTTGTGTTAAATGTGTGAATCGAACAAAACACAGCTCCAGGTATGTTTTTGATGAGGAAACAACATTGTAACAGATCAAAATATAGCATAATATAGGCTGTTTAATAACAAAATTTGATCATTATTGTTCTATAAATACTTCTATCAATGTGGAGACTATAGAAGGTCCAAGTTTTAAGGTTTCAACACTGTCTTTTAGTAATAAATATCACAAATAATATCCTTATGTTATTTTTACTCACATTCTATTTCTAGATCACGCGTTTTATACTTCTATATCTCTCTCTTTCTTCCTTCAGCTTTGGGAAACATCAATATAACTGCACCCTGATCTGCAACGATGAAGGAAGCTCACTTTTTCTATGGGTAACACAAGTTGCTGAAATGACTCTCTTTGATTGAGGCGATTGAGAGGAGGATCTACACAGACGTACAATATCTGAGGTGACTTCAGTGAACAAGCAACGCAGGACCCAAACTGGTCTTTTGGTTCATGTTTAGTGGATGAGTCTGCACTGAGATCTCCATTCTTTCCTGAAGAGAAGACTGAGCAGTTGAGATCTTTTTCCATATAGGGACCGGAAACCACTCTGACCCTTGAGCTTTGAACTCCACACGGCTCTCACACTCAATCCAAGTAACCCTTTTTGCCTTTTGGGGGGCATATACTTAACTTTACAACGTAACACACTAGGAGCAGACCATCTCAATATCTGTTCAACCATTTCGACGCACGTGAACCACTATAGACACTCCTACACTGTATGCATGGGAAAGCCCCGAGATGGAGGTGGTGAAGGACAGTGGACTTTGCAGAACGCATGGTGTTTTGATACTACCAGGCTTTCTTTACACGATAAGTAACCCATATTTTATCAGCAAATCGTATAGCCCCAATCATGAACATTTGTAAATATGTACAGTCTCACCCAATCTGCTTTCTTACACTGGGAAAGTAGAATTGTGTTGTTGGCAGACACTAGAAACTCATAATTTTGTGTATTTTTCATGCTGTAAGTGTTAAAAATTGTCTCCTCCTTTTGCAATTCCCTGTCTGAAAGGTGCCCTAATGTAACTTTTCTCATCTCCATGGCATCATTGCTTTGTCTGGAATATTCCAAAGTATGGCATTACACTTATTTATCAAGCACTATTCCATTACTTGTATTTTGATTGTACAACACGTATCCTTGCAGTGAAAGTTGGTCAGCCCACCAGATCACTTTGCCAAATAAGCCTTACTGTGGAATATTCCATACAAAGCAATGACATCTCCATGGAGACAAGCAGAAAAGTTACAGAGTGGACCTTTAAAACCACACTGTAATGTTTTTAATATGTCTGAGCACCAGTTTTGCCATCATAGAGAAAGTATTAATTTGATGCAGGTTGCGCAGCACTTTATGAAGATATGGGTAAAGTATTCATTGATTTTATGTACAGTTAATTGTGCCATTATTGGATGTGATGACTAGACTGAGACGTGTTTGGTGTAGTTAGAAATAATTTTCACAAACTTCCAAAATCCTTCCCTCTCTATAGTATTTAATTCAAATATATATGGATTATTTTGGGACCACTGTGCTACTATTTTAATTTATTGAAGCATATTTGGTCGCTGAAATTGGCAGATTTTTATTAGACTAACGTGAGTGATTGAAACTGTAAGAAAACTGTGATTGAAAATGCATTTTGGTTTAGCTGCAGTGAAATTTTTAGCCTTGTAAATTCTGCTGTATTGTGCTTGCTGTTTGAGCTTATGAAGATATGATTACCAACAGCATGACTGCGCCCTATTTCAAATAATTTCTTAGGAGTGATAAGACCATGGCATGTCACTGAAAGACCCCCTTACAATTTACACAATATCCAAAAATATTTGTGAATTCAACTTATTTTTTGTATTTAAAAAATGCACCATTCTTGTACAAACATGTGAGAAAGCCTAATGTTACTTGTCCTCCATTTTGTTCTGATGTGGCACTTCATGTGTAACAGTTAGGGTTGTGTAGGTGACCTGCCTTTCACAGTATTAAACCAACTACAGTAATTTTTATTATATATCTTTGTAATAATTTATTTTTGTCAGCATTCAAACCGTGATTAAGTGCATTATTGTAAATGTGTGTTGATAATAACATGGAGAGGAGCTGTGTTTGATAAATGCATTTGTTCCAGGAGCTGAAAAGGCAGTTGTTTTTCACTTCAGTATAAAGGGCAAACCTATACAGAGCTTTCTGATAGGTTGCATTCACATGATTTTCTAAAAAGACCATAAATTAAAATTGAGCATGTAAGAATTCTGTACGAAATTTCCTCTTTAGCTTGTATTTGCAAATGTTTTGATCTAGTTTATGGTTAATATCTCTAAGTCTATTCACATGAAACAAAAACTGTCCAACATCTCGTGACAGCACAAATAGACTAAGGTGGATTCTTTCCCACAATAATCAAAGGGTTCCTCATTCAGTCACAAGCCACAATTGTTGTAAATTAAAAGGAAATCCAGTACACTGATGTGGCACGTCTGTGGAATATAATGAGGTCCAACATTTATGGATTATCAGTTTGTATATTTCCCATGTATAAAGAAATATACGCACCTACCCTCCAACTGAAACATCATGTAACATCATAAAATATTTAAAAATGTGAATGCACCCTATTAGCCTAATAGTTTTGTCTTGTGGCTGTGATGAGAGAGAAATACCATGGGCTGGGCAAAATGTGGCTATTGATCTCCTGCCCAGCCTTCAAACTGCTCTGCCCAATCTCAGCTTGGTCTCTGGGTCAGAGACGTGAATGTAAAATGTAAAACACTCTCTCAGCTATTTACTCCAAAGGCCAAATGTACTGATCCACTATATCCACACTGCTGTTAAAGTCCCTTTGTAATTTTGTTTTGCCTGTAATGCTGTAAAGACTGATGATGCAAAAATCAATGCCCTTATTTTTTTCTCTTAATCAGTATTGTAATATATTTAATAAAAAATTACTCTTTTATGGACAGATGTGGGCAGTATTATTATTATTATTATCGAAACATCAAACACTATACACAAAAATATCACACCTGGTGCAGAGGTCCTGTGAAGATGCCAGGCATGAGAGAAATTCAGATGTATCTTTGATGAAACAGCTTTATAACACATTTTAGACCATCCAGATCAGTCACATGTTTTATGTCTCGTGCACCCAGAGGTCTCAGCTGCTACACTCCAGACAACAGTGTCCTTGGTAACAAATTCTGATGTCCATGAATGTTATAAGTGCCGCCTGAGTTCTTTTAGTTTTTCTTGAAGAAAGGCTTTATTTTTCAACTCTGCTTCTTCATCAAGAGACTGTCGAATGCAGTTTTTAAGATGTTCAATCCCAAATCCAGTGAGAGCTGAGACAGGAAGTATGTGCTTAAAGTTTATGTACTCCTTTGGTATCATGTCATCCTCCAATAGGCTATAAAACTCTGTCAAGAACAAATTCCAGTTAAAAAAAACATTTTTAAAAATATCTTAAAAATTTCAAATTAGTACAAACATTTACCTTCTGGGTTTTGAAGCTGGATTTTAAGCTCTGCTAGTTTTTCTTCAGCATCAGGGAGGTCCATTTTGTTCACCACCAGTAAAGCAGGTTTGGACACGAGCTCCTCTTTGTACAGCTCTAATTCCTTGTGGACAGTAATAAGATTTAAACAGAATGTGCAAGAAGGTTCAGACTAAGTGTGGCTGTATGGTTCTTACCTTTGTCAGAAGCTGCACTGCTTCAAAAGCAGATCTGAACGGTGTTTTACTTGCCAGCTGGAAACCGCCAATGTCCACCTAGTTTAGAGACAGTATTATCAACAGTAAAATGACAGCTCTCAGTGACTGGACATTTGAATTATTTCAAACTTGTGCACATAGATACACACCACAAACAGCAGTTGTTTAGTCCTCTCCACATGTTTGAGAAACTTGTGTCCCATGCCTTTGTTTAAGTGAGCGCCTTCAATGAGTCCTGGGAGATCAGCGACTGAAATCTAACGACAACAAATAAATAAATAAATATTTTATTGTAACAACTTGTGTTATTGCTTGGAATGTTCCACAGTATGGCATTCTCTACCTTCTCTATCTCCATGGAGACAAGAAGGTGAAACCACAAGAAGACCAAGTTAAAGGTCAACTGATAAAAACATCTGTAATGGAAACTCAAGATAGATATGTCATGCCATACTGTGGAATATTCCTTGCAAAGCCATAACATCTCCATGGCGAAAAGCACTTGGCAGATGCACCCACCAGAAACCTTAAATAGTGCATCTTTAAACACAAAACAAAACAATGTTCTTTACCTGTTTATGATCTTTGTACATCAGCTTCCCAATTTCTGGTTTTAACGTGGTGACTGTGAAAAAGAGTAGTATTGTTAAAACATGTTTCATCTTTAATGAATGGGTACTGGTAACAATAATAGAGATTTACAAGCATAGCTGGCAATCTGAGGAGTTGCATTAGAAAGAGCTGTCAGGAGAGAGGATTTTCCTGCATTTGGAAATCTGACAGAAAACACAAGGAAGTTCAACAATGAATTGCATGACCATGTGGACAGTTAAAAAGTGAGTAATTCTTTGCAATCTTACCCCACTAATCCCATGTCCGCTATTAGTTTCAGATCTAGTCTTATGTGCTTGGGTTTTGCTTTACTGGGATTAAAGATTGAGTGAAAAGAGCCTCCACTTCCACCTTTAGCGACTTTCACACTTTCTCCAGGAGCATCCAGGTGACCTTGAAAACAAAACATTAAAATTATAACTTACAACACACAAAATTTAAAACGACAAAAGGATTGATTTTGAGGTTATAAAACGAGAATATTTCCTACCTATAACTCTGCCATCATCTGTGGTGACAGTGATGCCAACAGGTGCCAGGATGCTACAGTCCTTCCCCCGTTGCCCTTTCAGAGCCTTGACACTGTTATAGACACAATTAGGGACATTACTTTACACTCATAATTGCTTAATTAATCAATCTGAAGAGACTACTCAGGCACTAGGCACTTAAATTAGTCCAAAATTCACTGAAATAGGTACCACAAGAACAATATATGCTGATTTAAAGAAGCCTATTTAGACAAATATTAAGATATTATGTATGAAGAGTTGTGTAGACCGCACCCCTGCACTCTCTCTGACATAATAATGAACCACTTGCATTAAAGAATCAATGCCAATGCCAAAACATAAATAATGTAAGCCTGTAAACATTTCACTTACCTGCTGTTTTCCCCTGATCCAGCTACAAAGCGTTTCTGTGGGTATTTGTCTTTTATTCTTTTAAGGGTCATGTCTTTACTGGCCACTACATAAACATCTCCTCCATCTCCACCTTGACCACCCAGACGGGGCAAACCCATGCCTCCGCTGCCCCCGCGCACATACAGCCGCAGATTATCAATGAACTTCCCATACTGTAAAAAAGCATGACAGGAAACCTAATTAAGAATGCAGTCATGGCATTGCTTACAGAGGACATTGGCTAGCTGGTAAAACTAGGCTCTCATTAGAATATTTCAACATTAGTTACGTTACATGCATTTATGATTATTTACTTGCCTTCCGGTGACAAATTCTGGTCAATTGAACCATCTTCTGTGGCGTTTTAGGTAAAAGTTTGTGTAAATTATGAAGCTAGCTGCTAGTACACATGTTTTGGGGATAACAGGAAGTGCGCACCAGCGGCGGACTCTGATTGGTCGATTGGATGAGGAGGCGGGTCTATGCGCGTTTGGAATTTGTTCTTTTTATTATAATTATTTTATTATTACTCAGATAAATAGCAGACACAAGACTTGAATAACAATCCATATCCTTTCCTGTTGACTTACTGTTTTTCATTCGCCTCTGCGGCTATTAGTTCATTTTAAAGCAGGCTTAAATGTACGATTTACTACTTCAACCATGATTTCAGCCATGTTTAAAGAAGAAAAAAAAAAAAGAAAGAAAAGAAAATAGAATAGAATAGATAATTTTATCATGTGAAGCTTTTTTTTTTATTAGGCCACTTAAGCTATAGTTACAAAAGGATGCTGCTCCGGTGGATGGTGATGATGCTGATGCTGCTGCAGCCATCCTCCTGTGAACGCGCTTACGTCTGGTGCATGCGCACGTGACGACAAAGACTGAAGAGCCGGTGCCACATTGGATCATTTTCTTCAAGAAGCGCAATTTACTGACGAAATAAGTGAGCCACCCGGACCTGTATGTGACGCGTGTATGTGACTGTGAGTGTGTGACCGTGTACGTGTGATGGTGACAGCGTGTAGCAGCCGAGAGAGGCAAGGTCCTCCCCCTGACTGTGCCTATTTATACGGCCACTACTGCCACCGCGACTCGTGATAACTGGACACTACTGGGGCAAAGAGAACAAGTCACAGTGCGGTAAGACATCTCATTTTGGTCAAATACAGTAAAATACCATGAATGTCTGACTGATCTGAACAAACCTTTGTAATGATGTGTGCTGCCTATACTTATCAGCCTATGGACGCAATCTTTGCATTCACACTACGTAACATTGTGGTCCACGAGGACGTCTGCTGCTGGGGTCCCATTCCTCACTCACACTGAACAGGTTTAAAGGGCTGTCGTATTACAAGAAGAAGATGGTTTATGTGGGGAAATTTTGGGGCCTGTAATAAAAGATGATGTGTCCTACGCCAGCCTATTGCATAACGAAGGACTAGACAGGGATGCATTTGACTATAAATATCACAATGTGGCTGTCTGTTAAAATATGTTCTCAGCTGTAGGGATGCTGTGACAAGTGCAGTGTGCAAGTGAAGTAGATGCTGAGATACAGTGAATATTACTGACTGGTGGTTCTCAAAGCAGGTTGCAATGGATGCAAGTCTTTCTGATGCAATAGCCACATAAATCTATCTGGAGTCACAGTCTGAGGCTGAGGTTGGCAACATTATACATTTGTGCTGGTATTTATCCAGAGCAGAGTTAACAACATCTACAGCTTGTTACACTAAAATATTATGAAACAAAAGATTAAAACAAAGTGAACCTTGGAGCTCAGACTGTTGTGTCACACATTCACCAAACTGGTGGAGCAATGTGTGGAATCTGGGTGCTTTCACTGATAAGCGTAAACAGCAGAGACAGTGGCTGAGAGGAGGGCCTGACACTGTAACTGGATGTGATGTTATGAATGCCCCATAATCTCAGCGATGTTTTGGTTAGTTGAGTGAGGAGATGGGCTTTACGTTTGCTGTAGCATTTTGGTGACAGAGAAGTGACAAAAAGTCAGTTGACTTAACTGTCAGAAAACTTTTGAACTGTAAAGTGTGAGATACATAAAATTAATTTTGAGCCTGTGATAGGAGCAGGGGTTTGGTGTTTAGAATTGCACAATATAGGCTTGTTTTAGACATGATTTTCTTTTTTCTATACATTTTTTACTATTGTTTATTTCTTTTGACATTTGAGTAGATTAAAGCATCTCTAACTTTCGGGAGTTTGCACATCACACTCTCCATGGAGATAGATATGTTTTAAACCAGTTTGGAAAATTGTAGCCAAAAGAAAAAACACTGTATGGAGGTGGAGGCCCTCCTCCAGGGAACAGTACAAGCCCACTCACAGAACACATCTTTTCAGTGTAAAAACATAACCTAAAAAAAAAAAAAAAACTTTTGTAGATTATAGTCTATTTTTCATTTTTTAACCATTTTTGTTTATTTAACTGAGCTTCTTTAATTCTACCTCTATGTTGAAATATGTCGTTTTTGTTTTCTCATCTCGCGCAGCCGTAGTTGTGATGATTGTAACTGTCCACATGCCAGGAGCACATTTCCATCCGGGTGCTTTTGAACGAGGCGGCAAAGACATAAACAGGACCAGTGGGATTAAGCCCCACTGAGGACTGATCACAGGGGATTTGCTGCGCGGCTGGTGCACAAAGACTCCACCACACACGCTTCATGGCAACGTTTCACAACACGCTCAGGGCTGCATAAATCTGATCAGAACTGCTCTTTGTTTTGGGAGCGGGAGCAGGGGTTAACATGGGCCTATGCTGCCGCAGGACATGTGGGATGGGCCGGGGGTGTATGGGCGCTGGTATGGGGGCGCGTTGTGTTGTGACGGGATGTTTCCACGTGTACAGAGCTCCAGACAGACGGGGAGGGTTCACTGTGGGAACACAATGAGCAGATGAAAAAAGTGTTTTTCCTGTGTTTCTGCGTCAACTGATGAGACTGGAACTAAGCACAGTATTATTATTTTAAGCAGAATACAAAGCACAAGCTGGTTTGAACTCATCTACAACAGTGGTTTGTAAACTTTTCATACAAAGTACCATCTAAGAAAAGTACCAACCCAGATCTAACCCAGGTCTAAGCAAGACTATGCCAGGCCTTAACTAAGACTAACCCAGGTCTAAATTATGGCTATACCATTGCTACAATAATTCCAAACAAGGCTTACTCATCTCCACTGAAGTTTACCTGGCATGTTCCAAAAGTATGACATTTAATTTATCTTAACTTATCTTTAATTAATTCAATTATAGTTTTTTTTGCTAAAAAAGACTTCATATTATGAGTAGCATCGCCGGTCCACAGATGTGACCTGGAACTTGGCCTGGTGGCTTCTCTTACTTGTCTCCGTAGAAATGGATAAGTTCAATGCCAAACTGTGGAATCCAGGCAAAGCAATAACATTTCTATGGAGATAAAAGTTACATGTCTAGACAAACTGTAGATCTGTGTAAGAATCAGCACTACAAGTACAAGTAAACACTAAGAGAAAACATGAACTAATTTAGTACCTGCTTAAACTAAATCCTCCTGTATTCTGCTCCTCCATGCAGGCTCGGGCCCAGGCTGCTGCCATGCCTTTACTAGAGGAGACCACTCTGCCACAAGAGCGCCCACCAACTATTCCTGTGGTGATCATCGGTACAACCTTTACTCTATTGTGACCTTTTTTTAAGTCCAATACAGACAACTTACTGCATTCACTTGTGCAATCATAATGTCTTCTCTTTCTCTCTCTAGGGAATGGGCCATCAGGTATTTGCCTGTCCTACCTCTTGAGTGGATACAAGCCTTATTTGGATAGAAAAACTGTGCACCCAAATCCAATACTGTACAGAAAACTGCAGGAGGCCAAGCACATACCCATTACTGAACAGGTATGAAGGATCAATGGGTTAAACATGAAACAGAAGAACGATAACAGCATTTCTTTTCAGGACTTGGAATATCTGAGCGAAGGTCTGGAGGGGAGATCCAGAAACCCGGTGGCTGTGCTCTTTGACACACTCTTGCACCCAAACGCAGACTTTGGCTATGAGCTCCCATCGGTGCTTCAGTGGAGGAGGGACAAGACGCAGAGCATTCCCCATTTGGTCTTGGGCCGGTCCACGCCTGGAGGAGCTTGGCATGTAAGACACCACAAGTTTAAACTAGTTCTGGTGTTATATTAGGATGACACACTGGTAGACTTTATATATGCTCTTGTCCTGTTCAGGCCATGGAGGGGTCCATGCTGACCATCAGCCTGGGCATCTGGATGGAGCTTCCAGGAGTGAACTACAGAGACTTGACCAATGGGAAGCGCAGGTAGGAGCCAGCTCAGAGAAAGGATTCAGTATTGACACATTTAGAAATCCCTTACGTTGATTCTGTTTTTAGAGATGTGACCAGTGATAGAGCGACTCCTGAGGAAATTTCTTCTTATTACTGCAACTATGTGAAGCTCAAAGGTCTCCAGAAAAACTTTATCGACAACACGTATGTCACATCTGTGCAAAAGCTGTGCCGTGAACACAGCGAGGAGGGTCTGGAGAAGGAGCACTCTGGTCCAGCAGACAGTGGGGGCAGTCAGAGTATGAGTGGGGGGGCTCTGTGGGAGGTCAGAGGTTACCAACAGCTACAGAGCCACACCCACGTTCCCTTCTCTGTGTTTGCGGAGAACGTGGTCCTGGCCACAGGAGCGTCAGACTCTCCGGTGCGACTGGGTGTAGAAGGGGAGGACCTCCCTTTTGTTTTCCATAGCATTTCAGACCTGGGCCAAGCAGTGAGCCGCAAGAAGCTGGACATGACCTCTGACCCAGTTTTAATAGTGGGCGCCGGGTTGAGTGCAGCGGATGCAGTTCTTTGTGCTTGTAACAACAATGTCAAAGTGCTGCATGTGTTTCGCAAAAGCACCAGTGACCCAGACCTCATCTTCAAGCAGCTGCCCAAAACTCTGTATCCAGAATACCATAAGGTCTACCACATGATGTGTTCACAGAGCCACAGCAGTGCAGCCTCTTCCACTGCTCCCAGCAGGCCTCAGCCTGAGAGCATCGCATCATCAGTCTGCGCCAAGATGTGCCCTAAACCCAAGCTCCCCTCAGACAAACTCTCGGAGCTCAGCCTCTTTCCCGACTATACCAGTTTCCCAGAGCACTGCGTGGTCTCCTTCCAGCCTGACATGAAGTGCTTACTTCAGGGAAACAACTCCCTCAAAGCGTTCAAGGTCTCTATGGTTCTGGTCCTCATCGGGACCAACCCAAACCTGTTTTTTCTCAAAGGTCAAGGCCAGTATCTGGGTCTGAACCCGACCAAACCTGTGTCATGCAAACAGAACCCCATCGACATCAATCCGTACACATTCGAATGCAGCAATGAGCCACTCCTGTTCGCCATGGGCCCACTTGTTGGGGACAACTTTGTGCGCTTTTTAAAAGGTGGGGCTTTGGGCATTGCAGCTTGTCTGCTAAAGAGGTACAAGAAAAAAGAAAAGCTCATCAGCAATGGTGGGAATGATATTATCTGAAACCAATGTCAGTGACCCTTTATCAAGGGGCACACATATCAGTAATTAAAACACCTTTAACTTTTTAAACCCACACACCTGTCATGCCTGTCATCCATAAGGTCTTAGTCCAACCTACAATGTGCCAACTTCAAGTCAGTCTGTGACCTCATTACCACTGTACCTTATTTCAGGGTTATTTTTATACAGGAGTCCATCTGCATAAATGTTCTGGTTTTGGTCTAGCTTAGCTAACATTTGGGAGTGGAATTGAGCCTGTTACTCTATATCATTATCATATTTTTGCTTCTAATAAGATGATTTGACAGACAACAGAGAATGCCCTCAGTTAACAATGACATTTCTGCACACAACTCTGGATTATTTGACATTTGGAAAAAAAAATAATTCTAAACAATGTTCTAATTTTAGTCCAACTAAAAATTAGTCCAAGTCCAACTTCTCAAAAAAAAAAAAAAAAAAAAACTATGAACGGATGAATCCAAAGTTTAAGTGCCAAACATTGAACCTAGAGAACATATATTATTATTATTATTATTATTATTATTATTATTATTATGTTTTAGTGTGTGTATGCTCTTTTTTTTTTATTTTTTTTTATACTCCAGTCTCCCCAGACCACAGTACAGTAGCCTACATTGTGGTTGGTTATCTTGGTGGGGACTAAGCTTTAAGCTAACATGGTTAGTTTGTGCTAACACATTTGTGCTAATTAAGTAGTACAAAGAAGTTATTGAGGAAATGTTTAACATTTTTAGTTGTATTTCAGTAGAAATATGCAGATGAGTGTTTGCTTAATGAATAGCAGCTGCTTGTTGGTTCACACCAGGGGCCTCATTTATAAAGTCTCTTAAAAATAAATCTCCCTTTACTCCAGACCTGTATGTGCATGCATAAATAACTCAATGTGCATGGTTTTATACTAGTGAATCTGAACATGGACTATACTATGTTTATGGCTTTTAGCATGCATACACAGCTTAATAAATGAGACCCCAGGTACTTCTAAAGACAGACTAGATGATGGAAAACTGGACAATCCTTGACTGTAAATTTAGCTTAATATAATTTTTCTTTTGGATATTTCATTTAATGAAGCAATAAGCTAAAAGTGCTTAAGGTCTCCTCACTTAGTCAGGCAGTGGATGCAGATGTAACTCTTGTCTCTGAGCAGATCTGTAAAGTGCCTGATGGAAAATGGGCTCATGAAAGTTCATTTTAAACACTTGATTATTCATCGAGCTGAGCACACTGGACTTCAGTCTGAAAAATGCTTACAATGCGCCGAGCTCTTGGTAAAACTAAAGACTTTTTGATGTTTTGTATGTACTGTTTTTTATTCATGACAAATAAAACTTTTGAAAAAAAAAATTTATTATTATTTTTTACAATTCTTGCTGTCGAATACTTTGTGCAACAATAATATGATTATGTTTAGTGAAAGTAGGTAGAACAGAGGAACACCAAACTGTTGTTTAATTTAATGATTAGTTCTCTGATAAAAGTTCAGATATTTGAAAAGTACAACATGGAGACAATCTCATCTTCTTCTGGCCACTTTACTGGGGTTATACCTAAAGGAAAAACAAAAGTTTGAGTCAGGTTCACACATTCCTCTATGGCTGCATGGAGCAATGAACAAATCTTTTCTTTTCCATTGATTTTTCCCTGACACTTTTTAGAGGAAAAAGTATACTATAAGATTGAAAGCTTGCTGGGGGCTAATCAACTGTATGGTTATTAAACCACAAGATAAATACTTTTATTCAAAATCTGTTTTTGAACATTTATAAACCTCTTTATTAAAACATTTAATAAAATGTAAAAATGTAAGTCTATGGGAAAAGGAACGTAAAATGTACTTACAGAACATCAGTAGGCTTTGACTGTTGTTCACACTTGTACATACATCACATTAGAATTGGGACTAAATTGGGAATAAACCAGGAACTAAACCAGGACTAGAACAAGACCCAGCCAAGTCTACATCAGGACTCAACCAGAATCAAACCAGGACCAAACCAGGACAAGTGTGAACACAGCTTATGACCTTAGATGCTTTTTTGGGACCAACACTAACCAGACCAAATTAAGTGCTATAAATGAGAGATGATGTTTGAACAGTTTAAAGCCTGGACGTCTGGAAGCTTACAACCCAAAAAGTGTAGTGTTTTCTTAGCGGCAGAGTCTGTTCCCTGGATACGCATGACTGAGTGGCCATGACTCAGTGATCAAACACACACAAAATCAATATCACACCGTCTCCTTTCTGCTTAGTCAAAGAAAACAGCAGCGGAGGCTTACATCACTGCTGTTACCGCGGCAACGCCAGTGACGAAGGAGCTGCCGAGTTTTGATTGGTCAAACTTGGCCACCGTGGCCCCACAGTCTTTAGCACTCGCATCGATATTGTCTGTAGTTATGTATAATGAGCAAAGACCTTTCCAGAAGACTTTTTTGTAATGATACTCAGGGTGGGCAAAATATCAAAACATTGTGATACAAAATCTTCTGATACAGTATCGATATCATGGGCTGCTGCATGGATATATCTGCAAGACTATTTTTGGTAGACTGAAATTATTTTATGGTTTTGATTATTAAAATGGGTGTATTTCATATGAACTTTGCATAGGTACTGGTTATAAAAATAAATAATGTTGTTAAAAAGTATTTTGTATATTGTGGTATTATTGTATCGTTTATCATATCAAAACTTATGGGACCCTGTGATTTCCTACACCAAAATACACCTTAATAAGCCTTAATAGCGCATGAAGAAAAACTGATGAATGAATGAACTTAGCAACTTATTTGATTAACATCATTATGCATTATGTATTTGGATATGCTTGTTTAAAACTTACCAAAAAGTACAGTTAGTTACCAACATTTTAAACAAGTATCCTTATTGGATAATTTTTCACAGTGTCATTCTCACCTAAACAGGTCATCTCCTACACTTTCATCTCGTCGACTCTGTTGCTCCTCCTGAAATAAAGATAAATAGGTAAAAGGTGCATAGAAAAAAGTCTCATTTCTCCAAATATGCAAATAAAAATGTATTCATCAGTCTGCTTCTGTTAGAAACATTTACATATTGTTGCGTCTAAAAAACATATTATAAAGTGCAATCTAAAATCATAAAAAAATTGCAAAATTGATTAATTATGTGACATTACCTCTGCAGCGTCTTTGAGCCACTCGTCCAGATCTGAGTTTCTGCCTCTGTTATGAGTCAGGAGATCTGCGCCTCTGATCACTGGAGCCGAGCCACGCGTCTGCACCTTTGCATTAACACAACAAGGACATATTCAAACTACTGAACGTATGTAGTTCACCATGTTGTTGCTCCACTGTTGACTGACCTTACGGAAACATTTAAAGTTCTTCGTGTAGCCGTTGCTTTGCTTCTGTTTTGTCACTTTTGTTGGAGGCTCTGATACTTTGAGATCTCTAAACTCCACCAGCAACAAGTTCTTGGGCAACTGGTCATCCATCTTTGGTTCCTAAGTAATAATAAATTAAAATACATAATAAATAAAAAACAGCACAAACCTCCAAACTGCAATAATCATCCATAATTTGGCATAAACTAAAACAACTAATATGAAGTGTGACATGAAATATATAAATAAAAATATATAAGTGTATCTTCAGTCTTACTTTGACCTCCTGTTTGATAATTGCTGGTTTTACAGGAGTGGCTTCCACTTTAAGGAGTTCTTCATCCTACAAAATTAAACAAAATATAATAAAATGAAAAAAAAATATATATATATCTAAATGTACACTAAAAATAAAAAATAAAAATCTTACTGCTCACCTCAACAAAACTATTACCACCATCCGTGAAAGGAAATCTGTTTTGCTTCTTAACAGCTGGTGGATTGCTTGATTTCTTAGTTAGATATAAAAAAAAATGTTATAATATAAACATCTTCAAATCACAGAAACATATCAGGTATTTATGAAGTAAAACAATATCAAAGTTTTATGGGATTTGCCTTGTTACGTCTCTAAAATAATCTACATTGACTCTTACTTTGACATCCGGTTTCATAGTTGCTGGTTTTACTTCGATGGCTTCTGCTTTAAGAAGTTCTTCATCCTACAAAATTAAACAACATACAATAAAAAATAATGTTTAAACAAATGTAAATAACTTTAAATATTATGCTAACCTCAACAAAATCAGCACTGCCATCAGTGAAAGGGAATCTCTCCAGCTTTTTATCAGTTAGTGCTTTAGACTGTGGCTTGGCTGGTCGATTGGTGGATTTTCTTTTGTCTGATGTTTCTTCTGAAGGTTCAAATGCATCGATGTTTATAGACATATTTTGCTCTTTAATTTTGACTGCTGAGGTACTGCTCGAGGGTGATGGTTTTTCCAAGTGAAATTTCTGACTTATCCTGTTGTCTTCCCGGTCTTGCTCCCGGAGTCGTTGTCTCTTACTGGAAACCTCAACTGTACAAACATCTTTCTGCGGTTTTGAATTGTTCGTTTTTGCCTGATTTTGACTTCTTGGAGGTGGTTCATCAAAACAATCCATATCTTCAGACATTAGGGACTCTAGTTCCTCCAGATCAATATCCTCCATCTCCTTCCTTTTTTGACCTTGTGTTTTGTTTTCAGTCATGCCTCGTGAGTTCTGCGATGATTCTTTTGAGTTTTTTTCAGCTGTTTGTGGCAACTGTGAAGTTATCGAAGAATCCCGGGCTTGTCGCTTTGGTTGGGAGATCTCTGCAGCAAAGTCATCCTCCAATTGCCTTTAAACATATGAAAAAATCAGATAAAACCTTGGTGAATTCATCTAACATCTGCATGATCAAAATTAATCACAATATCCACAATCTATCAGAAATGTGCTAAAATGTGCCTCTATCTGTCTTGGCAGAGTTTTAGGTACATTACATAAATGTGAATTGACATTATCACATTTTCAAAGATTACAATATATGTGTCTTTTTGTTTTTGTAAAATCGTTTTGGCAGATTTCTTAAGGTGTTCTATGTAACTTCATCAGTGGAGGGTCTGCAACCAACTTGTGCTTATGGAGACATGATGGAATGTTCCACAGTACGGTATTCAACTTAACTATAGAGAAGAGCAGGTGACATCAACAGACCAAGTTACAGGTCAGATCTGTGGAGAGCCCACTTACATTAAGGGTTTTGTAACTAAATAAATGCAAGATAGGCACATTTAATGCCATATTGTGGAACATGGAAAGCAATAACATCTCTATGGAGACAAGCAGGAACCCCCATGAAGGTTACATAGTGCACCTTTAAAGACTATATAGCCCATTGTTTCCCAAAGACTGGGTCGTGACCCTCAGGTGGGTCGCAAGAGATTTTTTGGGGTCGCCTGATCTGCGTGTTGCACTCTCCTCCTCCACCAAGGATTGGAACACACTACTAAAACGCAGACAGGCCCACTTATCTCTTAGAAATGTTGAAATGTTAAGACATGTTTTGTATAATTTCCAAACATTTTGTAATTATTAATTAATTATTATTATTGACTGTTTTGTTCCAATATTGCTGGTTCAATTGAATGTTGAAAAGAAAAGTAATGGGCTACATTTAATGTCCAAGTAGGCGACTTATGGATCCTTTTTATCGCTGGTTCAATTACTGTTTTTCATTATTTAAAACTTGAGTAATACTGTTAAGTAATTGTTCAGAGAGACACGATCACTCAGTCAACAATAAAATATCCTCATTAATGTTCAACAATGGTCAAATCCACCTTTATTTTGTGATGTACGAATAATGTCTATTGACTTGGGTCGCAAAGGTTTGTGCCTTTTAAAATATGGGTCCCCAGAAAAAAAGTTTGGGAAACACTAATATAGCAAACTTGATTCTCTATTTTTGCAACTATTTCAAAATAATCTAGTTGTAGACAATATATCCCCCAACTATCTAACAGTAGGACACATACCATTACATAACATTTTACCTTTTCTTGTTGATTGGTTGAAAGAAACTTGTGAGTGAAGACTGTTTTTGAGGTGACTGTTTTATGGGTGACTCAAAAGTCTTTGTTTTCTGAGGGGACTGTTTCTGTGATGAAATATTTGTACCACTGTTGGGTTTTGCAAAGGTCGGCTGCGGTCGAGCACCACTGGGTTCCTCTTCTGAAAAATAAGGAGTTGAAATAAAATGTGAGTCTCAGATCATTCACTCCTAATAATGTCTAAGGAAAATGTGGGGTTTTCTGAGTGCTGTCAAATCTAAACTAGGCATATGCTATTGATTCATTTAAATAGTTTATTTCAAAGAGTAGAAATGTGATAGTACAATAAAAAAGTATTTATAAAAGATTAGTTTGAAGTAAAAAACTGAAAATTCTAACCCTGCCAGGCCTAAACCATGTCTAAAAAAAAAAAGGAAGAATCTATAACCAAAGCAGTTTACATAAAAATGTCACATAAATAATAGATAATAGAGCTGTAGAGAACGCATTACATTAAAGAGTCTGTACCCACATTTTTCAGACAGTAAAAATCTGGTGCAGTACAGAACTTTAAAGCACCTAATGCACAGAAAATATTCAAAACTGGTAACACTACGTATATAACAACTCATGGTACTTATACTTTGCATACAACACATACCTGTCAGTTTGGATTCCTCTATAGTTCGTTTTGACTCTGTGTGCTCCACAGCGTTGAGTGAGATGTTTTGTGATTCAGCCACAGCGTACAGCGATTTCTTCTCTGTTGCAAGGTTTTTAGATTTGCGTTGTTTTTCAGGTGTCTCTGCCACTGCTGACATCCCCGAAACTTGACGGAAATCCGACCTGGTGTGGACAAAGACAAATCAGCAACCTAGAACTTCTATATTTATTTAAACATGTCTGGACTAAAAACCTTGTCACCTGAGAATTAATAAATAGTGAAGCACTAATATGTTACAGACGTCAAATTCTGTTGCTAAAAGATTTCTGGAAGTCCATTATATTTTACTTTTATGTTAACGTTTTACAATTCTGCTGTTCATTTGTACGATGTAATTTGTTGTAGAGCACCACATCTGAAATTAAAGATGGGACAGTTCTGATATTTGAGTAATTTATGCATCTTCAAAGTTTACATTTATTTACATTAGAAACCATATATATTTTATGGGAACAAGATGGCAAAAAGCACTATTTTTATTGATACGGAGAATATCATTGGTACTATATGATTCTAATTTGGACATGTTGTTACATCATACCCTTGTGAGGGCTCTGTGTTGGCTGCGTAGGCTGTGATGTTCAGTGATGGAGCTGGTAACACAGTTTCATCCACGGCTGCACTCTGAGACAAGGACGCACTCGGGATCCTGGACTTCATTTTAGGTACAGAAACTACAACAGATAAAACACATAAGATCAAACAATACAGTAGGTTCAATCATCTACAAAAGGTGATGTCTAAACAAGTAAAAATTATTCTGACAGTGGAATTACATTTTTGTTTCTTATTATTTGTGCAACTAATTATCTGGCGTTAATGAATGGTGACAAATAAAAACAAAAGATTATTTAATCAAGTAATAATTGAGTTAATGTATTAATATAAAATGCACTATTAGCTTATTTGGAGTGATAAAACAAATCAAATATAACATAAATATAATAATATAACCTCACCACTATCTGTCAGACGTGAGGAATTGCAGTGCTCCTCACAGGACGCGTAAATGGCCGCTATTCCAATTTCAGACTCTGTTATTACTCTCAGACCTTTCCTGTAAAACATTACATAGTTGCCATAGTTTTAATAAAATAATAAATATACAAAATATTCCAAAACAACTTTGACTCACTTTTCAACAATGCTCTTCACAGCATTCACCCAGTCCACAGTGGAGGAGGACAGCACAGGCTGAGAGGCAGAGGATGAGACGTCGATCACAGCTCTGAGGAGACTCCAGGACGTCCCGTGGCAGTGAGCCCTCATCCAGGAGTCTGCAGTTGCCCCCTCCATAAGAGACCGCTGCACTGAGGCGTGACATCTGCAAAAACACAGGCCCATATCATAAACAAAAAGTCAATTTATTAGCTGGGATATACTATTAACAAGGACCTACAGCACTGTTTCACAGTTTTGATTCACTGTATGTAATTGTTTAATTTGCTGCTAAAACAATGATAGAGGAATGTAGTTTCTTTCAGAAATAAAATAAAGCTATATGCAGTTTTTTAAAATAATATTTTGATAATTGTGATTAATATGTGTACAGTTATCATGATTATTGTGAACATCACAAACCAAAACCATGGGAAACTATTAGCCTTCAAGACTGAACAATACCCCCAATGATTCTAAAATAATATTGTAAAGGAACCTGTAAATTAAGCCTCACCTGTTTGGCATTTAGAAAAACAAAAGTTTTCCCAGTAAAAAGCTCTCTGCGTTTGGAAATCACACCAATCTTAACTTTGTCCTTGCTTAAGCTGGGCTCATTTATTTCAGGTGTGAACCTAAAATAAAAGATAAAAGAAAACATGATTAAACACGCCAACACTGACATCATACTAACAGTTTTAAGTGTTTATTACTGTTGATACCTCTCAGCTTCAGGAGGACAAGATTTGTTTTGGACGGCTGCCTGGAGAGCTGAGAAAAACTCTGGTTTCACAATTGGACGGCCACACAGAAGAGCACAAATTGTCTACAAGGAAGAATAACACAATGTTACTAGAAAAACTTTTTTTTTTTTTTTTCAAATGAGAAAATATTTATCTTAGTAACTAAGCTCTGGCAGTGGCCTATCGATTGCCAACAAAATCAGTTTAGTAGCATTTTCCTAAACATGTAAAGGTAAATACACTGCTCAAAAACAACAGTTTTTTAGATTAAATAGTGACAAGTGACATTTATACTCAACAAATTTTATGAAGATTTTAGATGAAATTATTCAAATTAAAATAATTTGTGCTAAAAATGTGACAATGTGACAACTGACAGTGCAATAAGTGACATTTATACTCTAGTGTTCTGACCTTGATGGTGACTTTGACACTGGACATGACCAGGTGTGTGCAGTCCTGGCTCCATGTCCCAACCAGCTTCCCGCCCACGAGCTGCAGCGCCTCCGTGAGAGACGCCTTTCCACTGTTGTCCAAACAAGAAGAGCAAACCACCGGCTTCAAATGCTGAACTCTATAACAGAGGAAGAAACATTTTCTACATGTGACTTTTTTAATATCAATATTTACACTTACTCTTCTGACAACCCTTGAGTTTATAAACCATATAGTTCTTTAAGGTACACTTTATTGAGCCCAAGAAATCCAAAACAAAATCATAGGAATAAGACATAACAACAACAAACATGCATAACAATTTATAGGTGTAATTAATTATTGGTTTATTTTACTTTACCTGAACTTGCTGTTAAAAACTCCAAATGTTATGTTGCTGCCAGATGTTAGACTGACTGGAGTATTGTCAGCCAACCGCTGTCCACTGACAAAAGTGCCATATTTAGAAGTGTCTTTTAGTGTAAGTGTCTATGAAGAAAAACAACAAACAATTTTAGAACATAGTTCATTATTAGAATGCACAGGACTCTGGATTCTAAAAGAGAACATTGAGCAGGTTGAGTTTCAAAGGGAAGCATGTCCATAAAAATGATGTAGGACATCTGACTGAAAATACTTTAGATATCTATCATGTACAGACCTCTGTTTGTCTCATATCTTGACAGTTCTGGCTGAACTCTGCTGCCGAGATGTGTCTGGTCAGCTAATTTAAACAGATTTTGGTGGCATCTTCCTACTTAAGACTTAGGACAGTAAGACAACAGCACCATCTGCAGTCCAACTTGCTAAGGTCATAGGCACAAAAAGTAACAAGTATCATTGTTCGATCAGGTTGGCTAAACGATAAATCAGGATCGAGGGAACTAACTTTCTCACACCTGGGATAACGTTCTGAAGAAATTGGACTGCAGATGGGGCTGTTGTTCCACTGGTTCAAATAAGAAGACAGCAACAAAATCTGTTTAAACCATCTGAGCAGACAGCTCATAACAACAACACGTGTCACCTCTGTCACCAAACTCAAGGTACGTAAACAAATAGAAGTCTACTCTGTAAATAAGAACCTAAAGTATAATAAATACAGAAGACCTAAAGAGCCAAATTGGACTAAATCTAAGTGATTTGGTCTGATTTGGAAAAAGATCTAAACATACAGAATTATAACAATGCATTAGTCTTACATGATGTTTCTCCAGATGCTCAGACTCATTTTACAATTTCGTACAATATTAATTCATTTCACACTTAGTTGTGGTAAGATACTACAGTAGCCACAGCTGCCCTGGGGTAGACTGACAGAAGCGATACTGCCAATCTGCAGCTTTAAGGAAAAGTAGGTAACAGATATTTTATTATCTGCTTTAATCTACAGAATACCTGATTATCAACTTTGCCTGTAACATATATTACATGTCTCACCGTCTCTGTGGTGCTGAGGTGTGCATGAGCCCGGCTGATGGACTGGTCCTCGGGCAGGATGATGTCACAGTTCTTTCTTCCAACCACATAGTTTTTACCAGGCTGAAGGTAGTGGGTTTGTCCTGTGAATCATAACAAAAACCAACAACTGTTATCAGTGTTAATAATCTACTTTTTAAAACTCAATAGATATATTTGACTCTTTAAAGTGCATGATGTAAGTTTTCTGCTGGAGAGTTTGACACCTGCTTCTCTTCATGAACATAATAATGACTTTAGTTTAAAGTTCCACTGACAGCACGGTACTTTACTATCTCTATGGAGACAAACATTTCTATGGGAGACAAGTAGCCACCAGATAAGATTTGTGGAGAAGCCATCCCATACATATATTTAAGGTATGTTTGTGCACTTAAAAACAAGATAAGTCAGTTTAATGCCATACTGTGGAACATTCCAAGCAAGGCAAATATAGGCAAGCAGCAGAACTAAGCCTCTTATCAGTAAAGTTACATATTGCATGCAAATCTACTCTTTCAAACACTGCGTATTTTAACATATATTTATACACTACAGTTCTGAACCGTGCCGCGTCTCAAACAGATATAAACAGATATAAAGAGATTCATGTTTTTAGCCTTTTCTGTGAAAAGCACGTCGCCTGCGTTAGCATCATTTATTGCGTATATAAATAAATAACGATTAATGCAATGATTCTGCAGCGACAATTACCTCCAGGCTGCAGGGATGTTAGAATCCACATGTTACCGCTACTTAATTTAACGTAACTTTCATAAAATTACGAAAATGCCATTTTTTTTCTACATTTTTCTCAATCACTACTAAACTTTCGGAGGAAAGTGAAAATACACATTAGCCTCAGCGCGCCATAGTGACGTCAAAACCACGCGCCGCCAAAAAAAACTTCACAATAAAAGTGAAGAGCATGGATCTATTAAAATAACGTTTTAACTCTCAAGTTTGTACCATGGAGGATCTATTAAAATAAGTAGTATGAGAAGTATAGATCCATGTTTGTATCATGGATCTATAATAACAACACTGAAGAAAAAGTTAGTACTTTTTGTCATTTTCTGAATGAACATTTTTACATCTTAACTTTAACTTTATCAACAACTAGTATGATACCTACTATGTAGCCTACTATATTAATTTATTTTTAATGTTAAAATGGACTTTCAAGTGAACTTAAGCATTTGTGCTGCCCATTTTTAACCACACTCTTGCCAAATCCTATCTGCATTTGATATAACACAGAGACAGTTGTGTATAATCTAATCTGTTACTGGATATTAATGAAAATACCAAGGAAAAGTGAAGAAAATCTCATTGAGCATGTGATGATTTAATGGATGCACAATAGAAAACTGAATCGTGTTGTCTTTAATTGAAGGGACAGTGTACAAAGACTTCAAAAGCTTTAGAGAAAAGAGATGCTCTGAATCAGGTGCATCTGCAGTCCCTGATCAGCATCAAAACAAATGCACTAAAACCACTTCACCATATAATGAACTCAATACAAAAAACGATGTTTTTTTTTAGTTTTTTTTTAATGAAAGTAAACGTATAACATGGTACAATAAATATTGATAATATATTCAATATTTTATTAAAGTCAAATAAATACTAATAAGAGTTGTTAGTTGTGAGCTCAGAATAATGGATCATTGTCAGATTTCCAGGGCTGTCCGGCTGCGGTCCGAAGACGTCCCCATCCCCACAGACACGGCAGTTTGTGGTTGGCCTTCATCACAGCCACACTGGTGCACGAGTCAGGCTTTCGGATGATCTCGCACCAGTCCGGATAGTCCACAGGCTTTGACCCACTGAGGAGGAAAGAGCAGCTGAACTGGTATGTTTTCCTATTTATATTTTACAATGCACATTTAACCTAATTTATGTCAGATATTTCCAATAGTGAAATATAAATTGATTATTTTATATTATAATCACAAAGGTGCACTATGTAACTTTTCTGGTAGACAGTCTGCCATCTGACACAATAAAAATAAAGATGGATAATCCCAGTGAACCATTTAAAAATTGACAGTATCATTAAAAGGCATTTACACTTTCTACAGCTCAAATACCATTGTATTACTTTTACAAAGAAAATGTAAACCCAATAAATATAAAAAAATATATTCATTCAGCTTTCATATTGATGGATATGTCATTGATATAGTAATTATTGTGACAGGTCTTTCATTCATTAAAACATAACATTCATATAAAACTAAACTTACTGATCGCAGCAGCCCACTCCAAAAGGCTCCATACAGGTGCACTGCAGACAGTCACTGGTCATCCAGCTCTCTCCCATGTTAAACCTTTGGCCCATGTATTCACAGCTGCCTAAATGTGAAAATACAGGTCATATATGAATCATCTAACCAAACCAGATCATTGATCAGTAATGCACGGTTACAGCTTACACCTCTCAATCAGAGAGAGTAAAGTATTTGCAAAAATTAACCAAGAGTATGCTTAAAATATAGTAAATAGAAGTAAAAGCTCATCATACAGTAAATTAATTAAAAATACTGAGTAACTTAACATAGTGAGAATTTAATCAGGCAAAACGAAAAGTGCGTATTTCCAGTATTTACAACCGAAACAATCAAATAAAAGCTTTGATATTGACAATGTACAATATCATGCAAGATACAGTGTGATGGTTTGGGAATATTTGTTTACCTTTAGTGTTAAAGAAGCATTCTCCGCTGCTGTAGACACAAATACATGGAACACTGAAGCTGAGGACCACCAGTAAAGGCAGGAGCAGTCCTCTCACCGTGCTGGCCATATCTGGAATAAAACACACCGTTGGTAATAATACTAAAGAGAGGGAAATAAGGGTGATATTATATTGGCAAGACAGTTAGATGTTGGTCCAGTTAAATGCCCAATTTATGCAATTAGGTGTTTAAATCATTAACATGTGTCCAGATTTTATTTATTTATTTTTTTCTCTGGCGTAATCAATTCTGTCAACATGCTTTTAGAAAATTTTTGGTTGATGTGTAATACCAGCTCTGATAGTTCACTCTTCACCCTCAAAAAATTAGATAATTGCTAAATAAAACTGAATTTCTAAATAAAATATGTAGTTATGTAAAATTTCAATTAGTTCATCACAGTCTAAATAGCATTTGCAAAAACCCTTGGGTAAAAAAAATAAATAAATCTTCTTATATGTTCATCACATCACAAAATTCAGAATTAAGTATTTTAAATCTGGATAGCTATTATTCAAGAGCATATGAAATTCTGAGCACAATTTACATAGAATTTATATAAAAACATTAAAGTACTTGTGAAACATCTCTAAAATTCTGATAAATCCTATTCATCCATGCATCCTTAAGAATAACAATAATTTTCTTACCTGTTTCAATGGTCCTTATGTGACTGTACGTGATGTCCTCTCTGCTTCCTTAAAGGTTATCCTCCACAAACCTGGACTCTTCTCCTCTCTCCTGTTCGCTCACGTATTTATACCGTAACTATCGCTTCATCTTTTCACTCATTTTCTATGCTTATTTGTCCTCCTCCCCCTTTATTAATTAACACTGGCTTTATTACTACTACTGTCTTTGTCACTGCGTCTTGTGCTGCTTCACTTAGTGCCTTAGTGCATACAGTGTGCAGTATTTCAGATAACATTTGTCTCACACAGGCCACCGTTTGACCCCCGCTGCAGATAAAAGCCCACTACATTTGAGGGGGCACTGACCAGTGGCCTATTGTCCAAGCACAGGTGAGTAAACATTGACCTTTGACATTTAGACAGTAGCAGTTAGCATCAGGCTCTGCTACTCCTTTTCCTTTTGCCTGGTCTCTTTATAAATCACCTGACTAGTAATTATTTGGGGCATATTTGAAATTACAGTTATTTGAAACAAGATTAATGCTTTCCTTTTAGGGTATTAACATCACATTTGCTGCTTAAAATGGTTAATTTGATGTTAATTAATATTTATTTGGCCCTTATAATGTCTTATTCTGCTTTCCTATTAATAAACAAATTATTAAGATGGATGTCTTGGCTCATAAATAAGCGTTAATAAATACAAACATTTCTTGTAGTATTAGCCTTTAACAACAGAGACGTTACCAAAAGGTCTTAATTCATGTAAAAACTTGTACCAATATCATACTAATAATAAGTAATAAAGAGTTGATTGAAAGGACAGTGTTAGTGAATGTCTAATTAGAAGAAGATTATGCACTGTAATACAATAATAATGGCAGAATAAATACTAATTTACATTGAATTAGCTATTTAAATGTATGCAAATTAGCAGCTAGTTAGACAGCTATAAAAAGTGTTACCAAAAGAAGTATCTATGTACTGTGAAATGTTCACCTGTAGGGGGAGAATAGAGCTATAATTTGTTAGAAATGTTTCGTGTTGTATAAGTCACTGTAGATGAAATGAATACTCTTGCTCTAGGGTTTGTGGTATAAAACAAGCAGCCATATTATTCAGAAGAGATTTTTATTTTGCATTGTCTTGAATCACATTTAAATGTTTAATCGTACAGCCCTGTCTGTCACCCATCTGACCTTATCCTTTTCTTACTTTTATCTAAAACCAGGGTTTGCAATGTGTAAAAACAAAACTGAGAACTGAGCATATATTATTGCCTCAGAAATAATATTAAAAAAAGACATTTGATTAGTTCACATTTACATACGTTTTATCTCCAACTCATCTCAGTCCAACCTACACACTTTTAATTTACGATATTATAAATGTGCCTTCGACTGTGACAATTACTCATATTCATTCATGCACATCATTCAATTGCATATTCATAGTTCACTGAGATAATTATAGAACACACTGTGGCTCAGATTACTCAAAATATCCCTCTAAGTGTTGGTTCTACTGCATCATATAATTTTCTTATAAGCCACAAAGTCCTCTTTCAACAGGATATATTTGCATTGCACAAGTTGTTAAAATTGGACTATGCACTGAGTATTTACATAAAGAAGTGTTATATACTTATACTGTCATACACAAACTGGTAGATCACACTGAATTAGTCATATTTTATCTTAATTTATATCCAATTTGTTATTTTATAAACTGCCAGATTCTAGTTTTTGCAAAATGCTTTACTGCTATGTATTTAGCTTCGTCTAATGTTGTGGTTCTCAAAGTTATAACATTCTAACACAATTAACATTATAGGGGATGTACATAGATTAACAACAATTTGAACTCTGTCTGGGCTATTATTATTATTCATTTGTTAAGAAAACAAAGCGCAGGAATAAAGCTTAATGTTTTCTCAGTCAGTTCAAAATACATTAATTATTAAAGTATTCTTCAAACCTTTTTGGCTTCACTGTTGTCAACTGCATGTCTTTTATCCACACCAGATTATTACAATGAGTTGGTGAAAAACAGTGTAAATAAATCATACATTAATTTTGTCATCTTTTATACATAAGCACCTTGGCTTCTATAGGAGAACCTTGAGGACATGTTCTGACTGACAGCTGCAAGTCATGGTTCTTAAGTTTTTTCCTTCTTTCTTTCTTTCTTTCTTTCTTTCTTACGTCATTCATAGAGTAATCTTGACACTCTGCCTTTTTAAAATTTGGACATAATCAAATTCTTAAACAGGACCACAATGTTTTAGTTTCTTCTTTTATGGTACGGCATGTACTGAATATTAACCACATCAATGCCGTGTGTGTTTGCTCATCAGGCATTTGAAAGGCACATGATTGTACGTCATTATTTTTTATGTGCATGGCTAATGCATGAAACATTCCTATTAATAAAATACTATTAAAGCACGATAGCAAATATAGTTCAGTGAATCCACAGTCAGTTAATCATAATTGCTTACTCATGGGTGTGGGTGATTTGCTAGCAGTTTGGTATGTGTTAATTATCAATATTGCACACATGCCTGAGCAATAAGAAATACTGGGGACACTCAAACATGAACTGATAAACAAATAAAAAATTGCATGCATTTGAGGTCATGTTTGTAGAAGTCTGAACTACAGGGTTAGAAGGTTTTATACATAATAAGACTGTAGGCCTGCTCTTTGCATAAGAAATTATACTAACAAATAACTTAAGCCTTTCTGTTTTGACTATTTGATAACTGCTTCCTATTAAACTGCAGTTGTCATTCATCTTGCAGCTTTAACAATGAGCTGAAACCTGTATTGCCAAAAGCCATACACGTCATGCATCTAAACAAGAAAATTTTTGAGTTTCAGATCTGGTTGGTCTGGTTTTTTCCATTTAGAAGCATAGCCTGTAGTTCAAGTTACAAGGAAGCAAAGTGCTACGTAGTTGTGATAACATCAACTGAAAATACTACACAGTTGTTCACTTTGGGACCTGGTATTGTCCTGTTTTAGTCCCGGATGTCAGCGCCAGCCTCTGTGGGAATATGTTTGATATTTAGTTGACATGGATGATTCAAGAACAACCGAATATCAAACATATCAGACAGCGACCGGCCAATCAGAATGGGTTTCAGTTTCCTGTTGAAGGCACCATTTTGAAGACTTTTGCCCATTCAGAAGCCATGGCAATGGTCCCAAATTTTCATCACTCTGAAAGCTATGGACAGAGACCTGTGGAAAACAAAAGGGACAGAAAGACCTAAATTATAATATTAGCACATTTAATATAATTGTTATATATGTAACATTGCTCCTTAAATACAATTCTCCACTCATCCACACACCCGAATGAATAAAATAAAGGACATTGTTATACTATTGTCTGTAAGGGAGTGACGCACATAGAATCAGAACAGTCATAAATTACATACCTCAGGGAGAGAGAAGGATTATAGAAAATAGGTAGCTGAAGAAAAGGTAAGTGCCATGCTACTGTTGCTGAAAATGTCACCAAGTAAAAATCCTACTCACCAACTCATGATATCCAGAGTCCACAGATGTGGAAAATATTTAAACATGGTCTTAACAGATAACTATTACAAGATTTTATAGATACAATTTTATAGTCATGCAATTTTAACTTAGAAAGTTGTTTTTCTAATGTAATGTCCAATGTAGTTAGTACAGAAGAGTGGGCAAGCCAGCAGTGAAGGGGCATTTATATAGTGGTCCATGGGAGTTTGTGGGGCAAACTTTAGGCTGCATGTAATTAAAAGAAATATTGATCCCAAACTGCCCTGGCCTGCAGCCTTTCCAGTCGCATTAGTCTGATCAATACATGTGATGTCCAACCAGCTGTGATCTGCTCATATGAACACATCCACAGACAGATGCAGCTATCGCCAAGAGGAAGGGCACCTCATCAACAGGCAGAGGTCAACTCTTCACATTTTTCAAGCGTGTTTTTTCTTTATTTTTTAAATTAAAAAAATTAATTGTTTCTTAAAGGGTATGTCAGTTTCCTCTGGGTGCTCTAGTTTCCCATACCAAATAAAATCAAATAACTTAGCTTTTTAGCCAAAAATAGACCAATATTATTATTTTTTTTTACACTTTCTTTTTATTGTGATTGTGTTCATTGCACTGAAAAACACTGAAAAACATGCGTCCTTACTGTGAGCGAACATGCATCTCCATAAATCTGACCCTTATTTTGCCTGGAGGATGGCTTCCATCTGCCTGCTTCATGGAAATGTTGTTCCTCTGGCTATAATTTTCCATAGTTTATGTCATAAAACTGATAGAAATGGTTCTAAAGTTTGGTTTAACTTTCTATTTCCATGGAATCATGCAGGTGAAGCATCACCTCCATAAATGTATATACTGCACCTTTAATTGTATTTATTGGTTTAAAGTGCAACTAACAAGCTTTTTAGCTGCTACAATGTTTAGATAGGAAAGTAACAGTACTGTGTATGGTCCCATTGTTGACACTTTAGAGTAAGTCATTCATTGTTTAAATTAATGAAAATATTATTACAAGGTTTGTTTAAATAGTCAAGTCAGTCAATAGCAAGCATTTATTATGAGAGAATATGAACATTGTTCTCTCCTGATCATTAAAATGAACCACTCTTTTATAATTTGTAGGTTTGGCCTAACAACCTTAATTAAAATGTATTTGGAATTTTAGAATGAGTCACCAAAGGAATTGGCTAAAGCCACTCCATTTGATGTCAAGCATGTATTAATTTAACAGCAATAATAATAGTAACAATAGGATTAAAGTCTTATGCTGTTTAACTTTTGATAAATTGTGCTGTTATATATCTTCAGGGTGACCGATTACTGCCACAGAGAGCCTTCCCTGTGAAAATGAGCATGCTGTAAGAGTAACACCTCCATCTGTTTTGACTGACGTGGGATGGCAGCACATGCTATAGAGTCACTATTGATAAAACAATACTCTCTCATTGATTTATTTAGGACATAAGAGTCTTCCTCTCTGGCATGAATATAACATTAAGGAAGTAAAAAGTTGTTAAGAAGATTAAGAGCACATTTTTGTTTCAGTGTTGACCTTATAAAAGTATAAGATAAACAAAACATTAAACAATAGTTAAATAATAGTTGATTATCCTCTCATGATGTTTTCTCATGAGATTTTAATGACTACACTTGTGGAAACAGTGTTTGTAGATTTGAATAGGTAAAATGTGACACTATTACCAAGTTGTTGTAAAGACTAAAAGTGAGTCTTTACAACCTGCCAAGCCTGAATTAGTTTAAGTTGCACTTTGTGGTGATAGATACATTAATTTTGCTTAAAAAGTACCTAGTTAAATATTCCCGCTGTGACTTATATTTCCTCTCCACAGATCTGACCTGGAACATCACCTGCTTATCACAGGTAGATTTAATTCCATGCTGTAGGACATTATTGGGAAAGGAATGTGACTAGAAGGTAACGGACTCTCCACGGAAAAAGTTACACAGTGCACCTTTAAGACTTGCCGTGTGTTAGTGTCAGTAACTCCTGGATAACTCCATGGATTCACAGTTGTCATGTAGCTGAGTGCGCCACCACCTCTGGACTGCATTCCCGCCTGTCCCCTCTCCCTTTCAGGGTTGACCTTGTGGGACTACTGGGGCAGAATAATGGCTTGTGATTGCCTTTGAGCCTGGAGGGAGCATTTGCCCGGGACAGTCCAACAGATGGGGTGGCAGTATTGGCTTCAATAGCGTGAAAGGGGACAATTCATTTAAATGTTTTCATTAAAATGTTCAGAAATTACAGAAAAAATAACTGCACAAGAATATTTTCATCTAGCATGACTTATTTTGGTGGATTTGTTTTTTAACTTGACAAATTTATCATATTTGACTAGTTTCTTTACACTTTGTATTACCAATGAAGCAAACATGGCAGTTGGCTTATGAAATGTAAATACAACTTACTCAAAGTGCTCATATTAAGATAAATTATTTTATTCACAATTAGTTTGAATTGTTTTCATTCATTGACACACACAACACATATCACTACGCTATATAAACTAATAATAACTTTGGCTGTTTCTCTTCACCTCTTTAATAATTGACTTCACAACAGGATACAGGTTAGTGTTTGCTTAACATGCTCGCCCTGTACATAGACATCGTTTTGTCTCCTGTTCTGAATGTGCTTTTTATGTAAGGGAGATGTAGCACCTTTTCCGTGACAGACTGACTGAACATTAATATGCCTTTAAAACACAAAGTACAGATTACTACCCCATGGCAAAACACCACATAGACAAAGCAACGATCTTTGAAACTACCCCTCAGGATGCAAGGGGTGTTGACAAACTTGCCAGTACTTTTCTAACATAAAACTTACTGGATATATATTTTAAATGTCACATCCCAGCCAGGACTGAATGAAGAGATCTTTTTTTTTTCCTTTTTTAAACATATTAAACAACATTATAACAACGACATAGTAAACTGCATACATAAACCAACATTTTGGGTTATATAAAACCAAACTTCCATGTTTCTGAATTGCAGCATATTCAAATGTGGGTGGTAGCAATTTACATTTACTTCAGTAACTTTTAGAATTGTACCTTTAACTATAATTTTACTATATCATGCTTAATTCCACTACTCGAGTAATATTTTGAGGTAAGAGCATTTTTAGTTGCTGTAACCTTTGGCTTTTATACTCCATGTCTGACTAAGTTTAAGTTATATGTCTTAATTTCTTCCAAAATAGTAAATTACATTTTTTAGAGTTACATAGACCCCCGCTCTCAATCTGAAATGAAACCATTCAATTTCAAGAATACCAACAACCTATGAGACACAACAGCTCCCAACTAATAAATCTTACTGAGTTTATGGCCCAGTCTCACAAAAATAAATATTTTTTAAAGAATTATGGCTGGATAATGACCAACAGCATGTTAATCAGAATTCGGGTTGTTAATTGTCCTGTCACGATAATGATTATATCCTCTTATCTTTAATAAATCATAGAAAGAACATTACTTTTTCAGGTTTAATAACTATTGTGTTTACCTTTCTTTGCACTAGCAGGGAATGTTTTTTGTAGTAATCAGAAAGAAATAGGTTCACCATAAAATCATCAAGTCATTTTCACTCAAAAGTTCTCATAATGCTCTGATTTTGAGTGTGCATCTTGGCGCTGTTGTACAAAGAGCTATTTCCTTTCAAAGGTCCTACAATACACAAAATGGATTCTTGTGAGCTTTAGGTCGTGTTATAATGTTGTTACCTTCTCAAAAACATACCTGGAGTTGTGTTTTGTTTTATTTCACACACATTTGAGTAATCCTTTATTATTAGTCAACATCTACAAATCTGTAAATGCTCTGCTCCACGTTGTGATGTCATGGGCTAAAATCATCCAAATTATTCTCAGTATGTGAAAGTGTATGGAGTAAAGGGGAAGAACTAAGCATATGATGGATTTGTGTGTTAAAAATGTGTGAATGAAACAAAACACAAATCCAGGTCTGTTTATGATGAGGAAACATAAGGTTTTATTGTTTAGGAGCTTCTGGTTTGACGGCTTCTGGATTTTGTGCTTCTTGTTTAGGCTCCTCTGGTTTTGGGGCATCTGCTTTAGGTTCCTCTGGTTTTGGGGCATCTGCTTTAGGTTCCTCTGGTTTTGGAGCATCTGGTTTCGGGGCATCTGGTTTAGCTTCTTCAGCTTTGGGGGGCTCGGGCTTTGGTTGCTCTGCATTTGGTTTTGGCTCTTCTTTCTTCTCCGGACAACTGCACAAGTGCAGACACAGAAAGTTATTAAACATGAATTGATCTTTTGCTGTGAATTCACACTGGGAGTGTTCCACATGTACAGCTATGGAGGAATGTTTAGCAGTTACCATGGAGACAACACACACATTACCAAACACAAACAAAAAAAAAGTTTAAGATTGCCTGAAAACTCTTGAAAAAATACAAAATGGATTTATAACAACACATGTTCATGAGCCTGTGTTCAATATGAGCAGTTATGGTCCTGTTTAGATTAGGGCCTGACTTATATATCAGTTGGCACCTGAAAACATATCGGCGATCGGCCTAAATCTTGCCGATATGGCCAATATTTCATGTGAGCATGTTGCTTAGACTCTGTACATTATGCTCATTTAATCCAATTTCAAGCGGTGAGTGTTGGAAATGTGTTGATTTTGAAGCTAGTTTTGGTTCTTTCTCATTGGTTAGCGATTAGCTGCTGTAGCTCCCGCACATAAACAGGCTGTTTTCTCTTTGACTACATTGGCCGTATATTTGTTACTGGACCTGCATTGATACGTAAATGAGCTATGAATAGAAGTGTGAATGATGACATTTCCACATATAATTAATTATATTGGCACGCACACATTTACAGCTAAAGGCTAATAGCGGTAGTTTACTTTCTTTACTAGCTAGTAGTGATGGGTCCCAATTTAAAATCCACTAGAGCCAAACCTCAGTTTTTGTTTTTTTTTACAATTCAAGATTAACAGTGAATTTTTACATCACTAAATATACCAGCGATTATATCGGCTATCGGCAGCTCTGACTCCCATTTAATCGGTATCATATCGGCCACAATAAAAACCATATCGGTCGGGCCCTAGTTTAGATGTTTAAGTTCAACAAAAAAGATGAGAGTAACTGACTGAAAAACCACAACCACACCACAAATCCTCTCACACCACGAAGTCAGTTCTTTATGGTCAGATTATGTTAAAACAAAGATCAGATTAAAGCCTTACTTGAGCAAAAGAGCTTCAGACAAAGCTTCAGACAGAGCAGTGCCTTCTCTTAGCATCACACCACCACAGGGAATATTAATGGTGAGTAATTATATTGTAAAGATTAAGTAAACACGTACCCTTGCACTGAGGATCCTGGTTTAAGGTAGTTACAAATGGGACTTTGTGTATTGAGGTTCTCTTTAAGAGCTGCAATCTCTGCTTCCCAGGCCGTCTTCTCCTTCGCGCTCTGATCTGTCAAGTGAGACGCATTTTAGTACACCTGATGTAGACATTTTTTACATGCAAGCACCATTTGTAAGGATGTAACGACATCTGAATCTCTCAGTACAATATATTCACGATATTTATGGCGATATTTTGTGGAGGCGCACCAAATTGTGAATATGCTACTTTTACTTTTTAAAATGCATTGACAAGATTTTATTTCTGTCATAATCCAAAGCGCTAAAATGTAAAAGTGCTTAATTATAGTTATTTCTTCATAAAGTCTGCACTGAAACAGAGCAAAGAATCATGGTCTATGTAGTTCCATCTGTTTTTAGCTATTGCTGTACTATGACAATGAATTTAAGTTCATTAAAGAGACTTGTAATTTGATATATTGTGACAGCCCACCGTAGTACTGAGAGACTTTTGACAGTACAATATTGTGATATTTTGGTTATTGTTACGTCTCTAATCAAATGCTGTTCACTAAACAGGACAGTATTTGCAAGTGGCGGATGAAGTACTCAATTTTGCTGCTAAAGTAAAAAAATATAAAATAATAATAATAATAATAATAATAATAATTAAAGGCATTAAAGTGTCCGTTCAAAAATGTGTAAAAGTATTTCACACAGATTTTAAGAGATTTTGTTAGTAAATTTAACCAGAACCTACAGCCAGGCTGTATGTTCATGAATGTGCTAAAAATAACCCCTCAAATCATTTGAAATACTGCCATCTTTTGTTAACTATAAGCTGACATTTTGAGTACTTCCAATTCTAAAGAAAAGAAAATGTAATTTGGATCTGTAAATTACTATGGCAACGGTTAAGGTTCTAATATTGTGAAAGAATAATGTGATAGATAGATAGAGGTTTAACAACTTACCTTGGAATGTTTTTAATTGCTCTTGCGCTGAAGCAATTTCATCTGTCACTGTTTTCTGTCAGTGTAAAAAAAAAAAAAAAAATAAAGATTGATTATTTATTCAGGCCTAAATTTATGACTTCAAAGCTCAGAGTTGCAGGGTCTTTTCTATATAAAATTGGTTTGAGGTAAGGAAATGCACTGACATGACCCTTGATTTATATCAGAGTCACCTGTCAATCACGCACATTTGAAAATTGGGTCACCAATGACCAGACTCACATCTTCGTAAAGTATTGGAGAAGTGTATATTCTGGATCTCAGACAAATACCAAAGAGCATTTCAAGCAAATCAAGCAATAATACGCCTATAGGCCTATCCAAGATCACGAGCATGTGTGCTGTCCACCATCACTGATGGCACAATGGTTAACTAGTGGCTTGAGATAACATTTTGTTTTTGCATATAGTGGTGTTGTTTTACATTTGTGCCACAATAAACATAAACTCACCTTCTGCCCCATACACGCATCTAGCTCTGTTTTCTTCGTGTTCGAGGCCGTGGACAGTTCAGTCAGTTCCTTTTGGAGCTGCTCTTGCGCAGTCTTCTCCATCTGCATTCGGCTCTCGGTGCTTTGTTTCTCCTTCTCGTACTCCGCCACCATGCCCTCTGACACCCGCAACTTCACGTCTAGAATCGAAATCCTTTTTTTCATGTGAAACTATCTCTGGTATACGAATTTTTCATAAGCGCAAACGAAGCCACGGAAATCGCAATAGAAACTGGTAACAGAATTTGTGCCTTCATGTTTGGTACAAGAGTGATCGTCTTCCTATGGAAAACCCAAAAGTTAAATTAAAAACATTCGAATTTAAGACGCTCTTCCTTTACCTGTCTGTCTGGACTGGGCACCTCGCATAATTAGGGCTGTGTATCCAAGACAGCCAATCACGATTTTCCTTCCCCCAAACGCACGCCCCTATCCGGAACCTGAACGCGTAATTGGATCGTGACACCTGTATAGTTTGGCTGAGCAAAAACAATAAATAAATAAAAATTTAGTCGGCTGCCAAAACAGGAAGGATACTTTCATAGGCTATTTGACAGTGGTAAAAAATTAAGATTCCACCCAACCAGCTGCGTGAGGTTAAGCTCTCTTTAGACGGTCGCTTAGTGGCGATTAAAGTTATCGTGGAAACAGGTAAGACGGACGCAGAGTCAGTCGAGCCTTTCCTGATGAGCAAGTTTAACAAGTTACGTAGAGACAGGTGAGGAGCAACAGGTGCATAGTGGTAGACAAGCGAGAGGATATGATTTTAAGGTGACCAGTTTCTGTATTTCGCGGATTACATGGTAGCACAATGAAGCTGTTAATTTTCTTGTGCGTGGCGTGTGCGGCTGTGATGGCCGTAATGATTTCCCAAGCCGTGCGTCAGGAGTTTATCCTTAAACGTCTGAAGAGTTCGACAGAAGAGAAAACTATGCAAATCTCAAGATATGAAAATACAGTCTCCGAGATGAAAAAGACTATGCTGGGAGTCAGACCACAAATGATGTCAATGATCACAGAGACGCAGAACCTGAAGACGAAAAAGGAAACCCTCCAAAAAGAGAAAACTGCTTGGGAGGAAAATATCAACACGTGCAACAAGGAAAAGGTGAACCACTGGCCCAGTTAATCAAAATGCTTTCAGTTTCTTTCTTTTTACTGTAAAGGCTACAGACTATCAAAGTCAGCCTGGTAACAATGATTTATTCTTTAATTCTGTTGTTTCTATAGGGTGAAGCTGAAAAAACAAAGGGTGAAGTCACAGAGAACTTGAATAAACTGACAGGTAAGCGGAATTTGGCTGTAATTTTTCTATTATGCCAGTGTTTCTCAAACTGTGGTATGTGCACCAAGTTCTGTTGGGTAATACTTGGACTGCTCTTGTGTTTTTGCCTGATTTAGAGTTTATTTTATCCACTTTTTGTCCTTCTTTGGATAATTTCTTGTTTAAAACTACAGTGAAAATGATACATATAGTTGATTCAGATCTGATGCTACTTGGAAAGCCAAATCTTTTCTTTGGTTGTGTTTGGTGTGAAAAATATGACAGTCAATGTACTAAACTGTATAAAGTTATTTTTTTCTTGAACTAAGAAAAGGCAAATTTTAAAAGCTTTTATTTGGCTGTATCTTCATCATAGATGGTGTTTGAGATATTTAATTAAGTCATAAAACACCTATAATTATATGATGCAAGTGCTGTGAAAGATTCCAGCAAAAGCAAAAACCTCAACATGTAGAACAGCAAATGTCAGACAGTAAATATTCCATGACATACAGTCATGCAATATGTCAGTGCACCTTACTTAAAAGCTTACAACACATGAATTATGAAAATCTGTACTTCTATACTTTTTCCACTTCTGTCTGATATGTCTCTGAATTGCATATTTAATATTTTTCAATTTGTGTCTTTGTCTGACTCTGCAGTGCAGCACAATGAGGCCAAGGGGAGCGCTCAGAAGACCATTGAGGAGCTGAAACAACAGATCCTGGACCGAGATAAAACCATGTGTGCCTCAGTGGATACGACTATTGCAGAGGCCCGGTAAGAATCTGACCTATTTACATTGGATTTCAAATTAAACATATTATCATATCTACTTTCTTTGCAGTTTGATTATGCACTGCAACACTCATTTGTAGTCCTTCACATTTATAAGAAATATTATCAGTATTCAGCAGTGATAAAGTCACTTGTTTTCTATGGATTTATAGTGTAGGTCTGTGTCACTGTATTAAAGTTACAACTAGAGTGTTTCTAGACTGTCTGTGAATGCCTCACATGAAAACATATTCAAATGTGATAAGCAAACATTCTAGGCACCTTCCACATTAAAACAGTGACAGCTTGTTTAGTGACTTATATTTAATCCCAGTAAAATATAATGCTTGAGCAAATACTGAATGAACATATGTGAAATGTCTTTTCCACTGATAGAAGTGATTAGATTGAACATGTCTTGTTTTTGCTTGGATAAAGATGATTACCAAAAAAAGAAAAAAACTAAAATGCTGATATCTGTTATCTAAAACAACTAATAATCTTTTACATGTGATGTGCACAAAGATGCTCTATTTTATGTAATAGACCAGTGGTACAGTAAAGGTAAAGTTGTATAAATAAATATTTTAATCTGAATAATAATAATGATGAATATAATGTAAAATGTCTTTCCCAAGGACACAACAATAGTATGCACTGGTTGGATTTGGACCATAAATTCTCTGATTATATAACAATAACTCTAACTGATCCATTGTTGCCCTTGCTTCTATTCTTATGTCTATTATTAAAAATGTACAAACTGCTGTCACGCTAATGTACAGGATTCTAACCACAGGAGTCCTCACTATGCCACCTAGCTTCAACCTGAACCTGAGTTTTACTTTTTAGGTGTGTACAATATGTGCTTTGGAGTGGCTGCACTGTACACACATTCACGCCCAGTTTATCTTTTAAAATAGTATACACATAACAGGTTAGACTACCCGTTTCACTAAAAGATAGTTATCCTATTTTAATTAAAAAATAATCTCTCCTAGTTTTGTCTACTTATTTATTTAGGTGGAGTTTAAAATTTTACTTCTACATGACATAAAGTCTACATAGAGACAATTCCATAACTTTTACCCATAAAGTTAACAAGTGCCAAAATCATCTCAATTACACAATAGTTACAAATAAATGACAAATAAACATCTTTATTGTTAAAAGAAGGCGTAAAAGTCTTCCTTGTGTGTGAATTGTCCCTGAATATTAGATGGAATTTTCTGTGTTTTAACATAGGCAGAGGTATTTTTCTTCTCAACTTTTTCCACAAACTGCCCCTCAACTGATATGAAACTATGATAAAAATTTACCACACCCCACCAAACAAAGGAATAATAAAAAAAAAAACATTAACACAATGCATACTTTAAATTGCTAACTGACTGTTTTCTAACTGTTACTGTTTTCTCATATTACATTTGCAGAAAGCTCTGTGGTTTGGGGGATGCATAATAAGTGCCAAGTGTTTGGTCAGACCAGTGAAACTACATTTCATCACATCTCATCTTGAGCCACAAAGAACATCCTCTGAATGGCACTGCAGTTTCACCAAAATGTTGTGTAAATGAATCTTTTGTATGTGTCTTCTGCGCCCTCTAGTGGGGAATAGAGTTGGATTTAATAATATGAAATTATTTGTAGTACATCTGACTAGAAGGTTGTAAGATTTTAGGGTTCTGTAAAACTGTATAAATTGTAATGATCGCTATAGAAAAGAGTAATGTTTTGTGAATGAATAAACCATTGGAGAAGTAGACTATGTTTTATGTCATAAATAATTTGTTAATCAGAAAAATATCCTACGACTTTTATATTATAGTTAAAAGTAAAATAAACCCACAAATAAGCCATTGTATTACATTAAAACTGGACTATTATCAATGTGTAGGAATTTATGGTGTGGATGGATTATAATAGCAGAATGGAAATTTTCTACTAATTGCTGAAAATTGTCATTTTTTTTAACTTGGATATTAATAACAACAACACAAAAAAACAAAAAACATAACATTTTCTGACATCTACAAACGTGCAACCATTAATAGGACTTGGTCTAATCCTTTTTAGCTAGTTAATCCTTAGATTTTCCTATATTGCATTTGAATGATCTGCCATCATCTGTATTAAATGTAGCATAATTTTAAACCCAGCAGTATTATTGAAATTGGATAATATTTTTTGTCTTAATAAGGATGTCCAAAATATTCCTATAGTCACACAATTAACAATGTAAACTTTAGTAAAAATATAGGGTGACCAGACATCTCTATTTACCCGGGACAGTCCCAGTTTTGATCCTGTGTCCCCTCTTCCAGCAGATTTATCCAAAACCATTAATTTGTCACAGTTTTTTACAAAAAAAATTTCCCGGTGTCCCTATTTTTGACCAATTTGATATCTGCCAACAGTAAAAAGAGGCATAAGTTGTCATTTTGTTTAGGTAAAATTCAGAAAAGCTGCTTAAAAATAACAAAAACACAAAGAAAACGTGACTATACTGTCTCAGGATAGAGCTAAGTGCATAACAGTTTTCCTTAAGTACACACTCGTTTCATAATTGCATTAATACCAACCAACCCAAACCTGTCCCAGTTTTGTATTTTGAAAATCTGGTCACCCTATACAAAGAGCATTTTAAATTCAAATACTATACACTTCCAGGTTATTTTAAACAGGTATAGTAAATGCTGTTTTACCCGAGTGGCAAAGGGTGTAATATCATACTCTGCCAGTGAGCGGCAATGTGCACCGCTTGCGTCCTTTACTCTGCGCCTCTGAACCGGAGAAGAAGCGTTACATGTGAACAGCGTATGGAAAAAAAACATCCCCGGTTTTACGCATCCTTCTGCTCCGGCTTTTCAGTAATTTCTGCATTTTACAAGCGCTGTTCTCTAGAAAAATCCCGCACAGATGAGAGAAAACACGTGAAATTGGGTTTGTTGTGCTGAAGTAGGTGAGAGGTTATGGCGAGGGTAATTTTGGGGCAAGTGTTCAAGGGCTTCCATAGACTCCGCATCTTGACGACACGTCCTTCACTTTTCACGGAGCATAACGGAGCTAAACTACTACACACCACAGTGGTAAGTACTGAATTATACCCGTGTCTTAGTCATTAATGTTTCGGTTTCAATGGTTTACTATGACAAGCATCCTCCGGTGAATGCTTTGACTTCCAGATTCCTCTCTCTGTCCTCACTTGTTGAAAAACCTGTATGTCTGTCTAAATTAAAATAGACGCTTTTGACACTTCTTTTTACAATTAGTGTTTTCTTATAATTTAGACATATCATAAAAATTAATACAGTTTAAATTAGGGGTGAGCAAAAATATCAAAATCAAAAATCTATATATCGTATCGTTTAATGTCCTGATACAGTATCGATATCGTGGGCTGCTCTGTCGATATATCGGCAAGAGTATTTTTTGGTATATTTTACTAAATTATCTTTGCTACAGCGCTACAGTTTTGCTGCTTGTTTAGTGGAAGGAAACTCGTTTATGCAACACATTTTCACTGTTTTTAGGATTAAAATGTTTGTGTTTCAAATGAACTTTATACAAGGAGATATTTAACACTTTTAGTATCACAGCCATGATTTAGCCTTGATTTTTTTAGTGAATCGTATCAACTCGATTTGAAACATATTGTATCGAATCGAAAACTCTGTGTATCGAGATATGTATCATATCGTGGTCCATGTATTGAGGTATGTATCATATTGGCAACTTTTTATGATACCCAACCTTAGTTTAGATAATACTGTGGAATACCTCGATACAGAGGCCACAGTACGATACATATCTCGATACAGTGCACTTTCGATTCAGTACGATATATTTCAAATCGATTGAATATGGTTCAATAAAAATAATGGCTAAATCATGGCTATGATACTAAAAGTCTTTGTTAAACCACTTCTTGTGCAAAGTGAATATGAAACACACCCATTTAAATCATCAAAACAAAACAAAACAAAGTGAAAATGTCAAATGTGTTGCATTAAAGAGTTTCCTTCCTCTGAATAAGCAACAAAACTGTAGTGCTGTAACAACATAATTGAGTAAAAATATACCAAAAAATACTCTTGGCAATATATCAAAACAACAGCCCACGCTATCAGTACTGTATCATCACATTAAGCGATACGATATCTATATTTTTGCGCACCCCTAGGATTTTGTATAATGTAATATGATTTTTTTGTACTCAACTGAATCCTTAAAATATATTATCATTTGTCCCCATTCAAATTAAACCCTGCTCGGAGAAAACAATCTGTAATGATAGCTTTTAATATTTTTTTCTGACAGACATTGCCAGGCATTTTCTCTCCACGACCGAGGGACTTCAGTCTACCGAACTCATCATGGGGTCCAAAAATGATGGAACTCTACGATCATTACAACAGCATGTGTGATTTAGAAACAGAAGACATTCATAACCAAAAGGGGCCTTGGATCAGACTGCCCAGCTATAACCGCTCTCTCAAATATGCTACAGGTAAGAAATACTAAACTATTCAGTGTGAAATACAATACATGTCATTTAAACTACCTTGTAACTAGTTAACTATACAAATTTACTCATAAAGTTTTCTTTTAAAGGTGCACTGTGTAAGTTTTACAGTACGGAGTTTACTACAAGCTTGCTTTCATGGAGATATTATTGCTTTGCCTGAAAGGTTTCACAGTATGGCATTAAACTCATCTACATTGCATTTATTCACTCATGTTTAATGCCATACTGTGGGACATTCTAAACAAAGCAATAACAGTTTCATGAAGAAAAGGAGGTGGTGGATACTCTATCACAAAGTTACACAATGCACCTTTAATTGAACCATGCAGTGTAATGTCTCCTCGTGATAAATGTAATGCACTGGTCTGATTTTAAGGGGCACAGATCAGTTTAATGCTATACTGTGAGACATTCCAGGCAAAGCTGGAATGTCTCACAATTCTACCACAAGCTTGTCTCTATAGAGACAAACTTGTGGGTGGTAGAATCTTCACCAGATAAGTTACATGGTGCTACCTAAGAAAACCCAACAAGTTGAATAGGCCATATGAGCCTTTTGAAGTTTATACGTTATTGATGCTGCTGTTAACAAACATAATCCCAGTGTAAATTTTGGCTCTATGACTTCTCTTTGCTTTTGCTTTGTTGTGTCTTTTAGGTGGAGTGTACCTGAGTAAGATGATACAGTCGAAGGCCAGACTTTTCACCAGAAATATTTACCAAGCAGGGGCAGCTTTTGAATATGTTATTTTTGTTAACAAGGAGGAGAAGAAATGTGTTTGCTTATTGCAAGCTGGACATCTACTGGAGGGACCACCGGGGTAAGACCACTGACAAGTTTTAACAAAATATATGGAACATTGAATGGGCAAAAATGTGGTAACCCTTTACATTAACCTTACAATAAAATTCTCTACTTTGGAACATTCTCCATGGAATAAATACATTTTATGCCATTTCACAGTAAGGACACATGCATGCTTTTAAATTAAGATAATCTTTATTATTCCCACAATGAAACAAATCTTGTGTTTCTACATTTTCAGTTCAGTAAACCTTTAAATATTTAATTAATACCCTACCTCCTAACCTTAAACCCTTAAATAGTAGTAGACTGTAAAACTGCAAATAGTGTAGTTATAAAGTACTACTAAAGATGTTTTTGTTCATAAGTTTCTTACAAGACCGAATGGGAGTGATGTGTAATAGTGGAAGTTTTATTGCAATTGGCTTTAAATAAACTCATCTCCTTCTACTAGAGGGCTCACACTTTGGTGTGGTTGGTTAAATCTATTGCTGGGACTGAGCACTTGTAGGAGTGGGTGGTTGAACATAGAGCTGCTTTAAAGATAAGATAACAAAACAATTATTTGTCCCACAATCAGGACATTCCAGTTTTGCTTGAGTTAAGTACAAGAACAACAGCAGTGGAGTAACAGTGTATCACAAATAAGGCTGCCAAAAGTATCAATACCCAGATATTAATTAAACAGCCCATATTATGCTATTTTCTGATCTATATTATGTTGATTCCTCATCAAAAACATGCCTAGATTTGTGTTTTGTTTAATTCACACAGGTTTAACACACAAACCCTGCATATTTAGATATTCTCTCAAACTTGCACAGGCTGATGTCAGAACATGCAAAAGCACAAAGTAAAGAAACTATTATTTTAGCTTGAACTAAGATTACATTCTATTAGACAGAAAGATAGAAAATCAAACCAAGAAATTGGCATTTATCAAAAAAAAAAAAAAAGGCAGACTAGCCAATATGACCAAATAGGAAACAAATGTGACTGAAGTGTAATTAAAATATTAAATAGAATAAGTACAATTGCTTTAACAAATTGTTACAAGGTGAAATTACAGTATGATATTTTATGATGTCAAATATGTGTTATGTCACCCTGCCCTAATCTTTTGTATAGTATTCCACCTTAATAATGTAATTTCTCTTTTATACAGTCATGTTCATGGAGGGGCAATAGCCACTATGATTGACACAGTAACAGGGACACATGCCACGTTTCTAGCTGGACTCGTGGTGACTGCAAACCTCAACATCAACTATCGAAGGTAAATCTTCTTCAATATTGTTTCAAACTTTGTTTAGTTTTAACGGTAATAATGCTCATTAATTATGTTTCTACATTTTCTTTTGCCATAAATGCAATTGGAAATAGTCAAAAATAAACCACATCAGGTAACTGCTGTGCTCCTGCTGGTTCAGAACTGAATCTAGGATGACCCTTTTATACTGAAGCCAGGATACACAAAATGATATAATCCATCTTTTTCTATTATTTTTGTGGTAACATCTGGAAACCCAAGTGAGGAGTTTATTTGCTCTCTGTTTGGATAATTGAACCAATGTACAGAATGTAAACTTAAGCATCATGTAAAATGTTTATAGGCAACGTTGTATTTCAAAATATGTTATATATTATATCTTCACATTGTTTATTATTTCAGACTCGCTTTTAATTTTCCTAATTTAATTTTCAGTGCAATCCCATTAGGAAGCACAGTGTTACTAGAGTCGACATTTGACAAGATGGAAGGCAGAAAAGTATCTGTAATCTGTAAAGTGACCAGTTCTGACGGCTCTAAACTGCACACAGAGGCAACAGGTAAAACTAATGCACACTGCACCAGCGCTGGCTGCAGGTCTTTCATTATCGCTGACTAAATATATGTTATGTGCTCCTGGTATAAAGAGCAAATACACTGGTGCATGAACATACCAGTGATGCCAAGCTACACACAGACAGAGAAGTTTTACACATAACCTAAATAATTCTGTTTATACTGAAGTTTGCATTTTAATTTACACAGATAAAAAAAAAAATCTATGTACAGTTAAAGATGGTCTTAACTTTTTCTGGTGGGGAGTCTGCCATTTGCTTGTTGCTAAGGCGATGTTATTACATTGTCTGAAATGTTCCAGTTTTATGGAATCTAGCTTGTATTTATTCAGTTAAAGTTTTTTTATTGCTCACACATTGAAACACATTTATTCTTACTGTGATCATGCTTGCTAAGTTTAATGCCATACTGTGAAACATCCCAGATAAAACAATATCTCATGGAGACGAGCAGATTGTTAACCCCTGCACCAGAAAAGTGACATAGTGTGCTTTTAAGTGTGCTGTGCAGAGACCTGTCCTGTTTTCTTAATGTCATCTCTGTTTTTCAGCTCTCTTTGTGGCTATCAACGTGAGCCACCTGATGGGAATGTAACCTTGTGCTCGATCATTATATCAGCTGTGTGTCTGCATTTTACTTTAATCTGCATTATCACTAAACTGTTACAGAAGTTTGTGACTAACTAGACACTTGTGGCTACCTCTGGAAAATGTAAGCTTGAATAGTTTTTAAGTTAAATTTTATTTAAATATTTATTCCATTCCCATTTATTTTAAAAGAATCACTGGTAAATTAATAATGTGTAAGAAATAAAACAGTTCTCATGATGTATTAATCATTTTATTTATTACTGTTATGTTTGTGTCACTTTTTAAAAATTAATTAATTATTTTTTTATTTTTTTTTTTTTTTAATGGAAATTACAGTACTGTACTTGTCATGACTGACCAGAACCTGATGGTGGCAGTGTTTACCTTTTTTATTTGATCAGCAGGGGGCTAATTCTTTTAGGCTTGTCAATCTTGACAGGGCCATAGATCTGCAAAAGCCTTTTAGATTTGCCTCAGTAATCATCATGTGTTATTCATTTGACAATATTTTATTAGTTGTATTAGTAATATACATACATACATGTACTGTTTTGTCATTATAACAGTACATTTCCATTTTAACGGTCACTATGGCTTTTATCTGTTCGGGGGTCTGTCAAATGCTTGGCTCATGAAAAACTTATTGTTTTGCTTGAAATTTTTCTCAGTATGGTATAAACATACTAATTTATTCAATAACAGACTTTTGTATTTGTAATTTCTCCATGGATACTGTAAAGTTTTGTGGCATTTGTTGGTACATTCTAGGCAAAACATTTCCACCTAGAACCATAGTGCCTCTTAAGGAAAAATTTAACTTTTTTGATGGATGAGCATTTGGTGTTCGGGGTGACCGTCTCTACAGAGATATGGCATTAAACAAATCTATTTTGAATTTATTTAATTACACAAGTTTTATTGCTCAAAAATAATATGTAAGGGAGGTTGCATTTCCACAGATCTTACCAGTATCTAGATCCCTCCACCAGAAAAGCTACAGTGCACCTTTAAATAAAACAGGCCCTATAGCCTTCTCAGAAATTTGTTGCAGTGTTACAAATTAACGGCACTTTTTCCATCATATTCTAGGCCTACAGACAATTTTATGCTGATCTCCTGTTGTCAGATCCTGGCCACACTGTTTGCATGAGACTGCTACACAGACTCTTGGTGGTTTGCAAATAGGGAGTTGCTAACCATCAGCTATTTTCCTATAAATCAGTGGTTAGGCTGCGTTGGTTAGCAGCAGCTCAGTCCTTCTCACACTCTGGTCTGGAGTGTGGTTTGTGAGTCTAGAGGTTTGCTGGTCTCAGGCCCCTCACGTCTGTAAGGTAAACGCAGATGGAAATGCTGTTTTTGCATTTGACAGCTCTGTGCTTTGTGTCTGTTACGGTACTCACTTACTGCCAACTGTTATTTTTTGCATTTCCCTTCGTGCTGTGGTCAACATGCTTTGGTTTAAAAGTGTCAGAAAACCACCAGCAAACAAAATAGAACTTGTGCACATTTGTCAGTATAAAGATGACCCCTAACTTTATGCCCCTGCAGGAAGGAAGTAAAATCATATGATCAAATTTAAAAAATGCTAATGTATTTTCTCATAGAGCTCCCAGTCACTGAGTCCATTATTCATCCCCTCAACAGTTAATAGCTTCTGCTTTTTCCCACAGCAGTCCTGGTTTATTGACTCTCTTAACCACCATTCACTCACCACATCACAGCTCTGTTAAGTGCTTTGCACATGGACACAACAACAGTGTTTTTAAGCTAAAAATATGTTAAAATTTAATTTTATCTAGTACTCGTGGACCTAATCTCTCATCTCATTTTGTGGGATCCCATTGGTGGGGTGAGATTTGACCCTTCAAACCAGAGGTGGGAACTTACAAGTCATGACTTAGACTCAAGTCAGACTTGAGTCGCTATTTTTAGGACTTGAGACTTGACTTAATAAAATGGACTAAGACTTGGACTTGAAGGTCAATGACTTGGGACTTGACTCGGACTTGAGGCCTGTGACTTGAGAAGACTTGACAAGCACTTTTAAATCTGAATTCTTTCTATTCTGACCGTAATGACTCACACTAAGATCTTGTTAAGACATTTAAAAAGGAAAAAAAAAATCTACAACACTAATATACTCTATAAATACTCATATATAACTATACTATGATTTTTTTAGTACAATTTATCTTAAAAGTCATATAAACTGCAAAAATCTAAGTACTTTGGTTTAAAGACTTGAACTGACTTGAAGCTCAAAGCAGACGACTTGGACTTAAGGGCCTGTGACTCGAGACTCGACTTGGACTTGCCTGTATTAGACTTGGGACTTGACTCGGACTTGAGGTCAAGGACTTGAGACTTACTTGAGACTTGCAAAACAACGACTTGGACCCACGTCTGCTTCAAACGTTTGGGTGTAACTAAAACAACTGCTGTATTGGCTCTTGGTCCAGTCTCTGAGTTTTGGACCATGCAGAGCCAAATTCTAACATGTCCATTATCAGTGCGCGCGTAAATCCACCGTGCCATGGCTGCCCAATGGTTTGTGTTTTCTAGATTAGTAGCAACGCGGGATTACGTTTCTCAACCGTAGAACCAGATCCAGTGACGTTACGTAACCGGCTGTGACATAACCTCCCCGGGCCGCGCAGCCGGGGACGTGCGGCCAGGGCGCACAGGGCAGAGTGGACACAGGGCACAGGGACAGCGCAGAGTGAGCGGGGGTGGGGTGTTGGACTGCCCCGCGATGGGAAAATAATTACAAAACAGGCCTGGAAGCTGCCGCGTGGACTGTGAACAGGAGAAATGTCGGTACAAGATTTCAAGTGTCTGCGCCGGCCCGGGCGTTAACGCATCAGGTAAACTGCATTTTCTTGCACGAAGTGGACAGGTGAATGCATTATGTTAACCAGGTTATGTCTGTTCTCTGCGCATGCGTGCAGGGCCTAGACGTGGGGTTCAAGTAGAGTTATGGACTATGAAAAGCCCCTCCTGCCTCCCGCTGACACCCTGATCAAGAGAGGTAAGAGAGGGATTAATTTGGCCTACAACATTATAATGACTTTTCCTCACATACTTTCTTGCACCACTGCTTTGTACTTCTACTTGAGTAATATTATGATGAAGCAATGTTACTCTTGGGTATTATTTTTGATTACTCTACCCACCTCTGCCTATCTCCATCAAACCTCTTACTGTGGTTTCAGTTTGTCTTTGTGTCTCCAGCACACACAGTCCATCTTCTCTCATTAGTTGTTAACACGATGATCCCTGCAGCTCCCTCTATCTTTACCTGGCAGTCCTGAGCCATTGACTGAGCTGCACTTTAAGACGCTCTGAGTGGGTAAGAGTGACAGGAAATCTGAGTAATCCCAGGGATTAGTTCTCATTTTGATTCTGTTTTTGGAAAGGCTATTTACTTTTCAAAGCCTCTTTTAACTTTATACAAAGGTTAGTATTTCCAACTGTTGCCACAGAGACCCACTGCACAAGTTACACTGAACTCAAACCATTAAAACTCAATTATTTTTAATCACTGAATCAGATTTAGGGTGTTTATTATATCACAATCAAATCTCAGTTTCAGTTGGTGAAATTAATTGTACAAATTGTAATCTGCAATTTTCTAAAGGTAGTTATAAAGACAATAGTGAAGTAGAGTCGTCTTTAAACATTTTAAAATACTTGTACTAGTTAAGTAGTTAAGTAGTAGTAGTTATTTCAATCATCTCTCAAATGTTAATACTTTTGGATGAGACAGCCAAATTTTGATTTTAAAATTTAAATCACAATTCTAATACTTAAATGTTTTCCCGAAACCGTGAAGCCCTACTAGAATTCAAACTCACTCCCTGTGGTTCACGTGTGGACATTTATAACTGTAATTAAATAAGTACACTTAGGTAACACTGAGCCTTTAAACAATCTAACCAGCACCTTTACAATGGAGCTTTTGTCAGAGATACTTTAGGCTATACATTTTTTCAAACAGACAAGCAGGTGACAGTCCTTCAACCACACAGCAAATTTGCTTAACGTGTCTTTAAATTCTTCAATTTTTCAACTTTTATTTATTTTAATTTGAATAGTTCTTAAGACACTTGGCTGTATTCAAGATAACTTTACATTTTATTCTGTAAAGTATATAAGATAATATTTTAATTAGCTTCTATAAAACATTAACAAAGTGTTCATTCACTAATCAACAAATGATTATTCAGGCTTAGTCAATTAATACCCTCCATAATCCTAACCGTCTTAATAAGTATTACGAGGCCTGAATCATTCTTAATAAACAATTTCTTCTTGATGAATTAAGTTTGTTTTCATGTTTTATTAAGGCTAATTAAGATGAAATTATTATAATAGTAGCTGTTCTCAGGAGTTCATTCACTTGTGCGATCTGAACTGTGACTTACTGGATGTGCATCTGAAATCTGTAGAGGTGGAATTTCACTGCGGTCTTCAAGTGTTAATTTTTTGCTGAAGTGACTCTTTGACAAAGTCTTGGTTTTAGTGGCTGCTGTGGGTGTCGCCTTATTTTTCTCAACTTAAAGCTTTTTGTGTTCTCACTATGGTACTTTTGTGAACAGTTTAAGACTGTGGTGTACAGACGTTGCTATATATTTTTGTCTGTAGGCGTCAGCATTAACTGATAATAAGTAGTGATAATGGGTATGGCGTAAGGTGAGACATGCAACAAAAATGAATAATACATTTGTGGTTTTGGTGTTATGCAAAATTTTAATATTGACTTCACTGTCTGCAATAATAATAATAAAAAAAATTAAAAAAAAATTAAAAAGGCTGTTAAAAGAGCACATTAAACCAACTACCAATGTAACCTTTCAAATATGGCTATAAATAAGTGGTATCTCTGCACTTTTTTGGTAAATTCACCATGGCATTTACAAATATCTTTTGAAAATCAATCAAATATCAGAAGTCATCATAGTGCATCAAAAGTAGGGGTGTGCAGAAATATCGATATATCATATTGTTTAATGTGATAATACATTAAACGATATCGGGGATTGCTGTATTGATATATTATCAAGAGTATTTTTTGGTGTATTTTACTCAATTATTTTGTTACAGTGCTACAGTTTTGTTGCTTGTTTAGTGGAAGGAAACTCTTTTATGCAACACATTTAATATTTTCACAGTTTTAATGAGTAAAATGTTTGTGTTTCATATGAACTTTGCACAAAAAGTGGTTTAACAAAGACTTTTAGTATCACAGACATGATTTAGCCTTTATTTTTTATTGAACCGTATCGAATCGAGTGCACTGTATTGAGATATGTATCGTATCGTGTCCTATGTATCGAGGTATGTATCGTATTGGCAACTTTTTAATGACACTCAGCCCTAATCAAAAGTATAATAGATTTGATCAAGTTGTCATCGGTCCATAAAAGAGCGATGGAACAATCTGTACAAACTTTACTGCGCTTGGTGCTTTGATTATCGCCATTCCAACAACATTTCTGATTTTGCTCATATAAGAAAAGCAATAATGTGTTTTTGAGTAGCTGTTTTTTAATTAAACATTTCATACAGTACACAGTCAGTGTTTGTGGCTGTAATGACCTTATTCACTGGCAACTCTTACTAAATATAAAAACCCTCATGTACCAGAGGAACTCTCATAACCAACAGCCACCTGCTTTTACTCATGAGATCAGCACTCAGTAGTTACACAGAATTACAGTAAAATGCGACTTAAATAAATTCATATGTGAACTTATTTTTGTTGTTAGTAGGTCATATCACAGTGAATGACCACACATGTTCCACGGTCTGGCATTAAACTTATGTATGTATATCCATGGAGATGATGCCACTTAGTAAAAATACTTGTTTTTCATTGTATTTTTGAGCAATAAAAACACCCTTAATTACATAAATGATTGATTGATTTGTTGCCATATTGTAAAACATTCACGGCAATAACATCCCCATGGAGACCAGCAGGTGTATCGTCTACCAAAAAGTTACATAGTTGAGTCAATTCAAGACACGAGAAGGAGAAATAATAACCTTATACAGCTTTAAACTTAATCCGACAATATTCAAAAAACAAAAACAAAAACATTCTAATTAATTATTAACTCAACTGTTGCTGTTAATAACTTAGTTTTTGCAATTAATCAAAAGGGAATTTAACTTGTCTTACAGTTTATTAGGTCCCAAATTGTTTCACAGTGGGACATATAAGCTCTCATTCAACAAGCAAGACAACGAAGTATTAAAGTAATAAAGATGTTAAATAAGTACAATGGGACAGTATGGTACAGCAGTTTCAACTTTTATCTTATCTTATCTCTTTTGTTTTAATTATTGCTTTTCATTTCTTATTAGTACAATACCAATAAATCAGAAATGTAACTTGTCTTATGAGATAAACGACATTTGTGACGATCAGGTCCAAATATCTTATCTCAATTATTGCTTTTCTTTACTTATTAGTACAATAGCAATGAAGAAATGAGAAAAGTCTTGAGATAAACTTTTATTCATTGTGAAATTTAGTGACGATCAGGCTCAAGTATCTTAAAAGCACATTTCATTGCAAACTTGAATGAACTCAAATGTGACGTGCAGAACAGAGCTGTGTTGTGGCCTTTGGTTCCACTACATCTCTGGTCTCTTGCCTCGACAAGTGGCTCTGGTGGTGTTGAACTTTCTGTGCTTTTTCCGCTGTTGTTTGTGCGTCTGGTTCATTCCATGCTTTTTGCTTATGAAGCAAAATAGATTTGATGAGGGAAGGAAGACAGTGAAACCACATCGCCCTGAGCCCAGACCAGCTTCAGTTCACTCTCCAATGATACTTATCTCTGTATCTCCTCTTTGTCACATACTACGCCATAAATAACGCTAGGTCTGACATGTGCCCCCTCTTTTCGTTCACCTGCCCCCAGTTTAATTTAGACTTTCTCACATTTGTGGTTTAACAGCCAGACACGCACTGAGCCCTGATTGCTTCACAGTCGCCCACCAGCCTTTGTCTTTTCTTTGTTAAAGTTGACAGTGCGTGAGATCATCTGCAGTTTGGAGAGAGGTCATGACATAACTTAAAGGGCTGAATGAAATGTGTAAATGCCACAGTAGATTGATACCATGATACAGTTTTAATACAAATAAAAACAGCTTCAGAGACAAAAAAAAAAAAAAAATGACAAAAGCTGAACAAGCCACTTCATAATTTTTTGAATCATAAATTTATTGAGGAAATGTTGGTGCATGATCAAAAGAATAACAGGAGACGATAAATTATAGATTAAATAAAATACTTATTAATGAATTAAACAGGTACAATTCTTTATTGTATTGATACTTTGCAGTGACGTCATGCTGGGGGTGCTCTATATGTATGTATTCACCTTATTCTGAAAGTTGTTGTGGGCGCCGTCATTGTCATTCGGGTTATATTTTTTTGTCTGGGACTGCCGGTCTTTACAGAAATCAGTTCTATTCTCCATTTAAATGAATGGGATTCTTCTGCTTAAACGGAAGTATCACCACAAGGAAAGTGTGGTTTAACAGCATTTAGAGGGAAAAGTGGGCGGGCCGAAATAAGGTCAATATGAGGGAATATTCAGATGTTACCGTGGTGACGTAATGCACACATTAGCAAACACTGGCTAAAACTTTTAAGATTAAATCTGAAAACTCAAAAAAAAAAAAAAAAAAATTGAGCATTCATGGTCCTGTTTAGGTGTTTGATTTCCAACAAAAAGGTGAGAGTGTCTAACCAAAATACTATTGGTTAATGAGAGCTATAGCTGATGACTGTGATAGTGTTTGAAAGACGTCCTGAGAGACTCTCAGACTCAGACGCTCAGACTCTCAGACTCTCACTACACTGTCTCTGTTTATCAGCACAGATCATCTGATCTTTTGTACTTTCAGCTAAGTCAGTTCTTTCTGGTCGAATTGTGATGAAACAAAGCTTAGATTAAAGTCATTTCAGTATCAGAGCATCAGACAGAGCAGAGCCTACAGTTAGCATCACATCCCCCAGGGACATCAGCTGCATCAATTTAATTATACCTGTTATTTCGTGCAAAAATGAAGACGGGGAAACACTATAGGTCACAGTAGTTCAATTGTCCTGTCAAAACAATCTAGAAATAAACAAATAGACAAATGAAATAATGATTAAAATAATTACAGATATATTATGTACGTATGTATTATAGTCAGATCAAATATTGATTTTACTGACTAACAGAAAAGTTGATGCATTCAAATTAGAATTTACGTTTAAATCTTTTATGTTGACATGTTTTGGTTCACAAGACAGTACCGCAATATGAAAGCTGAATGTGCTCGCTTAGATTGGCCTGATTTGACACAAACCAACAAATTCCTGTGTCTTTTTTGTGTCAGCGAAAAGAATACAGAAATTCGCAAAATCGGCTTAGTACTACATACATTTCCCATAGCTTTCAGATAGAAAAATGAGGTCTATTCATAGCGATTACCAATTAAAATCAAAATATCATCTCTTTTGAATAAGCAAACATCTTCGAAAACTCCTTCAGAACAGGAATGAATTAACTTAAACCCATGGAAAGCTTCTAACAATAATGTATGTTTTTGTTTTACAGAAGCGGTTCTGTCCAAGAAGACTCATCTAAGTAAGTACTCTTCCCCAACTGTTGCATGCACTCGCTGGATTGTGTTTGTGCTAGATATGGGCACATGCTGTGGTTAACTTAACTTACAACGGGGTGCAATGTGCAGCGGTGCACCTGGAGCACAGAAACACAGAGTCAGAGGAGTTGGGCCACTAGCCATATGACACGCACCTGTCGTACCCTCACACCACAGACACACACACACACACACACACACACACACACTTGAACTGATCAAAACACACAGCTCTGGTATTGACGAGGAGATGATTGCGATACCAAACATCTTTTTATAACTACTCGGTTTAACACTTTCTGCCGCAGCTCAGCACACCTGGGTGAGTTATCAGAGGGTTGAGAGGAGGTCTCGTTTTGTTGAAACTACTGCACATGCAAATGATATATGTAGGATTCAGAAGTGAGTGGTAACCAGAAAAAATATGACAGCAAAAATTAATTTCCATTTTTAAAATTTGTCCATTTACAATTTTTTTCAGATTAGAGACTAGTCGAGGTAAAGTGTAAAGAGTGAGATTATCCAAATTTCTGTGCCTCTGCTCTAAGAAATATTGGAGCTATATTATCCATTATGTAGTTATAATTGTTTAACATTACAAAAACATAATTTTGAACAACTTGACCTTTTTAAAATTTTTATTATTATTTTTTAAATTATCAAATCTGTAGAGTGTAACACGTTTTAGAAGTGAAGGTAGACAATTGATATTATATCAATATCAACATTTCCTTTGAGGTGTGATACTAACTGAAAGCACTCCTCTGTTTGAAGCTCTGTTACTCAAATTAGAATTAATCTGGTCTTCATTTTAACATAATCTGATTAGAAATCGATGACTTGGTTGGAACTACAACAGGTGAAAGGTGAGATGACTTGTGCGCTCAAACAAGTCCCTCAAATGTAAAATTAGTGTCACAAGCTCGCTCACATTAGCCCACAGTTTTTCAATTAGTCTCTCACACTTTTTTGTTGAAAATCAAACACCTAAACAGGACCATAAACTTACGTATTGATCACAGGCTCCTGAAAATGTGTTGCTTAAATCCATTTTCTTGAGTTTTTAGTTTACGTTAAAACATTTTTGGCAGTTTTTGTTAATGTGGATTGTGTTGCCATGGTAACTGTTGAACATTATGGCAATAGAAATACATTCATAACACCCCCAGCGTGATGTAACTGCAAAGTATCAATATTGTCAAGATAATGCTGAAATTGTTGTTTTGGAAGATATGCTAAATTATAATTCAACATATTTTGAAAGTTCAGTTTACAAGCTGCAAAATAAACAAATGAAACTGCATTCTTGAAGAGTAATTGATGTTTTGCTTTTTTGGTGCACTTTACAGTCAGTTCTTTGAGCTTTGAGCAACACTAACCTAAAACAAGACACATTTTTATCACATTTTGTCTTAAAAAAAACGTTATATTTGTTTTTGTCAGCGTCGCCCACCGCTGCGTTAAAGGTAAAAGGAAAAGTACCTTGAGAAAGTCAAACCACGGGACTGTCCCCCTTCCCTTTGATTCTGTCTCCTCTCACAAACGCTCAAACACACGAACAAGGAAGACACAACGAGGCGGGTCTGTCATTCAAAAGTCTTATGTTGATGTGTGCAGTAGTGAGCACGCAGCTCTGCAAACCTCAAGGACAAAAGCCACCCGAGATCCAAGGCGATAGCAAAGGAAAGACTTAAGTTTGTCGATAGTGAGAGAAAAGTGAGTTCGTGAAAGTGGGACACGGTCGAGAACTGAGGAGGATGTTGCGAGGTAGGGATTCTTTGGTGCATCTTAACCTATATTTGTGTGTGGGCATGACTTAAGATGTGGAGATGATTTGTCTGATAATGCGATTGGATATGCAATTTACAGTAACATTTGAAAATGGTTTGGCATTACAGTAAAGGTGCACTGTGTAACTTTTCTGGTGGATTGTACATTAGCCACCTGTTTGTTGTCATAGAGATGTTATTGCTCGGCCTGGATGTTTCTCCAGTTTCTTTTTTAACTTTGATTAATTTAACTACTGGTGTTTTTATTGCTCAAATCTATCCTTAACAGCATGCATTATTATTGTGAGCAGGCTCGCCTCTCCATAGACCAGACCTGTAACATAGCTTGCTACCTTCACCAGCTTATCACCGGGAAAAGAAATAAGTACTTTGAAACCTTCAGGCAAAGCAACGATATCTCCATGGATACAGGCAGGTGGCAGACCCTCCACTTGAAAAGTTACATAGTGCACCTTTAACTTTCCAGTTCATTGTGTCTAGTCATATTTCAAAAGTTACCAATACGAGTTTCAAATAAGATGTCCAATTCTGGTATTATAGGAATAGTAGTATTTTCAACATAATGATATTTCTAGATAAGGATCAGATATGGCTTACCTTAGTGTCACTAAAGTCCAAGTTATGATAACTGCATCAAATTGAACTGGCAAATTGAAACAAAGTCGGACTGAATCTGAAGTTAGTCAAAATGAAAATCAGCATTTGGCTTGTGGCTATTGTTCTACATCTGACCCTGAAATATGAACAACTAAATACAAGTATAGACTTAAGCATTTTAGAACAAGTTTGTAGAGGTCTGCAGTAAAACTGAAGTGTTGGCTGATTTAGTTTATTATTTTTACATTTTGTAAACTTAAATAATATCTGCCTTTTTGACTTGCTAATTGCAATGATTTAAATAATGATTTCCATTTGACTGAGATTCATCTTGCTGCTTTTGAGAGCTAACCCGAACAGTTCTTGAACCTTGCACTTGGAATCTTCTTCAGGTAATTACTCATCAGCCGCCTTCAGTTAATTGTCCATTTTTCATAAGATTTCATGCATATGATGAGGTTAATTTACACACTGAATCGTTCGCAGTGCGTTGTGATTGTACACAATTGGTTTTGAAAATGACTCAAATTTTGTGTTTCACGTCTCAGATATTTCGGCTTTTCACTCCCACATTTACAGTGTGAGGAGCTGACGCAACTACAGCACAAAATCTCAGACATTTTGTCGTATTGTATTTTATCATGTAACAGACCTACGTACCTACATTGTATGTGTGTAGTTCAAATTGTTAATTAAGGCGTGCGTCGTAAACAGGTTTTGTCCTGGTTTAGATCCGGTTCAGGTCAGTTTTAGATTTGGAATTAGCCCGAATTTGATTCCAGGTATGAGTGCAGCCTATAATAATATTTTATCATTATAATATTTATCATTTTATAATGATCAGGTTCTAGTAAATTCGAAATGGACTGAAACTATTTGTCATCTTGTAAAAGTATGTCACTAAAAGAAAACTGGCCTTTGTTCATAGTTTTATTGTATTTTAAATAAACACAATTTATAAATTATCAGTCTCTCAAAAGCTGATAGTTCGTATGGTGTTTTGTGCAGTGAAGTTACAGTAGAAACATCGAAGCGCAGTGTGAGTCAACTAGTTTTAGGCCGCGTTTATGCTCAACATTTCATCAGCGTAAACTTGGACCAAACCTGGATTAGACCAGGACAAAACCAGGACTGAACAGGACCAAAGCAAATCGTAAACTGGGCCAAACCAGAATGCAAGAAGTAGAGGAAGGAAGACTTACAAAAATACAAATGTAACATAACATAATAACATAGTAACATAATAAAAGTGCAACCACAAATTTGACCGATTTTTTTAAATTCTCACCTTGCATCATAAAAAATGTGTGACTCAGATTAAATCAGGTAATTTCAGACTGAGTATATTATTATTTATCAATTTATCCATGGAGAAAATTATTTTATTTGGTGGCAAACCTCAACATCGTAGGTTTTTACCCTCTCACAGCTGCAGGACCAATCTATTTGAACCTTAAAGTGCAGTATCTTCTGAACCAAAGTGGCGATGAGAGATCCCTGTTCATTGTTTGTATGGTAGTTTTATCTCAAAGGATTTCCTGGTTCCTTTGGTGCAAACCCTGCAGTCTTCTCCAGTGCGCTGGGTGTCAGATAAAAGGGCGCAGGTGACACATTCAGGTGACTTTGGTTAACTGAAATTTGCAAATGCTACTGTCACCACCCCACTGTCTCACACACAAAAACATCAAAAGATTATGATGGTTTATGATTATTCATTAATTCTTATTTTGTGAACCTCAAATTTCCCACACCTGCTACTATGCATCACATCACACTGCTAACACACACATATGTTGTTGTTTTTTTAAAGCAAAACTTTATTTTTGTTTTATTGAGACAAAATGATCATTATAAATGCATCGGTTGTATTTGAAGGCGTAAAGATGCGAAAGGTGTTAGACATACTTGTTCTTCATTTATTCAATAAAGAGCTAATCTGAGTTCAAATTAGGTGCTTGCCAGTAATGTTATAATGTTATAAACCACTTTAAAATGTAAACCAATAATAACATCAAAATAGAATTGATCAATTAGCAAAACCCCAGTTGTTTTTTACCTCCTTACCAGTGTAATCCTGCTTGTTCTCACTTTCTGATCAAAATGTTTACCGAGTTGACTTTGATTGATTTGGTCAAAAAAACACTATGAGTAAAATATATTTCCTATTTTTATCTTTAGAACCTTTAGACACTGATACAGAATCAAACAGCTGATCTTCTTTCATCATTTATTATTTAAATTCATTAATTTGAAATACTTCTTTTCACTCATTTGTAATTATTATAACTTAGCAATTTTTATCTTTCTTTGTTGAGATTTGACACAGGGGAGTGTTTTTTATCTTAATATATTAGAAATTAAATTACTAAACATCGTGAAAAGCTTCTTCCCATGTAACCTACGGATGTGTAGGAGGTGTAAGTCTTTGACTTTCTTCGCAAGACATGAAATTGTTCCATTTCCATCAGCAGCGGTCTATTCCGAGTATTTAAAAAACTATTAAAACAAGTTACGAATGCTTTTAAAATCTTGATAACACTTTATAAAAATGGCACATACATACAACTTGATAATAAGATGACATTGCAAGAGACTAGTATTATATTGCTTGTAAACAAGTGCTCCTGTAAGTGCCTTAAGTAAAGCAGAGGCAGTACAGTGCCTGTTATCTGTCCATCTCTCACTGTACAGAGCTCATATGGTGCAGGAGATACTGGGTCTGATTGGTGGAGGCCTGTGGCTGCTGATAAGAATGGCAAACAAAAGGCATCGTATAACTGCTAGACAACATGATTACATATTAAAATATAACTACTACTGGATCTTAAAGTTTCTTCGGTACGCTGCAGCTCTATCAAATTCATAGGAATTTAGGAAGACTCGAGCCTATACTGTAGCAAACATAATGATTAATTGTATTGTTTCACAGTGAGAATACTTGAGAATTCTTGCACATTGTAGTAATCTAGTGTTTTAAAGGTGCACTATGTAAATTTTGTGGTGGAAGGTCTTTTTTGCTCAGAGATACTTATGCTTTACCTTGATTGTTCCATAAATGGCATTAAGCAGATCTTAATATGGTCTCCACGGAGGTAAGCAGTTGACACCATCTGACCACACTGACAGTTTTTCAGGTTTTCCTCAGTAAAAACACCTGTAAATGAGTAAATGCGAGATAGATTTGTCTATTACGATACTAGGGGAGATTACCACATTCCAAAGTAGTAACATCTAAACAGGAAGCATAACGGACCCCCACGTCATACTGTGGAATATTCCCAGTAAAGCAATAACATCTTTATGGAAACACCAGGTGCAACCCTCCACTGAAATGTTAATGTAGTGCACTTTTAAATCTCCATTAATACAATTATCATATCCCTATTATTTTACCAAAGGTTGTTATTACAGATAATTTTTAGATGAAGTAGAATGTATATTAGCAAAAATAGAGTGAAAACTACCAGATAAGGTTAATATAAGTTTATCAGTGGAAATTATGCAGTCTAAAGTCAAAATGTGAGTGCGTATCTGTCTCTGTGTGTGATTGCATGACTGAATGACTGCACAGTGAAAGGTTGTGGGTCTCAGTGGATTTCCTGTTTTTTGAGGTTGACAATCAGAAGTGAAATAGTGAAAAAAGAGCCCAGACCACCAATTCTCTCCCCAATCACAATGAGTAAGTGTCTGTCTCTCTCTGTCAACGACATACACAGTTTTCAAATTCATCAGTCCTTATCAAGGGCAGTTTTAGATAATTGCATTTCAGAATTTAAATCAGCGGAGAGTGAGTTTTGTTGTGATGTGAGAATAAATCACAACAGCAAATGGTACAGTTGATAAGGCTTAATGTCAAAGTATCATGTCTCAAATATAGAGTTTTATTTTAAGTAATTTATGCAATTCTTGAAGCAATTCATATTTTTTTTTGTTATATTATTTGTTTTGAGTGCCAGGTGTGAATGCTCTTGGATGTTAAATGCAGGTGAACTTCATTAATAAACAATGCAATTTGAGATTTCTGAAAATACCTATTTTGAAATGGACAGAGATTGACCTGCTCATGAACCTTATTTGTGGCCAGTGTTTGTTGCAGTATAGATGTGATTTATTTCCATATTATTCGGATCACCTGAGAACTGTCACACAAAATAAAAGAGGACACAAACTGACATACTAACACACTGATGACTGACACAGTTATTCACGGAAATACAAAAGGCAATACTAAAACAATAGGCAATACAAGCAGTGTAACAGTGCAAGAGGTTTGTTGATAGGAGGAGACAGATGTTAACCTATTGACATACATTTTATTGCCCTTTGTTTGGTTCAATTCCTCGATGGGAGACCTCAAAAACGTATATTATAAACATTATTTATCTTAAGCATAATAAGTTATGCTGTGGTGAGGGGATGGTATAAGTGGTACAGTGGTTGTTCTATAATGTTGGTGGTTTCATGACACTTTACCCACCTTTCTTGTGGTAATATGAAGCATGTCTGAAATCATAGGTAGTGTTCGGAGACTGTGTTGGACATTGGTAATGTCATCCACTTCTTTGCCATAAGAACTATGACTGCAGGAATAGCTTAACAAAGTGTGACTACATGAATGGATAATGTGGAAATTAGTGGCTTGACTTTATGTACTGAAAAAAGCGCTTTAAAAGATCAATGCGTTATGTTATTTCTAAACAATAATGATGCAAAGCTGTTGTGTAAAGCTCAATCCTTATGAAGCATTCATCCATATTCTTCCTGCTTTTTCTGGGGCAAGGTGGAGGCAGCAGTCTATGCAGGTTTCACAGTCCTGTATGCACCAATCAGTCAGGTGCATAGAGAACTAGGCAGTGGTTGATGTCACCTTAGAAAACAATGCATTTATAAACCACATAAATATCTGATTCTTGGGTTTGAGCTTCCTGTTTATAGATGTAATATTGAGATTTTTCATTTCCATTCAAAAGATATGTTTTGTTTTTAATTATTTGTAATTATGGCAACAGGGCTACATTTTCATAACTCTGTAAACAATGGATATAAAAATATGAGTGCTCTAGTCATGTTCACAAATCTACTGATCTATTATATCTACCCATGCCCCTCAAAAATCTCTCTACATCTCTACATGAGTTTGTGTATTAATATGAAATTTATAAATGACAAAGCGCGAGAGTAGTTGGTGTGAGATCTTGTCTTTTTCACTGTGGAGAGGGGAGTGGGGGGGACGTCCATTACTGGCAGTGATGATGGCGACAGAGCCTTACTGGCAGTGTCTCCTGTATGAGACAGAGAGAGAGGGATTTGACAAAGAAACAAACAGATGAAAGAAGGACGGAGTCAGAGTGAGAGAACTGCACCTGACCACTTAAAAAGACTTGAGGTTCACACACTCTCCCTCTCCATTTGCACATATTCCACGCACGGCTTTGTCTATTTGATGTGATTTTGTTTGTGTTCAAAAGACAAAAAGAGACAAATATGAAGGGGAAGTACAAATAATGACTTTAGTGAAACTTTTAAATAAAGAGCTCTGTACTTTTTGACAAGCTTGATTAATTCACAAGAGAAAATACTTGCACACATGAGCTTAAAATACTTAAACCAATCTGGCACCATAGAGGAATTATAATAGTAATACAATCTGAATAATAGTGATAAAGATTTTGTAGTTGTAGCACGTCTTAGCAAATGTATAAAGGTACTAATATCCATGGGTTAATACTGAAAATCTAGCACTGTCGCCATAGCAGTTTTGAACAAAATATAATAGCTTTTGAGTGGACTAAAGTTCTGAAAATATTACTTCTATACAGGAATATCTGTACAAAGTCTTAGCCGATTGATCTATATAATATTCAGTGTAAACAAGCTTTGAAGTTTATTTTATTCATGTTCATATTTAGTTTTTATATTGTTTTTTCCAGCCCAGATTGAAGTTATCCCATGTAAGATCTGTGGGGATAAGTCATCAGGCGTTCATTATGGAGTCATCACGTGTGAAGGCTGCAAGGTGAGACAGAGAACATTAACATTTTAAACATTTAATTTATACAGATAACTGGTGCACTACAAATGAAAATTGCATTATGATCACTATTCATGGTTCTGTTATAGGCGACATTTTATGGACTTTTCACCATTCGAGATTTATTATTTATGTGATTCTGACACCTGTGAATAGTGAAAGTATACACTGTTATTGGCAGTCAACTGTGCAAGAAGCCACAAGTAGTTTAGGCTTGTTTGCATTTGTGATTGTGACCCCATTTGCTAGTACTACATATGAATATATAATGAGGTTAATTGACTTGTGATAATCAAATTTCAAGTTGTTTAATGTCGCCATTTCAAACATTCTGAACTCTATAAATAAACAAACAAAAAAACATGGACATTATCATAAATAATGCTCATGACACATGGCTGACCCCATTGCGCTTGTAAATTTGGGTCTGTAATACAATATAGACAAATACATGTTTATTCCTCAGGGTTTCTTCCGGAGGAGCCAGCTGCCGTCAGTGTCGTACTCATGCTCGCGTCAGAGTAACTGTCTGATCGACCGCGCCAGCCGTAACCGCTGCCAGCACTGTCGCCTGAAGAAATGCCTTGCCCAGGGCATGAGCAGAGATGGTGAGCTGCACTAAAACTGCAAATTAAAGATGTACTAGTATTGTTTTAGACTTGGACAAACTTTGCTGATCCACAAGGGAATGGAAATTACTTGGACACAGTAGCTCAAAACAAGTAAAAAGCTATTTAAAAGAGTAGTCTGCAGGCTGCGATCCATACGGCGATTCTTCTTCTTTTTTAAGCGTTTGATTTTCAAGAATTTGAGTTGATTCATTTTTATTTTGAGTTTGAGCCAAGAGAGAAACAATAATCACATACATACTATATATATACATTATAAACAACAGAAAAGCATGTTTTTCAAAAAGGAGTGGGAAGGAAAAAAAATTATATTAACCCACCCCTAAGAAAAAGATTGAGTGAGTGTGACGAACATAAAATGGCTAATGCTAGTTTGTAACTTTAATGGGAGAGACAAATCAGCACACCAGTTGTAGTTCTACATAGTTAAGCTTTTAATATTCAGATTGTACAAGTGCCAGACTGAAGTCTAAGTTGAGTAAAAAAGCTTTGGACTGATCTGTTTGCTTTGCATAGATAGATACTTGGATGGATTTATCGACAGGTACACTGAGAGAAAAAAACAGATTGATAAATAGACTGATGCTCTGCCTGATTTTGTTTTCAGCTGTGAAGTTTGGGCGCATGTCTAAGCGCCAGCGGGACTCTCTCATAGCTGAGGTGGAGAGACACAGGCAGCAGCAGCAGCAGCTCCAGGGCCAGGCTCAGGCCGCTCTCTCATATCCCTCCAAACCACTAGAGGAGCGCTCATCACAGCACATACAACCTATGGCCTCCATCTACCCCTTCAACGGAGACTACCCCGCGGACATACACCCCTACCTCATGTGCTCCCCCTCCGAGCCCACCATGATCTACAGAGGGTCCCAGGGCAGCACACACCTGGACTCCAGGGGTGAGACCACCATTCATTGTGGTATAAAGATGTTGTCTTTCTATGTTACGATTCGTTGTTATCATTCCTCACACTCTTAGTAGCTTCATATTGTCTGAAAGAGATATTTAAACTATGTTGGCTTGCCATTTCTTCTGGAAATTCATGCCTCTCTGTGAATGGTTAAATCCATCTGTCATTCACTGGTAACAGAGGCTGACCAGTTGGAGAGGTGAATGAGAAAACTTTATAGTATGTACTTGTATTTAAGCATAGAGCTGCTGTAAACTGAAACACACCAATCTCCCCCAAATTATCTGATTGTCAAAGGGACATATCACTATTCAAATGCTGTTATTTTTCTCATTTCTAATACTTCACCTTCACTTTGTTGTCTCACACAAACCCACTCTTTTCTAACTTTATCCTTTGCAGGTTTTGAATCCAGACAGAGCTCCTATGACCTGATGACCATCTCTCCTTTCAGTCCTCTGGATGAGTCCTACAGCCTCTATCCACACTCTCTGAGAAACATCGGTAAACTCAATAAAAATCATAGTAGCAAAGACAAATACATTTATGTAGGCTGCTATTGAGTTATCTATTTTTACATGGATTTTTCGTCTAGACACTAAAGGAGCACATATATAGGTTTTAGGTGGAAGGTCTGAAATGTTTTACTCTCCAAGGACTTACTTTGCCTTTAGTTGCGTAGTTGCTTAATAACTTGTTGCTGTTGGTTTCATTATGATTTATATGGACTACATCAGGCTTGGAGTGAGTTAGCTGGAGTTTTGAGAGCAAATCATGACTTTATTTTTCTTTTTCCTGAATTCCTTTAAGTGCATGGATGCTGTTTTGATGAAGTTTTATGAGCCAATGTCAAGCTACACCCCTCTTTAGTCAATTTTTGGCAAAGAATTTCTTTAGTCGACTACAGCCCAAGAATGTTAAAATTGTGCTGACTTCATGGAGACAAGCAGGTGACACCACTAAACCAAGTATATTTATTGAAAGATAGATAGGTTCATACCATAGTGTGGAACATTCCAGCCAAAGCAATAACATTTCCATGAGACAATGGCAGGCACTGGACCCTTCACCTGACAACCTACATAGTGAGCTTTTAACTAGAGCATACTGTACTATACTAGAGCATACTGTACTGTACTAGAGCATACTGTACTGTACACTGTGCAAGTGTTTCATGTGAAGTGAAAGGAGGCCGTTGCCATAGCAATAAACAATTTAAAACATTGCTCAATTTCTTTGAGTGGTCCTCAAAACAGTGTACATAACAGGAAAGCCATATGACGCATCACTCATCAGAAAACATGAAATAGTCAAACAGTTCAACAATTTAAAAAAAAGCTGATGCACTTCCCCTATTGCTTAAGTTTTTTTTTTTTTATTTGTTTTTATTTTTCAGATGAGCTGTGTGTGAGTATTGCGCGTTCCCACCGTGAAACGAGCCAGTACAGAGTGGAGGAGTTGCAGGCGCTGCGCTGGAAGTTGTTCAGCAAAGAGGAGGTCCAGGCCTATCAGAGTAAAGTACGAATTCCCTTTATCTACTGCTGCAGAGGAGGCAATGTGCCCTATCGCACGAAACAATCAAAATATGCCATTTAAGATGGTGCTGGGCTCTGTTGTCCGATGAGTCAGATTGAAAACTGAGATCTCTTGTGGTGTACCCCTCCTCTTCTCTTACCTTTATCTTATGCATTTGTAACAGCAGAAGATGTGATATTTCGCAGTGAATGTATAAGAGATACACAATCAAATAATTATAAAAGATCCTCAAGGACCAATTTAAAGAGCAAAACAAGAAATAAATTAAAGACAATTTTAAGTACAGCAGTGTGCAATATGGTCCTGTCAGTGGTAATAACAAAACAGGTGAACTCCATGTATACAGTTTATCCAAAGCTGCTTAAAGAAGCACGTACTTGTGAAATTATTACATTTGGTTAATTATTTGTACTAATAGTATCTGAAATGGTCAAATATTTGATATGATAAAAGCAAAGGCAAGATCCACCTCTGCTTAAAACTCAATCTCAAATGCTCATATTTGTTAAAAAAAAAAAAAAAAAAAAAGCTTAAAAGTCAATATTGTGACTAAGAGATGTGATAAGACACAATTCCCATGACAACGAGACAAGATGAGACTTATAATAAATAAATTGTGCAATCCGATATACAAATTTGGCAAATTTGAATTTTCTGTTTTTATATTTTTGTTGTCGTTATAGCACTGCGTTTTGGAATTACAACTTCTCAAGGAGTAACTCACTTGTGTTTAACCCTTTTTTGTCCAGTACAAATGTAAACACATGGATTGAATTCTGACTGTATGTGTATGTCCCTGTGTGTAGACAGTGGATGAGATGTGGCAGCACTGTGCGATCAGACTGACAGACGCGGTGCAGTACGTGGTGGAGTTCGCCAAACACATCCCAGGTTTCCGTATCCTCAGCCAGAACGATCAGATCGCTCTCCTGAAGGCTGGTAAGAAAGTGCTACTATTTGTCATTTCTTGTCTGGGGTAACCACACATCTTCCTAGACTAATCCTCAATCAAGAAATTTCAATGCTGATGTTGACATACATTTTATCTTGAATTGAAGAAACTAGCAGGTAGAGCTCATTGGTACAGTTTAAACTGCCTACCAAGAAGAATCTTAAAACTAAGGGTGGTCAGTATGTATTGCAGAAAATGTTCTTAAGGCTTAGATCACAATTTTTACTTTATTTTGCCACTGGTAACTCAAAAATCTGTCTTCATACTTTGTTGTGATTGACTAAATACACCCGCCACTCACTCGGAGGTAGAGGTTGACCAGTAGGAGGAGTGGGTGGGGAAAAGGCCAGATCTGGTTAGTCCTTAGATGGGAGACCAGTGGGAATACAAGGTGCTGCACTGGGGCAGCAGTGTCTCTAGTGGATATTGTTGTTCTGTCCATAGGCAGGACACTTCACTCACTTTTCCTTGTATGAAAGTAGTGTGTGCATATCTACCCTGGGGCAGCTGTGGCTACAGTGATACCTTAGTGTGGATTGAGTGAAAAATGCAATATATGTCATGACTGAATACACTGTCTTTATGTTTCTCAGGCTCTATGGAGGTTGTTCTTGTGCGCATGAGTCGCTTCTTTAACACAGACAACAACACAGTCTACTTTGATGGAAAATATGCAGGAACTGAAGTCTTCAAGTCTCTGGGTGGGTCTCTCTTTAGTGTTAGGATGATTTCAATTACAATATCATGCTACAATTGTTGACTGCCTGAAAGTAAATTTAATTAAGGTGCACTATGGAACTTTTCTGGTGGAGGGCCCGTCATTAGCTTGTTTCCATGAAGATGTTATTGCTTTGCCTGGGAAGTTCTACAGTATGATATTAAACTTATCTATCTCCATGGAGAGTCTGTGGAGGGGCAAGCCAGCTCACAGAAAGAATGCATGTTAAAGGTATTTTAGAGCAATACAAACATAAGGTAACTGAATAAATGCCAGTTTACACTAAAATGCAAAGCAATAACATCTCCATAAGAAGATATATAACCCCATACCCCCGCCAAAAGTTGCCCAGTGCACCTTTAAAAAACTAATAAAAATTCTGTATTCACAATGAATTGACTGCCATACCTACAAATGAAATCTTCTGATAGGTATTAAATAAGATTAGATATTATCAATGGCCCCTTTTGTTTTATGACATAACAATATTCATTTTGAAAAACTGATTAGAACAGACATGTCAAACTCAGGCCCAGGGGCCAAATTTGGCTCGTGATATAATTATATCTGGCCCACGAGATCATATCAAATATGTATTAGAGCTGACTCGCCAGATACATTATTTATTTAAAATTGTGTTATTATTTTTTTATATTATGCTTGTTCTGGATTCAGTGTAAAACTAAGTAAAACTATTATTAAACATTTATTTGAATAAGAAAAGGTTTAACATTGCATATCTCGAAAGAAGAGAAAACATGCAGATGTTGTTGAAATTTTTCAATAAATATTTAGTTTGGGCCATGACTTAGTCCCAGTTTTTAATTTTGGCGCTCTGTGAATTTGAGTTTGACACCCCTGGATTAGTCTAACCCTAAGTCGTATTGGTTGCTTTTAAATGTTTACAGTTTTATTATTATTCTCATGATTGTGCCTAATAAGCACGTTAGATGATGCACAGGTCTAATACTGGGGTATAATGGGGCTGTATTGTATAATAATGTATATGTTGTTGCAGTCTGCGGTGACCTGATCTCGGCCGTGTTCGAGTTTGCTCAGAGTTTGTGCGCTCTGAAACTCACAGAGCAGCAGATCGCTCTGTTCAGCGCTTTGGTTCTCATCAGTGCAGGTACGGCATTATCACAGTCACTATCACAGTTAGCCGACCACGATTTGAAATCTAGGGTCAAATGATGGTAAAACAAAAATGTAAATTCCAATTGTGGTTTTATTTCACAGTCTTGTTCAGTGTTGATTTCAAGTTTTTTCATATTTATCTTAGACTTGAACTGATAGTAGATTTAAATGTGATGTTTTAAATGTAGCTTTTCATGTGCCTATATAAAAAATTATAAAAAATTGACTCTTGTGAGCTTCAAGCCATGTTCAAATACTGCTATCTCATCAAGATTAAGATAAATTCTGCATTTAGCCACTAGAGAGCGTTGTTGTTTTTTTTACAAATGTATTTGTCTGTGTAAAACATCATGAGTGGTAAGTTCAGTTACCTTTACCAATATCTCAGTAATGATATTGATGATTAATGAGGAAAACAATTTAAGCAAACGTAATTTACTTGCATTTATTTATTTTATTTAAAGGATCCATATTGTGCAAATTTCTGATCTATCATATAATTTTGTTTCCTCATCACAAACATACCTGGAAAGCTTCCACCTTGTGATGTCATGTAGTGGTATTTTACAAGTTAACAGCTTTTACCTTTAGTTCAGTAGAGGTTGGCAACTCCAGAACTGAAATCATCCAAATAATTCTAGGTGTATGGAGTTTATGGAGTATGGAGTTTAAAAACACAGTGGAGGACTTCTTCAATGACCACATGACAGCACGTGTGGAACATTGTGAGTGTTTTCAGAGAAGCAGTTTGTGTGTTTTCAGAGAAGCAGTTTGTGTGTTTTCAGAGAAGCAGTTTGTGGCTTAACAAAACACAACTCAATGTATGCTTGTGATGAGGAAACAACATTATAAGATAGATCAGAAAATAGCATAATATGGACCCTTTAAATAAAATAAAGAATAAATGCAAGTAAATTACATTTACTTAGATTGTTTTTCCTATTTCCCTATCATTATCATTACTGTGATTAAGACTGGGCATTATTGAGAAGTTGCTGATACAATACATACCTCGATACATAGGCCACGATACAATACATATCTCGATACAGTGAGCTTTCAGTTTGATACAATTCAATACAATAAATTTCAAATCGATTCGATACGGTAAAAAAAAAAAAAAAAAAGGCTAAATCATGGGTGTGACAATAAACCACTTTTTGTGCAAAGTTCATATGAAACATGCACATTTTACTCATCAAAACAGTGAAAATGTCAAATGTGTCGCAACAAACAACAAATCTGTAGAGCTGTAACAAAATAATTTAGTCAAATACACCAAAAAAATACTCTTGGCGATATATCGCTACAGCAGCCCACGATACTGATACTGTATCATTACATTAAACGATACGATATATCAATATTTCAGTATTTTTGCACACCCCTATCTGTGATATTGGTAAAGGTAACCGAATTTACCACTCATCTTGTTTTACACATACAAACTGTATGTGTAAAACAACAACGCTCTCTAATGGCTTAATGCAGAACTTATCTTAAATGCCTGTCTGAAATCACCTTTTGCTAATACACAATACAGTTAATAGCCTACAGATTAAGTCCTGGAGGTAAAACATAATATTTCAAGGTTTTATTTATGCATATTTTTAGTTAATATTATTTTGAACTTATCTGTTACACTGTTCTGTCTTACCTGGTGTGTGCAGACCGGCCGTGTTTAGAGGACAGACCCAGAGTGCAGCGGGTGCAGAGAGGCGTCGAACTGGGACTGTCTCATATTTTACAGCAAGACAACCAGGAGAGTCTAATGCAGAAGGTACATGCCACAACACTGCACATCTGCCTAAACATTAAACCTCATATGTTTGGTATATAAAGCCCTGGCTGTGTCCCAACTGTTTTTGAGGGTCACTTACTGAGAAATCAATGCAAATGCAAGTTCAGAACAATCAAAGACACATTTGATATTGATCTTTTATGTCTTAAATGTGCACTAAGTAACTTTTCTGTTTGTCTCCATGGAGGTCTATTATTGTATATATTGATTATTCCACAGTACGGCATTGCATTGATTGTATTGCATTGATTCAGTATAATTCATTTGTTGCTGCTTGGAGATAGAAAAGTTTAATATTGCACTGTGGAATATTTCTTGCTAAGAAATAACATCACAAAGAAGATAAGGCTATTTTGTAAACTGAAATGGGCAATGAATCACTAGTTAAAGAGACTATCCTTAACTTTCTCTTACTTCTGTATGTGTTTTGCAGTTGTATCAGAGGATGGCGCTGCTTCGTTCCCTCTGCAGCCTGCACACAGAGAAGCTGCGCTGGTTCAGTCAGCGTCACCCGCACACGGCGCACTCCCTGTTCCCTCCACTGTACCGGGAACTCTTCACCTCCGACACAGAGCAGCAGCAACCAAACTCTCTCTAGAAACAGAAGCAGAGAAGAAATATATTTTTCTAAACATAAAACAGAGAAATTCACCCATAGATTCTATTTTCTTATCAGTAGTTTTAGGGTAATTACGCTAATTTTTATGAATTTATTTAGACCTATATAGGACAACTGTAATAGGCCTGCACTGTACTCAAGATTACATAAAAAGCAAATTGGATTTTTCTAACATTTGAGAAAGTTGCAACATATATAAATGTCCTCTATATTGCTTTGTTTCAGCTGACATATAATATTTAGAGATGTGATGATTGGCAAGAAAACAAAGTATTTCATCAAAAAATACCTAAGAGGAAAACACAGAAATGTTAAACCTGTTCATAAAGCTATAATTAATAACAAAACACAGAAGATGAACAATAGTCTATAGAATAATAATATGCTATAACCTGAAAGCCACCTCTAGGCCTATTTATATTGTACACAAGAGCTCAGCCTGCTTCTGTTTTTTTCTTGATGAAATGTCATACATATCTTTGCTGTGGTTTTGTGTTAACACATGTGTTATGTGCTATTATCTTGGTTTCCTTGTCTGATTCTGACATTTAGATACCAGGCGTGTCTCTTCCCTCAATGTCATCACTGCAGCCTCCTGTTATGTAAAATATGTCAAGGTATCTAGGACAAATTCCATAATACATGAACTTCTCAAATAATTATTTTGCTTGCTTTAATTTGTAAGTTTTTTGTTATTGACAGAAGGCTTAAACATTGAAATAAATGTTATAGCATTAATTGAATTTTGTAGAGACAAGTATGCCTATGCAATATAAAATAAAATAAAACATGATGACAAAGACATTTTTACATTTCTCCTTAGTTTTATTTAGCCACTATATGTACTATATTGATATATTTGTTCATAGACTATAAAATACATTGTCAGCAACTAGGAAGTGATTACAAGTTAGTCATTGGTTTGGGGAAACAGATGATGTTAGTGAGTCAGAAGTATTACTTCTGGTTGAGGTTTTGCAGTCTGCTTGTCTCCATAGAGATGTTATTGCTTTGCTTCAAATGTTAAACATTATGGCAAAAAAAAATGTTTCTCCATGGAGATGCCACCAGCCCAAGTTGCAAGTAAGGTCCACGGAGAGGCGATGCATATTTTTCTGTGTTTTTCACCTGCTGAAAAAGTGTAAATCAGACAATTTTAATGTCTTGTGAAGTATTTGTGGCAAAGCAATAACATCTCCAAGGAGACAAGAAAGTTGGCCTACAGAATCCAAGCATCAGAAAAGTTTCAGTGTTCAAAATATAAATAAATGCAAGTTGAAAGATATGAATAGATGATGAATAGATTATGTTGACATGACCTCAAAGATTTCAAATATGAATATTGATGATCTTGGTTAACTATCACTGTCTGAAAAAAGTTTTAACTATCACTGTCTGAAAAAAGTTTTAACTATCACTGTCTGAAAAAAGTTTTCAGACAGTGATGGTTAACCAAGATCATCAAGATCATACAACAGTCATGTGTCTATGTGTTGTACAACTCCTGGACCATTTTCTGTTTGGATTTTAGCATCTGTGTTAATATAAACATAGATGAGATAAAGAAAGAGGAGGCAGGAAATGGACTGCATTTCCCATCATACGTTTGGGCTTTATAGTCCATGATGGCAGGAGAAGGTAAAAGAAAGCAACTGCAGCTGCTTTGATATCATGATATATTGCTGCATTTGTAATTATTATATGTTAGGTTGAAATACAGACAGTCATTTGATCAAACTGTGAGATCGTTTCTGGGCTAGTTTCTGTGAAAGCATAGACTGTATAAAGAAGAACTTTACAGTGAAATGGAGGATCCAGATGGAGCTGAAGAGTGAGAGCTAATGGAGAGTAACCTGTCTGTGACCTGTGTTTATGAAGGAGAAACAGCCTCAATGGAATAACAGGACTATTACATACGTAGGTTAGTGTAGAACTATTACACATGTGTGTTAGTGTAGGTCTATAACACATGTTAGTGTAGAACTATTACACATTAGTGTAGGACTAGGACTATTAAACACATGTGGAGAAACATGTATCCTTTCTGGACCTACTCGGCACCAGGGAAATCCAGGATGTTTCTTTAGACGTGGTTTTCATTTGCACCTGTGAAAAGTGAGAGTGAGCACATTGTTTTAACACAGGGCAGTTTTTAAGTGGGCGTCTGTGACACATGAGGCTGTATTATAAGTGAGATCAGAGGAAAAGGAGCCAAGAAGCGAAGTAGGGAGGTAGTGAGATTATTCAAATAAACATGGATGACATATATAATATGATATATGATGATATGAAGGGTGAAATCAGTAAAATTGGGCGACTTTTTGGTAAATCGCCTGGGACAATAATTTTAGGTAATTTTGGCATTAAATGATGTTATTATAGGTACTACACAGCAAATTCAAGAGTGTTAATTCAACTTGTATATTGTTAATTTTAACACTTTTATCATGTCATATGGGGTCCACAATAAAATGAGTTAAAACTACACTTTCCAAAGTGTAGAAGGCTCAACACTGGTAAAGTGATGTAACCACACTCCTCATAGTTGAATTTGACACTGATTAAGATTTGATTTTTTTTTACACTAGTGTATAGTGAAAAACTAAAACTCTATATTGCTATGTTTTAACACTTTATGAAGTAGAAATAGTGTAGAGTGTTCTTCATGTTACACTATTCAATAGTAACTCTCTTCACTAAATACAGTGTAAATGCTGTGGTCATTCTAGTTCATAATCCCTTTTACAAATGCAAAATAATTAAAACTACCACAAAGTTCCATTTCAACTTAACTTGTATTAAAACAATGGACATCATTCAATCAACACAGTTTAAACAAGTCATACAACACAATACTGTTTTTGCACAAATCCAGCTGACAGATTTGAATGGCATTCAGACATGCTCATCTCCAAAAGTGAGAGGAGCATGTCTGACTGTTTGAAACAAGATCTTCTCTCCATTATATAAACATAACAATGTTCACAATAGAGGCAGTCCTGCTCATTATGAAACATTAACATTGCAGAAACTTTTTACCTCAAGAGTCAGTCTTTCACTCTTGGGGTTTCTTTTTACACATCCAACGTCCATGTTGTAAACAGTTCTTTAAATACAGGTGTAAAGTTTGTGTGAGTCTGAGGACCAAGTGCCTTGAAGTGTTCACCAAATTCAGCCAGGTCAATGATGACATAAAAAACCTTTGTCCTTCTCACTTCAGTCACAGGTAGAAAGGTTGTCCAGGCTCAACCAGCAAGAAATGTGTCCATACCAATCTGTAAACTAAAATATAAAAAGAATAAATATAACATATTCAAGTAACTACCTTGCAAAACGAGCTATGCAATATTTAATGAGCCATGAGTAAATTTAAAAGTAAAAGTAAGTTATTTGTTTGTTCCTATTAAGCAGGTTATTCTGTTGCATGGGCTGTATGTTTTTGTATACAGAAACCATTCAAATAAATAACTCAAAGGGTAATTTGAAAAAATTTATCCCCTTAGAAAAGATTATTTTTACATGCAAGACCCATAAGAAACAAATACTTAAATGCCATTAATCACAAAAATAGAATGAGATTAAGGCAAAAATTACAACTACTTAGCACATATACAATTCAATTAATCAATTACGAAATTACTGGTGAGGTTACATTTCTCTCCGGGTGGGTGGAGAGTCCCTGCCTCAAGTGCAGGAGTTCAAGTATCTTGGGGTCTTGTTCACGAGTGAGGGGAGGACGGAGCGTGAGATTGACAGGTGGCTCGGTGCAGCGTCTGCAGTGATGCGGTCGCTGTATCGGACCGTTGTGGTGAAGAGGGAGCTGACCCGAAAGGCAAAGCTCTCGATTTACCGGTCAATCTTCATTCCTACCCTCACCTATGGTCATGAGCTCTGGGTAATGACCGAAAGGACAAGATCGCGGATACAAGTGCTCGAAATTAGTTTCCTTCGCAGGGTGGCTGGGCGCTCCCTTAGAAATAGGGTGAGGAGCTCAGTCACACGGGAGGAGCTCGGAGTAGAGCCGCTGCTCCTCCACGTCGAGAGGAGCCAGCTGAGGTGGCTCGGGCATCTGTTCCGGATGCCTCCTGGACACCTCCCTCGGGAGGTTAGGGTTAGGGCATGTCCCACCGGGAGGAGGCCCCGGGGAAGACCCAGGACACACTGGAGGGACTATGTCTCTCGGCTGGCTTGGGAACGCCTTGGGGTCCCCCCGGAGGAACTAGAGGACATGTCTGGGGTGAAGGAAGTCTGGGAGTCTCTGCTTAGAGTGCTGCCCCCGCGACCCGGCCCCGGATAAGCGGAAGAAAATGGATGGATGGATGGAGGTTACATTTCAGTTCTACATTTAACCATTTCATGACATACGTGCAAATCTCTTGACGAGATGGCTAATGGCTTGAGCCTTCAGCTTTCCACTGTAGCCTTTAGGAGCTGGGGTTGCATATGAACCAGCAGCAAGACACTCACCCTAAAGAAAATACAAAAAAATAATGTATCATTCTACTTTTTGACAAAAAAAAAATCACACTTGAAGATATGTTATTTTTACAGAAAACTACTAACCTTTTGATTCAAATAATTTTAATAATTCTCCACCGAAAGTGTGAAAAACAAATTTTTTTTGTTTAGGTAGAAGAATCATCAGTAGAAAATTATTCACTCTAAATACGCTCTAGTGGTACATTTGCTAACTTCTTAACTCAGCAAAGCATGCACAAGGCAATGTTACAGTCAGACATTTGTACACTGTACAGTCCTGGTAAATTTAAATTATTTTACAACTAACATTTAACAGTATTAAAAGTAGAAAGATGCTACTAAGACATTCCAAAAGTTACATGAGTCCCGTTCCCAGTGCAGTTCAGCTCACATGTAAAATGACTGCTGTCTCGGAGTGCACACGGAGAATAGCAGAAAATTCCAATTTTGGGGTTTATATATGCAACTACTGGCAACCGCGGAATGTCTGTGCATTGCCATAAGAGATATAAACTTGGTTTGATTTAACTTTACATTTCATTTGAGGAGAGAGCCACTGTAAAACCATGTAAAAAAAAACAAACAAGTAAAACCCGGACAACAGGTGATAACAATGAAATAAATGTAGGAGACATTATTTTACCACCAACATTTTTGTATTTATCACTTGAAATAGCTCATAAATAGCTCATAACTGTCCTAAATCATCGCGTTACATACACTGAGTGTAGGGCACGTGTCACAAGCATTACAATGACCTCATGTATTATGACATAATTCATTTACTTGAGTCACTATTTACAGATATTGTACATTCTCCCTACTGTGAAAATACCAGACATGAGTACTAATTCATGTTTCATCCTCGCAATTGTATTAACTTTAAATGACAAATCAGATGTTTTGTCCAATTACTTTTAACTTAAATTACTTGAGGAGTAGTTTCCCTGAATACTTTTACTCTTTGCTCCTTAACAAATTTTTTGGATTTCTACTCTTTACTTAGACTTGAGAAATATTTTTTTGAAGTAATGTTACTCTTAATTTAGTACAATTTGTGGCTTTTTAACCCAATTTTCATGGACATCAGTGACGGCAACATTGACTGTCACAGCTACTAGCATTAGACGAAATATATTTAGTATTTTTATGAAATTAAATTAACTACAGAGTGTCCTAAACAGGTAAAGTAATCTGACCCGGGGCATGTGAGAGCTAAGGTGGTTGGACTTGAGACTCGTTGATTCAGGTTTTGCTGAAAAACAAATGCTATTAGCTGTTAGCTTTGCACTGTTAGCTTAGCTTATA